TACAATTTTGTTAAATATTATTTACCCCGAGGAATTAATCTTGCTTCGTAATCATGATGATAATATTAATTTTAATTTTTTGGATTTGGGTATTATAAGAGAAAAATATATCTGCTTTGTTGATTTATACGATAAAAAAATGATTTTAATTTTAATATAAATAAACTAATTGCTCTGAATTCTAATGTTTCTAAAAACATCTATTTAAATACCATTTTTAATAAAATGAATAGAATTAAAAAGATATGTAGTAATGTTTATTTATCCAATAAAACAAATAGACAAACTCCTTCAAAATTTTACTAAAAAACAATGGATACTCAACTAAAGTAATTAAATTCTATATAAAATCATTGAGTTAATTGTATGTTATTATAAATAAATTTACTAAAATCTTGCTTGTTAATTTATATAATTTTTACTACGCGCAAATCCATATGTAATCCATCCAAATCCTAGCAAATCCTAAAAATATGTGCAAAACAGGCAATTCATGCTTCTCTCTCTTTCTCTCTCTTTTCTTAAATAAAAGATAATTTTCTAAAATCATTAAAATTGTATAGTTAAATATCAATCTTATAAATTATAAACTTTTTAAAATTTCCAATCATTACCTTTCACACATCCTTTTTCGGGCCAATCCTTGGTAACTAACAAATCAAACGTGCTTTAGCACTGCAGTAAGAATGCGCTATAAAACTAAACCCCTCTATTTACGCTTTTACCTCAATCTCATCGTTTTACCTCAGTTTATTATGAAAATATTTTAAATCATTCTAGAAAATTTTTCTGTTCATGTAAGTTCATTTGAATTCTCTACTTGCTTTATAGTTTCAATTTTAATATTCATTTTTATTTTTATACTCGTTTTATATATTTCGCTTTATGTTTTGTTCTGTTTTTTTTTTTCACATTTTATTTTCTGTTTTTTGCGTGATACTTATTACTTAATGTGTATTTATTACTAATGTGCGCTGTTTCGAAAGAAAATTTTTTTTGAATGCTCCTCACACTATTGATATATTTTGCTTTAGCTACATTGATACTATAGCTGATATTGCTTTAGCTGTATTATAAAGCACTCCTTTTTGTGAATATAATCGTATGAGCTGATGAAGGAATTATATCTTTTTTAACCCGGATTTTTATTGAATTTTTTCTTTTTAAATAATTTTATTCTTCTCTTTCTTCAGTTTTCTTTCATTTTACCATGTTTTCCCTATATTTTGAGCATTTTTAAGCAAAATCGGTCAAACAGTTACTGAGAAATCGAATTTTGAGTATCTGATTTTTTTGAAATTTAATTTCTCAGAAACCATTCGGCTGATTTCGCTCAAATTTTTTATCTTGTGATGTAAAATGTTGCAAAAAATTTCAAATTTCAGAATAATTTCGTAATTTACCAATGAAACTTAAATTTAAATATTTTTCAGTAGTCTTGGATAATTTTAGTTACCACTCATTTATTTTTTCTTGGTTTAGCCCAGAGTTTCCACGGGTATAATGCAAAAAGTAGTGATTAAAAGAAAGCAACAGTTTATTAAAATTCGAGACCTTTTCTAGATTTTTTTTTTCAGTTTGCTACTGAAAGAAAATGTTTTTGATTTAAATATGAATAATTTGAAATGTAAGTTATAGTGTAAGTTGCGATTGAATAATTAACGATAAAATAAAACAAACATGTATAGAGTTTCTACCACTTTTTACATTTAAGCCGTGTTGAGCCTTTTAAAAAATTGGCAAAAGATATTGTAAACAGAATTGTTTTAATTGTTCAAAATAAATCCTAAAAATAAAACACTATTAGTGTTATTAGAGTTTTTTGTAGTCGGTCATAAATACTAATTAGGTATTAAGTATTCATTTAGTGATATTTATTTTTACAGTAATAATCACATTATTTAGATGAATAGTAGGCAAAAGCTGATATTTGTAGTGAGTGCTTATTTCCATTTTCGGAAAGATTTTTTATAAAGAAATAGCCTAATATGTCGTAAAATTAGTAGTAAAGTAAGATTAGTTGACAAAAAATAATATAATAAATTTAATAAAACAATTGCTAAAACCACTGTTTTAAATGCCAAAATATAACTAAATTGGAGCATTTTTAATTTTTGCAATTGAAAGTTCAATTTTGAGTATAAATATAAGATAGTTTGTATAGTTTTTGAAGCTCGAAATATGTCACAAGCAAATGTCATCTTTTTTTTTTTAAAAAAAAATCATATTTCTATCAACAGCAAAAAAGGTTGATATCCTCTTTTTAGTTAGAATTTGAATATCTATTTGAATTAAAGTCCAATTATTTGAATTTAAAAATTTATCATGCTTTAGAACTAAGGTTTTGTATTATTACAGCATTAATTCTAAGCTTAGCTATTCGCAACTCTATTCAGTTTTAAAATTAGCTTTATACCTTTATTTATACAGTTTATCAAATTTTTAGAAAGTTTTGAGAAATGCACAGATTATATCTTTCATTGAATATAATTAGGAACTGGAGTTTTGTTGATGAAATATTTAAATTATGTACGGACACATGTATACATATTTATTTGAAAAAATAAATTATTTAAACTAAAACTTAAAATATAATTTTAATCAATACAAAATATCATTTCTGCTGAATTTTAATGGCTTTTAAATCTATTAAATATTTCTTTCACATTTATTATTATATTTTTCAATATATTAATTACACTTTTTTTTTAATTTAATCAATTAGAAACTAAAAATTCAGAACAAAAAGCTTTTATTTAATTTGATATTTAAAATAAATTATTAAAACAAACAATTAAAATAAAATACAACTAAACGGAAAAATGCTGCAGTTGAACAATAATAAAATTTGAGGATTTCTACGAATGTACTATTTAATAATGCTGATCATGATGATGATACCATTAATGATGATGTCCATGGTGATGATCTTCATGATGGTGGTGTCCATGATGATGACCATGATGCTCATGATGGTGATGACCATGATGATGATGATGTCCATGATGCTCATGATGGTGATGTCCATGGTGATGGTGGTGTCCATGGTGCTCATGATGGTGGTGTCCATGATGTTCATGATGGTGATGCCCATGATGATGTCCGTGATGGTGGTGTTTACCACCTGGTTTGCAGCTTACTTCTAACATGATAACGATGAAGCAAGCAAGAAAAAGAGCTATGGTAGAGGAATGCATAATTACTCTTAAAATATTCTTAAAATTAAGACACAGATGATAGAAACAAATGTCTTCAATGAATGTGAAGTGACTGATGAAGCAGCTTGTTTTATATATAAAATTTTTGGAAATATTTTGAAACTTTTCTAGGCCGTGATAAAGTCATCAGACACCAAAACAGATTTTCAACACAATTCTTTTTTTAAATATCGTCAGAAGGATTCCAAAATGTGCAAGACTTGGTGATAATTTAAACAAATATTTTTTAAAAAAAAAAATTACATCTGAATGAATTAGCTTATGTCTTTTTTATTTTAATCGTCTAACATTAGTTACTTCCAACTCTTCGCTCATAAAAAAAATCAACAATAGCTGACCGTAAGAATGGCTCAAGGTTTGTCCAGTCAAGCATGAGGCGATTCGCGAGATGCCTCTTGATTCGATCAAGTGGAGTATTTTCAATCGATTAAATAAAAAACAGATCAAAAAGGGTTTTTTTTTCTTCATAGCATTAAACAAAAATTGTAACATTACTAAATTTAGAACTTTTTGAAAATCTAATGCTCTCTTCATACTTGTTTCTTTAAAAATTATAAATGGTGTATTACATTAATTGTTTCATGAGAACTGTAAATATATATTTTATAAAATTCTGTTCTTAAATATCGTTTTACAAAATATTTGGAAAAAAAAAACATCTCAATTTATGGCATTCTATGTTGCTGATGTCATACAAAGAATCGTTTTAAGAAGATGAGACAATCTAAGAGGAAAAATGCACCAAAACGTGCAAAAACTAAAAGTTAAAAACTTTTGCACTGGTGCAATATTAGTTCATTCTTTAATTGGCCTGATTTATGACTACATGATTTTGAATTTCAATAAAATTGAAATTCGTCGTATTTGAAAATCGAACCAGCAAATTGTCAACGGCAAACGGTTTATAATAAATAAAAATAGTTAATTTTTTAATGCTTCCGTATTTATGCAAGTCACATTACAGGTTCATTATTACAAGTAGTATTTTTATTTATCTTGAATAATTATTTCCAATATAGTATTTTTTTTTAAAATTATACCAGGAGTGCCCGTCCCCTGCTCAATCCGCTCACCAATCCCCGTAACTGCTTCGCATTGATCCTCAAAACACAAAAAAAAATGTTTTCAAAATAATACTGTTTTTATTATAACCGTCGTTGAGCAGCCGACCTAATTTTTAGGGTTTAAAACTACAAATGTTCAACTCCATAGCCTTGTGTAATTTTGAACCCAATCCAGAAGACAAGCCTGGATTAAGAATTGGGAGAAATTTGCCTCCATGGAGGACTTTTTGATTTAACAAACCCGCCTTTGCGTTACATTAAGAGGAAAGCCACTAAAACCTCGCACGGTTAGTTTGAGGGCAAGGGGCTTATAACCCATGATCCATCTACGATTGAGGATATTTTACTTCTGCACTGTGATAGGTCAGAGCGGGGTGTGGAAATCGTATCGACCAGCCATCCCTGAGATTCGAACTCGGTTCACCTCATTGGGAGATGAATGCTCTATCCCCTGAGCCACCAAAGCTCCTTTTACTATTTTGTAATATTTATATTTTTGATATATATTGTCAGTGTGCCAAAGTTTTTAAATGTAAGGGGATAATGGGGTTGATTCCCAAGCTAACCATGTCAATATTTTTGTGCTATCATTTTCAAATCCTTCTCATTGCTAGCCGGACTTGCTCAGTTATTTCAATTTAAGCAGATGGCTCACTCCTAGCTTCATCTCTCTATTAATTTACTATTAAAAGGGTATTCAAGTTCGACGAGTTGTTTATACACACAAAATATTTACCTAGACCCTTTATTGAAATGGCAACTGTACAACCAGAAATATCAATCAAATTCAATCGGATTTACCTTATTTCGTTGTTAGCACCGACCTAGAGCTACGCTAATGGGCTATTAAGCAATTCCTGCTTGATGATCTTCCTTAATGATGATCCGAAGACAATACTGGCGCATACGCTCATTATAGGAGATGTTCACATCTTAGCTCCATATTAAGGCTATAGCAAATTCGAACAATATTATGGTGCAACGTTCCAGAACTTTAAACAATATACAGTTTTCAGATCGTGATGAATTCTTGATCACAGCCAAAAGCAAAGTGATGTTTATTTAGCGCAAGTTAGCAACCGGATCAAATAAAATTAAGCAATTATGTGATTTAGATTAGCTGTAAGATTTAGCAGTGACTTCGAAGCACACACCTTCGACTTACTCCTTATGTAACTCAGCCTTCGGTCAGCAGAGGGATGTAGAGCATCGAAGTATTGTCGTCGAGGTAGTGGGTTCGTATCCCATCGTATAGCATTTTTGTGTTTTCCTTCTCTAGATGGTGCTATCTGTACTTCAATTTGTCCCGCAGTGGACTGATCGTTAAGACACGGTTCCCAGCAGATCACCGAAGTCAAGCATCACTGGCAGCGGTCAGTGTGTGGTTGGGTGACCACTAGGCTCAGTCTGCGCAGGGACCGAGGGTCCTCGTTAAACTGTTCTACCGTTAAGTGCTCGACTTCACGTGCAGGTCGTCGGGCAACCGAAGCGAGGTGCCATCCCTTCTGTAGAGGATCAAAATTGTGATGGCATGTCTTCGGTTTATCCTCAGGGATGTTTCCCAGACCGCCGTCAATAGCCCACTGTGCAGCTCTAGTGCGACGTAAATTAAATACTATTACGTATGCATGAGTAGTAATTGTAGTACTTTATTTACGTTGCTTTAGAGCACAATGGGGACATGTGTGTAACAATAATAATATGAATAAGTAAATAAACCTTCGGCTAACATAAATGTATAGAATATTATGAATAGAATAAATGTATCGAAAATATCATGTAAAACTTTTCTCTTTCTAATTTTCGTCCCGCAGTGGACTGATTGTTAAGACACGGTTCCCAGCAGATCACCGAAGTCAAGCATCACTGGCAGCGGTCAGTGTGCTGGTGGGTGATCACTTGGATCAGCCTGAGTAGAGACCGAGGGTGTGTTGTATTGGTCCTCGTTAAACTTTTCTACCGTAAAGTGCTCGACTTCGCGTGCAGGTCGTCGGGCTACCGATGCGGGGGTGCCTTCCCCTCCGCAGAGGATCAAAATTGTGATGGCATGTCTTCGGATCATCCTCAGGGACGTTTCAAAGACCGTCGCTAATAGCCCATTGTGCAGCTCTAGTGCGACGTAAATGAACAACAACAACAACATCTTTCTAATTTTCTGAGTCCCGTAGTGGACTGATCGAAAAGACTCGATTCTCAGTAGAACACTGAAGTCGTGCATCACTGGCTGCGGTCAGTGAGCGGGTGGGTGACCACTTCGATTAGCTTGCGTATGGACCGAGATATCGGTTCTCGTTAGACTGTTCTCCGTAAAGGACTCGAATACGCTCATGAGTCGGCGGGCTACCAAAAAAGGGGAGCCATCCTCTCTCAAATGATAAAAATTGTGTTGGCATGTTACGGATCATTTTCAGGGAAGTTCCCCAGAAATAAATTTCCTATAACCCGATTTGAAACTCTAGTGCGACGTTAATAATGTATTTTAACTACTGCTAATTTTCAACTGGGCAGAAATGAGTGACCAGAAATGCGCTACAACTCGGGTTTATTTTCGTAAGTTTTATTTTTTTTAAGCAACGGTTTTGTGCATTTTCTATCTGTACATATCTAGGGCATAGAAAAAAAGTAACTATGCGTGCACAATTTTAATCGTAGTACAATATGTAGCAATGCGTAATATAATTTTAATCATAGTTTTAAACTAGTTATTTTATCGTTAGAGTTTTATAAATTTGTTTTGAACAATGGCGACTTTTAATAGTTTTAGCCAAGAAAAAAACTTGTATCACACGATTTATACAGAATTGAAGGCTTTGGGTGTGAAAGTGCCTAAACCGAAGAAAATAAAATGGAATGCTTCTAAAGTAGTAAGTACGAGTTTGCATTCTTGAATATGCTTTAGAAAATATACCAAAAAAATTATAGTACTAAATAAATAAAAAATAGCAAGTATTGCAAATTTAATTTTATTTTGCTTTATAATGAGCATCATAATAATTAAATTACTTCTTCATAGTGTAAAAGTTGTTAAAGATTTTTAATAGTTCCATAGCTTAAACAGAAGTTGAAATTTCTTATTGTAGACTTGGACATTTGATTATCTATGTTATTTATTTATAAATTATTTCAAACTTTTTGTGCAGTTCTGTTTAGATTATATTTTATGGAGTAATGATTTTTATAAAGTATAATGAAGGTATGAATACTATTGTAATTAATGCAATTATTTTGAAAATTTGGTATGTGAATATAATGTACTCAAAATTCCAGTTTCCTCTTATCCCTCGGCTTGACTTATAATCTTCTTATAATCATTGTATACTTTTTAAATACTTTTATACAATATTTTGTACTTTAAAATAATTAGGAACTTAGCAATAATTTATATTGTCTTGCTTCCTGCTCAATAATTTATACATTAAGTTTATGATTTCTATTGAATGTTTTTTAATAAGACAATTACAATTTTAACAGTTTAGGAAAATATATATTGAAAAAAACCAAATCAAATTGGGCTATAAACTATGTCTGATGCTAAAAAAGCGAAAAGAGAATTAAGTTTAAGAAATAAGTATTTTAATGTAATCAAAATTGTTACATTCTAGAGAGTAAACACTTTCATTAAATAAACATGGACGATTCTACACTAAGTTATTCTAGCGTTATTTCTTCTTTTTTGTTCTGTTTTTGTATTAAATATGATTTGTGTCATCGTTTTGTTTCATTACAATATCTTTGGCGCAGAATAGTCGCATCTGGCACATGAGCAAATGTTTGTTCATTCAGTAAATGTTAAATAGTTATTCGCTTCTTATGTTCGGATCAATTAGTGATTGAAGAGCCGTAGTGGCTCAGGGGTTAGAGCATTCGCCTCCCAATGATTTGACCAGGGTTCGAATCCCAACGATGGCTGATCGATACGAATCCGGCATCCAGCTTGCACCGACCACAGTGCTGACGCAAAATATCCTCAGTTGTAGACGGATCATGGGTTAGAGCCCCCTTGCCGTCAGACTACCTGTGGGAGGTTTCCGTGGTTTTCCTCACCATGTAACGCAAATGCGCGTTAGTTCAATCAAAAAGTCCTCCACAAAGGCAAATTTCTCCCAGTACTTGATCCAGGAGTTCCCTTGTCTTCTAGATTGTGCTCAAAATTACAAGGCTATGGAGTTGAACATAGGTAGTTACAAATACAAAATTGCGTCGGTTGCTCAACGATGGTTATAAAATTTTTAATTGAAGGTATTAAAGGAAAATGCTGTTAAGCATCATTTTGGAAATACTCAATTTTCTGAAACTGAAAGTGTAGAATTTTATGTTTTTGAAATTTGATGCGGTTATACAGCGCCAAAATCGAGATAAAAATATCTTTCAATATGATGTATTCCGTTATTGATTTATCCTACTTAAAACAGTATCAAAATAAAGCAGAGTTTTCAAAAGAAAATATGTTTTGTATGGAGTTAGCTATCCCCATGCAATACATTGCTGTTTTTCTACTATTTTAATTGACTAAAATATTATTTGGCAGGCTTATTTACTAGTCTATTATGTTAAACTACATTTCAAAGAATTAAGGTTAGTCTGTAGAGCATATATCAATAATACTAAAATTCTTTTAGATGTACCTTTTCTAAGAAACTACTTATGATATCGCTTTGAAATCTTTTGTGGATATTTGAGATAATATCAGCTGTGTGCTGTGATAATGTTTTAGCGTTAAATAGAATACTTTTTGAGTTATGATAGATTTTTGCTCAAAAATAAACCTTTTTAAAAAATTAAAAGTTTTCAGTTCATAATCTTTGAAAAAATTTCGTCAAAGATATGTAAGAACAGCTATGCAGTGTAAACATGCATATGTAACTATTCTGTGAAAAAAAACCGATGCAAGATCTTGTTGTGATGCTAAAAAATACATAATAAAATATCAATTTTCGCATTATTGGTATTAGGCCTACCGACTCCTCTTTATATAAGAATTACATAGAAAAGGACGATGAGTGATATTTCTTTGCAGTATATGCCATATAGATTTCCATTATTGTGAAATTTTGAAAAAGAAAAACGTGAATGCTTGTTCAACAACATGTATTTTTTTTAAACTTTTCAAACTGAAACCCATCGAAATGTTAAATAATACATCATGGTTTGCATAATGAAATGTGAAGCATTATCCGCATTTTAAGAACGTATTGATTTGATAAATTTTAATTTTAAACAAAAAATTTCTTAGCAGAGCACTTTTCGCATATGCTAACATAATACCTTCAACTTTTATTCTAATTTCCTAAAAATTTGAGAAATTTTATATTGCTTAGCACCACGCGCAAAATAAAAAACCGTCTGTACGGAAAATTTTGATCTAGTGATCGAGTCTTTACATTCTAGGACTCAAATCTTAATGGTATGAGAAGGTGACTTCAAATGCTAATTAGTACAGACAATATTTTAAGTTAAGAAATCAGACAAAAGAAAAAAGGAATTTTCTGAATATACTTATTTTCCCCCCGACTGAATCTGATTTGTGACCTCCAGAATATAAGGAATAGCCGCAATCTGGGAAATATGGTCCCAAAAGTTTGGGCTGGAGAGCGGTCAAAGGTTTAGACACCTTAATGTTATTTTTACTTTTTGCGTATTTCACCATATATCTAGAACTTTTTAAGCGAATTGAAATTTTTTAAAAGACAGTAATGAAATTCGTTAATCCAAAGATAATATCATGCAAAATATAACTTTTAGTAAATATTTATTATTTTTTATTACATTATTTAATAATATTAAAAAAATTCCTTTGAAAAGTACGCATTTTTTTACATTATTTAAAAGAATGCAATTTTAAATGGCAAAATACAAAGTTTGAGTGAAATTGGTCGAATCGTTCCTTAGGTAATCTAGTTTTAAAAACAAGTATTTTTCAAATTTGATTTCTCAAGAACTATTCGACCGATTTCACTAAAAAAGTTTATTTGCCTTTTAAAATTGCATTCTTTAAAATGATGTAAAAATTTTATATTTTAGAGATGAAAATTTTTCGACTTCTATTAAATAAAAAGTAATTATTTTCTAAAAGTTATATTTTGTTTGGAATTATCTTTGGATTAACAAGTTTTATAATTGTGTGCAATATTTTTCAATTGGTTTAAAAAGCTCTAGAGATAAGGTGAAATAAGCAAAAAATAAAATTAACATGAAGGGGTCCTACCTTTGGACCGCTCTCTTAAACTATTAGGATCATATTTCCCAGATTGTGACTATCCCCTATATAGGGTCAGAAATTCGAATCCCTTGGACAAAAAGATACGTTTAATCAGAAAAAGTACGTATTTGTATCTGATTTCGTAGCATTAGATATCGTCGGCACTCATTAATTATCATATTTGAATTCACTGTTTCGAACCTTGAAAAGTGAGACCTAGAACGGGAAGATCATGTCATTTGATCAAAAGTAATTCAAAGCGGTCCTTTTATTTGATTTTTTTATTTATTTATTTTTGCTCACTGTGCAACTGTTTTTGATTTTGTATAAAGTTTTTGATCCTTGAAGGATGCCTGTGTATCAGAGAAAAGTTGTAAAATTTTCAGCGTGAGCTTAAGAGAACAAGAATGGATATCCAATGGAGAATATCCTGTTCCAAAGTGAGTAAAATCTTTAACTGTCATATATTTTTTTTAAAAATTTTCTGTTAATTATTGTCCCGCAGTAGACTGATAGTTAAGACACGATTCCCAGCAGATCACCGAAGTCAAGCATCACTGGCTGCGGTCAGTGTGCGGGTGGGTGACCACTTGGATCAGTCTGCGTAGGGACCGAGGGTGTGCGGTATTGGTCCTCGTTAAACTGTGCTACCGTAAAGTGCTCGACTTCGCGCGCAGGTCGTCGGGCTACCGAAGCGGGGGTGTCATTCCCTCCGCAGAGGATCAAAAATGTGATGGCATGGATCAAAAATGGGTGTGCGGTATTGGTCCTCGTAAAACTGTTCTACTGTAAAGTGCTCGACTTCGCGTGTAGGTCGTCATCCTCAGGGATGTTTCCCAGACCGTCGGCAATAACCCATTGTGCAGCTCTAGTGTGACGTAAATTAACTACAACAACAAATCTATTAATTATTTTTCTGAAATTTTCAACTTTTCACCGATGCCCGGTGGCTGAGTGGTAGCGCTTCTCGCTCCCGTGCCACAGGTCCTGGGTTCGATTCTCGGGCTGGAAAGGTTGATTCAGCCTTTCATCCCTTCAGTGGGTCGATAAATGAGTACCAAGCATTCTTGGGAACCAAACACTGGGGGTTTCTCGTTCGGCTGACCACCTAACAGTAACATCTGCTCTTGCACCCCAGAGCCCAAGGTCAAGAAAACTGAGATGGGCACAGTAGGCCTTGGCCCTCTACGGGCTGTCTCGCTACTGATTTCAGTTTTAGTTTAGTTTAGGTAACTTTTCACCGGCAACCTTTGATTTTTCATATTACCGATCATTTTTCTGATCGAGAAGAAAGATTTTGTAAAGGATTTTCTGCCTTGTTTCAAACGCAAATATGAAAGAAAAAATAAAAATATACTTAAGGTCTGGTTTCTTAGGACAAGCGCCTTATCTGAGCGTCAGCGGGACGTCAACGTCCCGCTGACGCCAACAAAATATTGGTTTGTTAGCTCAAGTCCTGGTTTCTTAGAACTAGTGCCTTATTTGGGCGTCAGCGGAAAGTTGACTTAGAGCTGATGCCAAAAAAATACTTTTTTGTTAGCTCAGCTTGAGCAGTCGGTCCAACGCAGACATTATCTCTCATTGCGCATGCGTTAATAACGTAAGCAAATATTTATTTTGAATTTGTATTGATTTTTTTATTGTCGACTAGTATTTTAGAGAACAAATAATGACTTTGTCCAAGAAAAAACACATTATAGCTGAGTTAAATGAAGAATGCTATGTTTAATGAAGAAGCTATATTTAATGTCAAAATCAAAATCTTGGCTGATTTCAATGTGCTGTTGGATGTTGTCCGCCATTGCTTCTGTGGTTAACGTCACGTTGTAATCCAACTGCAGTTGTGTTGGACGGCAGTTGTAGTTCAAGATGAGCGTTCAATGACGTATACTATCAAACTCACAAATGGACCAATCAGAGGTTAACGCTGATTTCCAGCTGACGGCGTCCTGTCCTAAGAAACCAGGCCTTTAAATAACGATTTTTAATACATTTTAACAAATTCTTTCTCCAATTCACTCTAAATTTTTAGAAACCGTATAATATTTTCATAAAGCGTGTTCACATTACCATGCATGATCCCAAAATATGGAATGTGATTAACTTTGAACAGGGTTTTAAGTAATAGTCCGTCTTGATATATATTAATCAATCAACACTACATAAACCATTAAAAAAAAATCAAAAATTAGGAACTACGAGAAACGTTTTAGTGTAATTTGATTTATTCAAAGATTAGATTGCTGTTGATTAGATTAGATTAATCAGAAGATTGCTGTTGAAGTTTTCTAAAACACGACTGAGTGTTCCTGATTAAAGGGGAGATGTTTAGTTTATGAGTTAAAAGAAATAGCTGAGATGTATCAAACCTTTTCTAAAACATTACTAAATTATCTATTTAAGAAATAAAGGCAATAATTGCTTCGCAATATGGCAGAAAATAGTTTTTCTTTTAAAGTTAAAATTATTCACTTAGCATAGAATTAAATTCATAGAACTATGACAAAAACGTGGAACTAAAATGAATTCCGTTTGCTCACGATCCCGCAGTTGACTGATCGCAAAGACCCTTTAGAACACCGAAGTCAAGCATCAGTGGTTGCTGTCAGTAAACGGGTGGGAGATCAGTCTGCGTAGGGACCGAGGGTCCTCATTGTACTGTTTTGCCATAAAGTGCTCGATTTCACGAGAGGGTCGTAGGGCTACCAAAGCAGGGGAGCCAACTACTCTGTAGACGATCAAAGTTGCGATGGCATGTCTTCGGATCATCCTCAGCGATGCTTCTCAGACCGTCTCCAATAGCCCAATGTGCAGCTCTAGTGCGATGAAAATAAAGTGCCTACAAACCTGTTTACTTACGCTTGGGCCTCTACTTCCCACGTCCAAATATTATTATCTATCAGTATTATAAATATTTAGATCTATTGGTGAACAGAAGTAATTTTTCTAAACAATCATTTTTTAAAATAACATTTGTATTATTATAATATTATATTGTTCAAAGAAATTTGATGAGTTTACAACCGTAATTTAATATTTTCGCTTACCAAGTGGAAGGAAACATTAAATACTATTTTTGAACTATTTTCCCAAATCCCATGACGTCGGTGAACTTTTTATTTTGGACTCAGCTGAAACAACGTGTTTAAGAATAAGAACATAGGTTTCAAATGAGTGCTTAAGAAAACAAACGACTTGAATTGCAAAGAAAACACAGGCAAAGCAAATTTTACTCCTTCTTCAATGTTCAAACCAATTTTTACAAATAAATGAACTACCTACTTGATTTTCGTTACTTTTTTAAACAAACCTTAATCAAAGCCAAAAAACAAGTTAATAAAGCTGAAATAAATGTAGAGAGCTGGATTTAATTTTTGGTTCTATAAACAAGAACCCTGCCTCAGTGCTTAAACACAAAATCATGTTAAGAATGTAAGGAGGCAAACAAGTACAAAGTAGTTTAACCAATAGCAGCAGAGAAACAAGATTAAACAGTATAGTAATTAAGGGAAATTAGAAACAAATGTGAGGGGATTTGGCAAAGAATCCCGGGTTGTAACTAATTAAATTAGAACAAACTGCGATATATTTGGAAACGGTGAGATACTAGAGAGATTCTAATCTAAATAATTAGAATTTTTTAAAACATGGAATGACACCCAAAAATCAAGTTCAGTAGATGAAGAGCTGTGTTGAATAATTTTAGCAGAAAACTCAAACCTGTGATTAGAATTCCAACTATATAAAGCAATGGAAGATCGGTTAATAACCTAATTTTAGAAAATGTGAGTTAGGCAGCTATCTTTGGATTCTGGGGATAAAATGAAAGCTAATGAAGGGGAAGTCAAACCGCAAATCCTTTCCGATAAACAGTTGTGAGAAATTTATCACAATTATCAATAATAAAAATATATTATTTTCCTGTTCAAATGGGAATTGTATTCAAGGATCTCCAGAATTCATAATATTGATAAGATCAATGTCAGTATTGTCTATCAATATTAAACAACCTTCGATGTATCATTTATAAAAAGTAAATTTTAGTAAATCAAAGAGATTATTTGCAAAGTAGTGAATATACATGTCACTAAAGAATGGGTGACAACTGAGTTTTAGATGGGTTTTAACTAAGCGATAAAATCGTTAAAATTTCATTCGATAAAATTGACCCTTAAAAGTGAAGGTTCAACAATTAGTTTGCCAATTTCAACTTGGCTAAAGTGGAACTCTTTAACCCCTGTTTAAGACAATTAAATGCCTCTTAACGGAAACGTAAGCGAATAAAGATTTTACATCAAGATACCTTTTTTTCCATTAGGTTTGAACGTTGGAAGGTAATTGACAAATCATATGAGTTTATGCAACGGTTTCTGACAGCAAATGAATTCATATTAGAAAGTAGGTTCAAAATTGAAACATAATGCTTAACTAATTTATAAGAAGTTGTACCAAAGCTAGAAACAATAGGTCTAAAAGAAGTACAATAATATATGGCATTAATGTCAATAATTAAATTTAAAAAAATATATATATATAAATTGTAAAAGACTTTTCTTTGTGAAAGAAATATGATGTAGACATTTAAACGCTGTCTTTGTGAAACACTTTGTAAACAAATGTATGTACTGCATTTACAAATGAAATTTTTTCAAGATATGAATGTTAAGAGAATCGAATTATAAATATTAAGAGATTCAAATAATTAAATATTCCAATTTTTTTCATTTACACTTATGTTTCAAAGATGCAAGAAAATTTCGAAGGGCTATTGGTGAATGCTCTTAATTATAGTAAAAATAATAAGAGTCCGTCCAACGACAGTTATGAATAACAGATGGAATTGTCGTTAAAGTGAGTTTGTCGTTATAGGGAAATACATAAATTTTATGTTAAAAATTCAATAAAAAAGGACTAAAAATAAATAGATTTATCCCCTTTCTTAAAATTTTGAACAGTTATTTTACCAATAACTGTAGAATTTTTCTTTTGTAAGGATTAACATAATTTGACTGATGGTCGTTCTGTCATGTTTGCTTTACAAACATAAACATAAAAGGTTTAGATTGTAAGAAGGAAATACGGTGAAATGCTGCTCGTTTTTTGATGTTTTAATATACATATCAGATATAATTAAAAAAATTCGCTTTTGCTATTTTTCGTATAATTTTGCGCATTTAAACAGCAGAAAAGATGTGTTTCTTTCAAAAAAGAAAATTGTAAATGTGCACTATTGGTTCTTTCTCTAGTTATTTTTACATTTCAGATTCGTTGCTTTAACTACAGAATATCTACAAAAATTCACGAAGAGTGAAGGACTTTTTCGCAAAGGAGGAAATGTCGTCAGACAGAGGAAATTAAAGGTGAAGAGCATCCTTATTTTTAAAAAAAAATTATTTCATATTTATTAAAGTTTTATGATGAAGCTATTCAACAGGATATAAACCTTGCATGCCGAAGTAACGGTAGAGGGTCCGTAAAAAAAGTTTTACCAACACCCCTGCAAAATAAATGTAATATAATTTTAATTAAATTTTAAAATGTAGATAATTCTTTTTTTTACATGTAAAAAATTAATTCATGTAATATTAAATCGTACTTAATACATAAGTTAAAAGTAAAGTACTAAGCTAATAAAACAATTGGAATTTCAATATTTTAGTTTATTTATGATAATTGATACATCCTTAAAGAGCAAACTACCGTTTTCAAAAATTTCCCAATTTATGAAAATAACTTCTTTTTTTTCTCTCTTTGAGGAAGAAACAGGCATTGGAATCAGTCTAGAAACCCCGAACACTAGTCTCTAAATTAGAATACAGTCAATTACAGCTAGAGATGGTTAATATATTTTCTGGAGCAGGTATTTTGTACCTGTTATTGAATCATACCTGTTATGAAAATAACAGTTTACTTCCAAAGACCTGTTCCAAAATAGCTCTTGTGTCGTTGAACTCTGTATTTGCTCTAATTTTTATTTTATTTAACATTATTATTTGAATTAATTGAAGCTTTCTTTAATTAAAAAAATATATCCTTTTTTAAATTGATACAGTGTCACGATATATAGACGACTACATAATCTAGTGCAAAAATGCCACGACCGAAGATTCTTGCTACCCTGTAAACTTGACTTGCTTCTTTTAGGATAGAAAGTACTGATAGAATTTGTAATCTCTTCTAAACATGCAAATTCGATATATTTATATTCTAAATAATAAATATATCAAATTTGAATGCTTAAATGCTAATTTTAAATTTATTAATTCACCAAAATTTTTAAGAATTGTAAAATGTTTAAGAAAATAATTTTGTTTGGCACTTATTTTTCAGACTAGTTATCGATGCATAATGGAGCAAAGAAAAGGAAATTTTTAATAAATGAATTTTGCACGAATAAACACCTAAAAAGTATAATTTTTAAGTATGAAATATGAAAATTATTATATATTTTCCTTTGCCTTTCTATAGGATACCAGCAGGCTTTCCCTAAGTCATTCTATTGAATGGTAACATGTGAAATATTTCGCACTTCATACATTGCCGATTAAGTTAGGCCTTCTATTCAATGACTATTAGACATTGCATGAAATGCCGAATTTTATACATTGACGATCACATAGGCAATTCATTCATGTGCTCCCTGTCAGCGTTTTTGCTCTAATTGACTGCAATAGTTCAAGAAATGGATTTCTTCCATGTGGGTGTGTACAATACGCATCTTCACTAGATCAGAACACACACATTGAGATCAGGGGATCAGGTTGGCCATGAAATGTCACTGTGAAATAACTGGCCTTTTGAACATTGGTGTATGATTGCTCAGTGGTAACGTGGAACAAACAATTATCGGCACTACAGTGTTGCCAATTCCAACTCTCAATATTACTTCATCACCCTGATTAAACGCAATGTTTTGTGTTATTTTACTTACTTTTATTTACTTTTTCAGGCAACAATAGAAAATGGTGGTGACATTCAGGACTCAGAACCCAATGATGTTGCGGCCCTTTTGAAGATGTGGTTACGGGAATTGCCAGAGCCCTTGATTCCAACCCATTTGCAAGAGTTGTTCATCAGGTGAGTAAAAATTAAATCTTTAAACTCTTAATCCATAATTTTAGAGTCGCCATCTATTGATCCATAAAGTAACTACACTGTTAAATGAGGTAAATCGCTAGTATGCTAGTGCTCATTCTAACAAACTATTACTGTTATAATAACACAAAAATTGTGATGTTTCTTCTTACAGGTGCCGTAGTTTGGAGGAGGTAAAAGATCGTGAGACCGCTTATCTATTTGCTTTTCTTCTTTTACCAATCGACCACCAAAATACATTGAAACATCTTTTACGTTTCTTTGCCAATATGGCCGTAGATAGTGATAAGAATAAGATGGGAACTTACAACTTGGCTCTCATATTGGCTCCAAATATATTCGCAATGAAAGAAACAGCTGACAAAGTCAGGTAATAATTTGTATCTAAAATTTTTTGCTCAATATTTCTTTTCTTTAAATTTGTGTAGCCACAATTTCAAATACAGTAAAATATTTTCTAAATTTTACTTACTTATTATTCTTTGTGACCAATGGCACATAAAGTCCTTAAATTTTTTTTGCCAGCTCAATCGATCAGTTGCTTACGATCTCACCTTAGACCAACTCATCCATTCCACCTGCTTTTTCTTTCACTTGTCTGTTCCATTTTAGCGTACGTAGGTCTGACTCTTTCTTGTTTGCCTTGTGATGCCCAAGTTAAGGCTACTGATGGGTATTCTTCTGGAAGACAAATCTCAAAGTAGACCCTAATGTAGGTTTAGAATACGGTTTAAAATCAGACCTCTCTTGTTATTTCTGGTAACAACAATTAATTTTTTCCACTGGACTGCATTCCATGTATTTGTTTTCGTTATCAAATAGAAAAACTTAGATTGCATGATTTTGAGCTCTTTACCTCCTTTGAACTTTCTGAAAATATTGTTCAGAACTATTCTGTGCACATCGATTCCATCATCTCATTTTTCAAACCATTTTCATACTTTATCTTTACAGAAATGATATGATTTTCCAACATACGGAGATCATACAAATGCTGATTGAAAATTCCGATAAAATTGGTATGATGCCACCATCATCACTTCTATACCAGACATCCTTACTAGGATCGGAGTTAACTACATCCACTGATATAATTGATGCTGGACCAGGTAGATACAAGAAAAGAATGAGCGGAACAGTTCAAGGTATCTTTAATTTAAATAACTTTCTTTTGCAATCAAGAATGCTTTTGAAGAAATATTTTAAGGTCACTTTTTATGATTAATGTCTAAACTATTAAAAAAAAACTATTTAAAAAAAAACTATTAAAAAAAATGCATCTTTTTATGAGATGTTTGTAAAACAATCTAAACATGACTCTTTAGAGGTTAATTTTAAACTACCTAGTTATCTTTCTTACCAGAAATTCGAGAAAATTTTAATCTATATTCCGTTACACGTTAAGAAAAGAGTATTGCGATATAGGAATTAAGTAATCATCATGCAGCGACGTCCCGCGTGGGTGTCGAACCTAATTGGCTGCTGAATTGTGACATAAACAAATGCCACTATTCGGCAGTCAATCTAATTCGACACGTTTGATTAGATTGACCAGATTGGGCTTGCGAGGTACCCAAGTTAGAAATTTATTATCAATTTATTCTTAGTGCAAGTTTTGATGGCTTTCAAGATGTTAAAACTTTTCTCAACTCATTTTTTTTTTCTTTCAATTTCTCTGACGTTTATTATTACTCACTTGAAATCCAAATTGTAATTGTTGACCTGCTGCACCATACAACACTGAAAAGTACAACACGTAAATATCATATTTCAACTGCATACTATAATTATCCAAACTACTGAATTTCGAAAGCTTTGAACTGACAAGCGAACTTCCAAGATTAATTTCGTATACTGAATCAATATATCTTTGGGCACATACCTCTACTTTTATGAACATAATAAAATCTAGCCTTCGTATAAGATTTCTTGATATGCTGGTTACTGGGCCACAAGGTTGACAAGTGCGAATTATAAATAATATTTGCCTAATGATATTTTCTTTTCTTTTTTTCAAAAAAATAAATTGTAGGGTTAAAATTTAAATTTCAAGGCATTTTTAAATCTTAAAGTAAAAACCTTTGCCTTTCCTTGTTCAATGATTTAACTAAAGAAATGTTGCCGGGATAGCCTGGTCGGTAGGGCGCTAGGCCCATGTTCGAGAGTTCGTGGATTCGAACCCCGCCGGCCGAAGACTCCCTGTGTAGTTGGTGACTGATGCACGTTAAAATTCTGTCGAGTCGCGAAGTCCTCAATGTCCCCATAACAAATCAAAACCTCTGGGGGTACTGGATTGAAGATCGATCGTTCTCTGATCCAGGTCAAGAATTACGATTTGTGGATGTATGAATGGGTCCGCCCAATAAACTGGTGTGACGTGTGTGGGGCTGAAAACAAATTCTTGGCCATAGATGGCGCCACTGTAAAACAAGAAACGTACCCTCTGCCTTAAATTTGCTCTGTTTCACCAAGCAGGCTTGCTAGTGTGGCAAGTGGCATTAGAAACAACAACAAACTGTTTTTGCTGCAAAATAACGGTTTTTTGTCTCTTTCAGATCTTATGAGTGGATTCAGGAGACTAGTGGGACAAAATGTATCCTTCAAGTCCACCAGCGTTTCTGACTTGGCAGAAACTTCTTTTCCAAGGTCTGCATCCAAACGTAAAGCTGAACCAGAACATACAACAGCTAAAAGGCAAAAGTATGCCAGTGTGCATTATTGTTCTCTCTTTACGATTTACTTTTACGATAACAGTGTGCATTACTGTCTCCTTTACGATAGAAGTGCATTGTTCAACATTGTTCAACATCGGTAGATATCATATGATAATTGATATTCATTGTATATTCTTTCATCACAGAGTGGATATTCACCGAAAATAATATTTTAATTCAATCTTCCATTTCGATCTTAATAATTCAGCTATTGAAGTTAAGTATGTTAATTCAATTCGGTGTAATACTTGTACGCTAGCTATCGAGACATTTTTTTTCTTCTTTTTTGTTTCTCTCCTTATTTAATTCTAGATTGCCCAAGGAAGTCATTTTGACTGCTTTTTAATTTCAATTAGAAAATCAATGATGTATATAATGACACGATTTCTTAGAACTTTGTGACTTTTATAATTATTTTTATCGTTGATATTTACTAATAACTTGCTATATAACTGAAAAGAATATCAAAAATATTAAAAATTAATTTTAAACAAATTTCTTTATACATTAGTTATTCTTTCACAAAGCAGTCATTTTGACAGCTTTTGGGCAATATATGTCTTTCAGTCTTTCTAGTGTTGAAGTTCCATTTTGATAATGTTGTAGGCTAGTTTTATTGCTAACCTGTCGACGCACTGCAGTCTGAATCGAAAAAACCGCTAGCCAAAAATCTAAGCGTTTTGATAAACCGTATGTTATGTAATTCGTAGAGTTATTGAAGATCAATGATTACGAACATGAAGTCAGATTCTCTCTGTGGTTAATCTAATGTGGCGAAGAAGATTATATTAACGATATCTGTTAATTATTATTATCAATAACATAATAACAATAACCTACAATCGTTACACTTAGATGAATGAATATCTATTTATTTTTGGGATTCATGATAGCTAATATGTCAGTTAATAAAAACTTGAAAGCGGACTTAATATTTTTATTGATCAAAATGAATTTTAATTAAAATAAATTTAAAATTCATCAGTTTAAACTGTGAAACAATCGGGATTGGAAATTAGATATTTTAAAGAAAATGGATAAAAGACTCTATATATTTCGAAATATCGTGCATGAAATTAAAAATTTGCTCATATATGGTAAACTTATGGTATGGTAGCGCATAATATATGGCAATTTTATAGCCGTCAAAGGTGACCAACATTTTTGAATTTAATGAAGTTTCTAAGAAAATCAATAATTGAAATACATGCTTTTTAAAAGTCTATATGAGCAAGTAAAATGCAATTTTTATTTATTCTATTCTATTCTACATTATTAAAGTATAGAATAAGCGAGTTCAGGTAAACGATAAAATTACTAACGCTAAAAAAAATTTTTCAAAATATCAAAATGCAAGCAAATTATTACGAGACAACTTCCCTTTTGCGTAATCCTGGTGAATCCAATCATCACCTCCTACATCAGAAAACCTCCACACAGTTTTTTATAAGTAGTCCGCGCAGACCATTCAAAAATTGAACCGGTTGTGCGCATGGAACCCATATTCTCTTCTAAAGTTGACTGAGAGAAATTTATAATATACACTTGAGAATTGAATCTGTAATGGTTGACAAGTAAATAAAACAAACCAATCATATTCATAAATTAAACAAATTTTTAGACATATATTTGCTACCACTTTCTTATTTTTACTAGATTTTGTATCAAGTGGCTCTTTCGTAAACTGGTTTACCTTCATAATGGTCTGATCGGACTACCTATAAAAAACCGTGTGGAGGCTTTCAGTTGTAGGAGGAGTTAATCCAACTAACCAACAAAATGAAATACAAGTTTAGGAATGAATGCAGGAATAAATTCCTGTATGATTGTAATAATTGATAATTTGCGACCCTTACGTTAAATTTCGTTGTTACGACCAATAGATATAGGTTGATTTGTTTTTTTTCTTCTTTTTTTTTTGTTTATTAGAAAATTACATTCAGAGTAAAGGAGTTTGCTCTTTCCAATAAGTATATTCAAAATAACTACGTTCACAACTAGTTGCACGAAATCAGCTATGCGAAGATAGCCCCCGAAAATGAGGAAAATCAAAAATTCAAACTGCAGTCGTTTGACCATTTTTTGACCACAAATGACCACCCTTTAAATTTTTTTGACCACCCTTATTTTGGACATAATCCTGAAAATTAAATTCGGGGGCTAACTTCGCATTTNCAAAAATTGAACCGGTTGTGCGCATGGAACCCATATTCTATTCTAAGTTGACTGAGAGAAATTTATAATATACACTTGAGAATTGAATCTGTAGTGGTTGACAAGTAAATAAAACAAACCAATCATATTCATAAATTTAACAAATTTTTAGACATGTATTTGCTACCACTTTCTTATTTTTACTAGATTTTGTATCAAGTGGCTCTTTCGTAAACTGGTTTACCTTCACAGTGGTCTGATCGGACTACCTATAAAAAACCGTGTGGAGGCTTTCAGTTATAGGAGGCGTTAATCCAACTAACCAACAAAATGAAATACAAGTTTAGGAATGAATGCAGGAATAAATTCTTGTATGATTGTAATGATTGATAATTTGTGACCCTTACGTTAAATTTCGTTGTTATAACCAATAGATATAGGTTGATTTGTTTTTTTTTTGTTTTGTTTATTAGAAAATCACATTCAGAGTAAAGGAGTTTGCTGTATCCAATAAGTATATTCAAAATAACTACGTTCACAACTAGTTGCACGAAATCAACTAAACGGATCATTATGTAATAAAAAAGAATCGATTAGTTGATTTCGTGGAAAAAGTAGACGTGGTCAATTTTTTCAAGCATTTGTATTCCACTGATATAGTTAATGTATACTTGGAAGATTGAGTTAAGTTATTATTTTGACTTCAGGCTCTATTTGTAGTTAAAAATACCAAAAGTATATATAGAAACGAGACTAAGATATAGATTTTACGTTTTGACTTTTCGCATTTAGAGAACTAAAAATCCTGCAATGATTTGTATTTCGTTTCGTATACGAAAGGAGAAAAAAAAACGTTGATTTAAAAAAATGTTGAACAGTGATATTCGGGGCACAAACTTATTGCTTGTTGATAGAAAGCAAATAAAACTGTTTATAGTAAACCACTTTTAAATAATGAATTTTAATTATGAATAAATTCTTTAAGTTTAAAAGTATCAATGTACTTAAAATTAAAAACACTTTTAAAATGCAACAAATACTGGATTGAGAACTTGATATGCATGCTGACATATTTTAAGTAATTTAATTTTTCTCTCTAATTATTATTAATTATACCTTTTGTTATTATTCAATGAAAATATTATAACAGTGTTAAAGGCAATTTCATTTTTAGGTATAAAATTGCCTTTAACCTTACCTTGTTTAAAAACTTTGTTTACTGTTCACAATTATGCTTTTTTTTAAGGTAAATTTTTTCAAACCGTAATTTTATGTGTACAAATATTTTGATAAAACCGCTACTCATAGATGCTAGAGCGGATTGCGAGAGAGAGAGAGACTAGTCATCAACAAAGTAACGCAATTGCAGATAGCCGTGCTGACACAGGAACTTATTGATCTATTCTGAACTAACTATTTAAACTTAATTACTTTAAACTTTAATTCCATTTTCAAATTTGTTAATTTAAAAATTCAATACTAACATAAGGATTAAAGAACTTTTGTTTCGAAAGAATTTTGATGATTTGTGTATTAACTTTTAATTATTGTTTAATTATCTAATTTTATTTTATAACCGTTGTTGAACAGCGGACCCAAATTTTTGGGTTTAAGTCTACTAATGTTCAACTCGTTTGCCTTCGTGGAGGACTTTTTGATGCAACTAACCCACATTTGCGCTACATGGAGAGGAAGACCTCGAGAACTTTCCACGGTTAGCCTGACGGCAAGGGGACTCAAACTCATGATCCGTCTACCAATGAGGATATTTCACGTCAGCACTGAGGTCGGTGCAAGCCGGGTGCGGATTCGTTTCTACCAGCCATCACTGGGGATTCGAACCCGGTTCATCTCGTTGGAAGGCGAACGCTCTATCCTCTGAGCAATCGTGGATCTTAATTAGTTTATTTTATATAACCATCTTTGAACAGCCGACCCAATTTTACGGATTTACCACTACTAATGTTCAACTCCGTAGCCTTGTAATTTTGAACCCAATCCAGGAGACAAGGGAACTCCTCTGGATCAGGTATTGGGAGAAATTGGCCTTCATGGGAACTTTTTGATGGAGCTAATCCGCATTTGCGTTACATGGAGAGGAAGACTATGAGAACCCCCACGGTTAGCCTGACGGCAAGGGGACTCTAACCCATGATCCGTCTACCACTGAGGGTGTTTCTCGTCAGCACTATGGTCAGTGCAAAGACGGATCCAGAATTCGTATCGACTGGGATTCGAACCCGGTTCGCCACATTGGTAAGCGAGCTCTATCCCCTGTGCTATTACGGCTCTTAATTAGTTAATTGGAAAATTTCGAAGCACCTGTTTGAAACATCGAATTTTAACTGGAGGGAATGGTAAAACCTCCTTAATGAGAGGGAACTTTGAGGCGCAATAACTAAGATCAGTGAGGTTGCAGACACGAAAGTGACATATTTTATTCATTCTTTATTTATTAAATAATTGTTTTGTTTGATTTCATCGATGATTGATTTTCTGAATATTTGATTAATCCACTGAGGCTCGATGTTGATTATTGCAGCCTACTAATTATATTGAATTTGAACACAGTACAAGTATAGTGTTGTATTTTTGTTTTTGATTAGGCAATCTATATCTTTGGATGATCTAGATAGCCCTACATATGTGACTCCTGAGAAGAAAGGTAATTGTATTATTTTTATTAGATCAAGTTTATTTTTTGGTGTCTATCATAGAGAAACATATTTTTCTCCTGACTCTTCATTTTCCATAACTACAGGTCGAACAATCCCGGAGAAAAGCAGTAGCAGGCATACTCGAAGGAAGTCATTTGGCGCTCTTTTTCTGCGAAAGAGAGAAAAGAAGAGGTAGTTATTAATTTTAAAAAAAAATTATAGTTCCCAAGAAGTTCACATACTGTTAAAAACAAAAAATTCTGAGGTGTGGTTGAATGTATTTTGGTTTTCATTTCAGCAAGAGAGACACGTTAAAGTATAAATTCAGTAAAGCACACGCATTATAAAGATTCTTTTCTCGGATTCTTGGTGGTCCCATCAAATCATTTTGATGTTTATGGTTAATTTTCCATCATGCGTTCATCATGCGTTTTAAATACGCCACAAACTTCCATCATGATGGAATTTGCTTCTTTAATGCTGTGGTGGTTAACCATCAAGAGAAGTTAGATTCTTAAGGACCAACAATCTATGATAATCCGTGATAGTCCATGATGTCTCCAACTATACATTTCCATGATGGAAATTCTTGTTGGTTCTCAGAAATATAACATCAAAACAATTTGGGTTTTTTTATGTTGGCCTATCAGAAATCAGTCCAAATTCTTACTTTAGAGTGATGGTTGTTCATGAGAGTTCCAACGTTTGATTTCTAAGAAACTATAATTGAAATTTCTGATGGTTTAACATGGACAATCAATCAAAACTAGTTGCTATTCTTATGTTGGACCATCATAAATTAGTCCAAATTTCTACATTGGGCTGATAGTTACCATAACAAAAATACAATGGTTCATGATGGAATTATTGATGGTTGATGGATGGATTGATGGACCAAGATTATGATGGTCCATTAATGGAAAACCATCAGATTTTGACTAGGGTAATGAAATCAGTACTCTCAGCATTTACAGAAATTTTTTCCCATTCTCACTTTAGCATGCTCCAAAATTAGTTTAAATTTGAGCATTTAGCATCATTCCTTTTTAATAGCATGCAGGGTGTTCGGTATTGATCACCCTTAATACATTGCTCGGTATATTGTATAAACCTAAGGAATCCAAATTAGGAGCCGCAAAAAATTTAGTGTAATTACCATTGCTAAAAACTAATGAATTAGAAGATCATGGTAGGAATTTTCTAAACACCACTGAGATTGCTCGATGAAATAAATCTTAGAGGTAAACTTTTTTTTCTGAAACAGCACTAAGATATCTAATTGAAAAATAAGAATATTTAAAGGAAAGCTCTCAATTAGATTAATTAAAGAAACGGGTAGTACAACTTTATCGAATCACATTTGCTCCATGGAGAAGTTTTGCAAGGAATCGTAAGCTTCGTTTATCCACCAATAAAACAAATGTAAGAATTATTTATTATTTTATTTAATAACAGTCGGAGAGATTTTGAATTTTTAGAAACACAATTTTATGCATTCTGAGAAATCGAATTTTAAACATACCTCTCTTTGAAAACTATACTTCTCTGAAACTTTTCGACCGATTTCACCCTAATTTTGTTTTCTTGCCATTTTTTTATGGTTCGAAACAATTATGAATACGCAGTCATTTTTTGGAGGACAAGGTTATTAATATTTTAAAATTGATGGGAAGTTCAAATTTTAAAAATCTTAATTCTTTCTCACGTATTGTGATTTTGTGGGTTACTCGCGTAGCTTTTAGACTAATCATGTTGTTGTTGTTGCACGCCCCCATTGGCCAGCAGTGCTAGACCAGGTCCATGACGTTATACACCCTCAAAGAATCCAACACCGTCCTTGGATCATCTGCTAAATTCTGCCTGGTGAGCCCCAGGCACGCGAGGATGGGGTGAAGCGAAGCCTGCTCTGAATTAACTGTTGTTACAAATTTCAAAGTTCTTGGATCCTTCCGAAAATTTCATTGATTTAAGGAGACTAATCATTGTTTATGTCGATCAGTTTATCGGAAAAAAATGCCAAAAGAATATCAAATTTGACTTCAGCTCCTCATTTTGGTAAAAATTTGTCAGTTACTTCATTTTTCTTAAAAACAAGACATAATTTATCAAAACAAAATTAGCCCAATCTGTAGCAAAAAGTACAAATTATTTCGGAGTTAAGGATTGTAAGCTGTGCAAAATTAGAAAGTATATTTTAATAAGTTTCTTCTAGAGTATATGAATTCTAAATTTTCCAAGAATTTCACATTAGATTATTCCTATTTTAAACCTTAGATTTGTATACATATCGGTTGAACACTAGTCCTATGGCAGGGCTCCCATGGGTCAGGGAAAGCATGGAATTGTCGGGTTATTTAATTTTGTCTCTAAAAACAGGGAATAGTCAGGGATATTGCAATTTTTTTTACAAAAAATCCTAGTAAACTCCTACATCATACCAGGAAAATAACCAGTCTCAGAATTGTCAGTAACAGTAATCAGTTATTGAGATTAGAGTAAAATAATTCTGAAATTCTGACATCTATAAAAATTATTTGTTGTTAAAACTTTACATTTAATTATACTTTTTTGCTCACAAAATTTAATATTTGACATTACAAGTAAAAAATCAGTTTCCTGATTAAGAATTGCATAGTATAGATAAAATATGATTTTCATTAAAATAATCCTGATATACTAGGAAAAGACAGGGAATTTTTTTTTCTGAAATTGAGTTGGAACCTTGTATGATATCACGGTGCTAAAGGGAACAATAGGTTTATCATTTTTTTTTCTTTTGTCAAGATAGTTCACAGTAACATTTGATCAAGCTATCTAATTTGATGCTATTTAAATATAGCTCAGTATGGCCGCTTTCCTGTTATTAAATTCACTTCTGTAAAGACCACTAATACCTATCCAATCACCGGCAGTTAAGACATATAATACAAATTTTTAATGTAAATGCCAGGTTAACTGTATCCTTCGAAAATAAAGTATCATTTGAAAACTATTCGAGTTTTGAAAATGTTCTTGAAAATTTAGATACTCAGTTGAACCAAAAAAAAAAAGAAATAATAGACAAAGCAATACTGTAGTACGTGATATTTTATTCTTTAAAAATCCAATAACAAGCTATTAAAAATATATATCTTGAAACTAAATACGTTATAACTGAATAATCTGAAATCATTCTTTTTTTTTCAGTAAAAAATCTGGCTCTCAAAATCTGCAAATGACGGTAGTCGATATACCGTTTGACTCAATTGCTTCAGGACAAGAAGGAACCAATTCAGCTCAAGTCGGAAGCAAGTGTCAATTGAATCTTAATTTTACTCATTCATTTCCAATTGAGGAAAAAGAATCGTCAATAGCTACAGCTGAAGAGAAACAACACACTGCCCCGAGGTCTGTTGCTCCTACTCGATCTGATAGCATTACTGTAGTTAAGAAGAGTGAAACTGCGAAGTGGTATGTTGAACAAGCAGCTGAAAGCATAAGGACATCAAGTTCAAAGGAATCTGCATCTCATGAAAAAGCTTCAAATATCGAAATAATTTCTAGTCATAAATCTGGGCTGTCCAGACAAGAAGCTTTTAGCATTAAACCTCCAAAAACTAGGCTCCAAAATGTAATTTCAGATGAAATATCTGAAAAAGATTCGAAACCTGACAACTTAAATGAGAATGTGAAGACGGATAGTTCAACTAAAATCCAAAAGAGCCCTTGCTTACATTCACACTCATCTTGCAATTTGAAATGTTGCAAGAATAAATCTGTATGTGAAAAGAAGACGAATCAAAGTAAAATAAAAGCAGAATCCATCAAAAAACGTCGTGCGCAGTCGATGAAAATTCCTCGCCAAAACGATTGTTCCGATTACGAGCAATCTCCAATGAGAGTGAATTCGTACCAGAATCTACCAAGAAATCTTTCCCCGTCTGCTAGTCCCCGAGAAGGTGTTTCAGCTGCAAACGTGACTCAGAGCTTAGATCTGTCTTTGAGTTTACTCCTGCAAAATTTCTGCTTGTCGCCCCCAATCGACGCACCTGAATTTCGTCTCAGCATTGATATTTCTTCTGATAAGAAGAACTCCGAGTTAAAAGTTAATATATCGCAGAAAGAAACTCCAGTGGAAAACCAACGGAAAAAGTCAAACGGATCAAGCGAAAATGAAGCAACCGATTCGAAGCCTCGGAAACGACTATCCAGCAATTCAGACAGTCGCATTCCCAGGCTGAAGAAAATTCCGAATCCCAACAGACCAAGCTCCTTTCACGGAAATCTTGCAACATCAAAACGCAAGGATGACAAGTTTGACTTAATTGGGAAATCATTTGGAAGGCATTCTACGAAGATACCTTTACTTCAAAAGGAAGGCAAGCCACTATCTACTCCGAAAGGAGGGCAAGACAAAGATCAACAGAGTCCGAATGACAGTTGTTTCAAGACACCCGATACCTCTTTTTACCACGATACGTCCACGTCTTGGGTAAACGGAAGCCATTACCTGAGTGCTTTGACTTCGCCTGATGATAGCATAGCTAATAAAAGAGAAAGTATTTTAAAAATCCTGAAATATAATCCCGGTCATGTGCTTTCCAAAGTTAACATGTTTGATAGCAAAGGGTCTAGTGGTTCAGAGAGCGATTGCAAACTTGTCAGAACATCATCGGAAAAGTACTCATCTGTCAGTCGTTGCACTCGCCCCAAATTAATAGTATCAAACAGTTATAATGCTGTAAGTAGGAGTGATAGTGTCAGATATAGGCAAACTCCGCATAAACAAGAGCGACCAGTCCCACGTAGAGTTTCATTCAAAGCTCTTGAATCGCCATTGTCCAAAAGTACTTTACCTAAATGTACAAAGGCTGCTCGCAATGGAATCGGCAGTGATTCGTCTGAACGATCTAAATCAGTGATTAAAAAGTAATATCGATGTAGTTTCCTATCAATTGATAGCAAATAAGATAATATATCTCATACAAAAGCCATAAATTGTTTACTGTTTCTTCGTTTACCTGTGGCCATCCTTAAAGAATTCCCATGTTTTTAGATATTTTTGTGTTGTAAACGTTTTTGTTTCATTGTTTTGTGTTCATAAAGTAAATCTTTCTTAAGTATATTTTACCTACTTTAAAGATCTCGAATAGTTTATTTTGATAAGATGATTACCAACTCATTAAATTGAATTTATTGTAGATTTTTTAAAAGCTTCAATTGTTATAGATAAAAATATATCTTTTATTAAAAAAAAACTTTGATATTTTTAATAACAGAATAATATGAAGTGATTTTTCCGGCACTTTAAAAAAAAAAACTAATGGAATATTAAGTTATAAAATGCAAAAAGGAAAATTGAAGGAAATGTGTGTGCATTTTCTTGAAGTGTTGGTGTTTTTAGTAAAACAATTTCTCAGTATTAAACTTTAAAAAAGTTTTGAAATTCAATTTTTCTTCTTTTAACTGGTTTAAATACGTGTTGATACATGACAATAGAATTTTTCTAAAAACTTTTTGAATTTTAATAGTTTTATAATTTTAAAAATAGCTTTGCAATAGCAAATCGAAACGTTGTAAGCATTGTAGCCTTAAGTAGACGATTATTCGTTCATAAAAATTAAAAAATAATTTTTTATTCAAATTCTTTTTTCTAACTATTAATGTTCAAACGTATGTTAATGCTTGAAAATATATATATATATATTTTTAAAAAGAAGTTTTGAGTTTAAATATTAATTTATAACAGTTTTTTAACCGCGAAGAGTATATGAACTTTATTGCAACAAAATAAAAATTGTAAATGCTTTTTGAATTCTGTTTTTTTTTTAGAATACTTTTTATTTTCAATTCATACTATTTTCTATGTTTGAAATGCAAATTATAATTTCACCAACAGTTTTTAGTAAAAAAAATTTTTGTTTCTGATATTAGCAATAGTATACTAAGTCACATTGTTGCACGCTATTACTAATGTTATAGGTATATTAAGTTCTTGCTATTTCTTCAATATTTTTAAAAAAACTTTTTATCGATTCGATGAATACTAGTTTTGTTCTTTTTATGTGATTTCTCAATCTCTTAAATTTGAAACCTAGTTTGTTTGAAAAAAGTAATAAACTTTCAAAGTGTAATGTATTTTAAACATCTTAATTTATTAACTAACTATGCAAAGTATATTAAATTTTCCCATTTTATTCATTCTTTACTTTTTAATCTACTTTTGTATGCTCAATGTAAAAACATTGTTTACATTTTTTAAATAAATATTTTTTATGCATAATTTTGTTTTTTTTTTGCTTTTAGAACTCTTTTTTGTGGGTGTGAGGGCTGGCCTGTGATGGGTACTTTACCTCTAGAAACTACGCAATTTCTGTACTTTTAAAAAGCAATTTTTCTAGTGAGGTTAAATTTTCGAAGGTTAAATTCTGATTTGTTGAATTAATATTTCAACAAATCAGAATCTTAAAAAATAGTACATTGGATTTCCACTTGTTTTCAATTTGATTCACCTCCACTCAAAACTACAATATATTCTCCAGATTTGAAATGTTGTAGGGTATTTGGGTGCATTAGATGGGAGAAGACTAAGCAGATCTGAACGCAAGGCGGAAAAAAGAAAAGACTGGTAGAGAAGTAGTTTTCTTTATAGTTGATTTTTGTGAGTTGAGTAATGTAAGCTGTTTATTTTGAACTATAAAACTATTCATCACTTTTTTTCTAAGTAATTAAGTCTTATGTGTGTTTGATTGCTAAAAAAAAAAAAGCTTCGTAGCCATAGACACTTTAATTTTCCCTATATATATATAATTTATTTTTTGAAAATGGGAAAAAATTTCGAGTTTCACATTTAAGTTTCTGACGCATTAAATCTACAATGTAGTTTTTTAATTGCTTTTTTCGGTAGCTATCGCTACGAATTTCCAGTTTTAAAAATGTCAATGTTTTTAATACAACAAAATTGTGATGCAATAATTTTGAATGTTAGAAAAATCCAAGTGACTTTTTGATCATGTTTCTTAAAATCCCAAATTTTTAAATATGACATAATGACTCGAGACTTTAGAATCGTGCAAATAGTAATCACTTTTGACATGCTTTATTTATGTACACACACATATATACTCACATTTATTCTAGACAAAAAAAGCCAGTGCATTTTTTTTTCTTTTTTAAATTATGCATTAAGTAATTGAGACTTCTCAACACTGAAAGTAATCTTTTAAAAACTAAATGTGGAAACTTGTTTAATGATTTTTGGTTTATTGGAACATAATATAAAAATTTAGTAATCATGTAACAATTACATGTTAAGTTTTTTATTCCTCTGAATAATCTAAAAAATGATAAAGTATGCCACAAAACGCCTCTAGACTATTTAATCAAAATATTCACTTTATTAGAGATGTTTTATAGGCATTAACTTTTCTTTTCAAAAATTAAACTAGTTTATTTAAAAAAAAAAAGAATACATATAAAACTTCACACGTCATTTCATAAAAATAAAAATGCTTATTTAATGTGTAAAAAAATTTTTTTATCGAACTATTTATCATAAATTTGATGCTTAATAAGCAAAAATAGAGATTTACCTTTCAAAAAAATAATAAATTGGAGGAATAGAAATAAAAGCTACAGAATCTATGTATTTTGCTCAATATTATGGAAAATTATGTTTATCCTAAATTAATTTAAATTAAAAAAAATTTGATTCTCTAATTGCCATGTCTTGACACCTTCTGTATGTTAACTTCCAGATTTCCTTTATGCAAATACTTTTTTTAAATAGCAATTGACATAGAAATCAAATTTTTAAGTAACTAGCAAATTTTTCGAGCTTGAACATAATACAGAAAAAGTGACCTAAAAATATGGATACTGCCAGTTCTTTTAATGCTGTAGAAAAACTTTACTATCATTGTCCAGAAGAAAACCATTAAGTAGCAGAACAAGAATAAAAGCTTCCATGTTATTTACTTTTAGCTATTGTTTTTTTACTTTACCTTCCAAATTTACACTAATTAAATTATTTAAAGAATAAAACTGATATAAAGACATTTTTGATGAGTAAAAATACTTTATTTTGAAAAAACAAACATTATACAAAAACATAAGGAAATATTATTGTTATTCATATACATTTTTTAATTTAAGTTTTTTCTTAAAACTAAAACAAAGTTTTTAATTGGATATATAAAATTATATGATCAAATAATTTTTTTAAAATCTATTTTATAATGTTTTTTCTTTAACAAAAATAATTTTAATTCCTTTAAAACTGAAAATAAAATCTAGTATTTACACTTTACAGAAAATAGCTAAAAATATTTTAATAATCTGTAATTTTAATGTGAAAAAATAGCAAAATAATAAGCCCAATAGTACATATATACATACAAAAAGGTGGTACCATTCTAAAGATAAATAATTTAAACAAATAATGATTATTGTTCACTATTATGTCAGAAGCAATTTGTTTGGGAGAAAAAATTTAAATGCAATATAAGTCGTAAAAATCACAAGTGAAATAAAAAGAAACGCTTAACAACCAATCAAACTTGTAAAAAAAAAACTAAGTAGATCACAATTTAATAACTTAGGTATATCACAGAAAACAATATCTTTTATGATATTTTGTTAAAAATTATTCTTAGACAGAAAATTATAATTTGCAACATAGTTATCCTAAATGTTAGGAGGCACCTTAACTAGTCTGGTTTTTCGGACAGAAAGGTAAATGATCATACACAAGAGCACCAGACTTAAATATTTCCAAACATAACCAACATAAGTGGCTTTTACAATTGAAACATTTCATGTGATTACAACCTTCAGTTTTCTCAATGATCATTTTACAGTTGGGACACTGTTTACATGATTTATTATTTTTCATCCATACCTGTTTAGAAAAAAAATACATATTAGTGTAACTAGAATTAAGAGAACTTTATGAAAGAAATTCTCATATTTAATTACTTAAAATTAAACCAAATAGTAAAGGTTACAGTCATATTTCAAGGAGAGTGAATGGAATATTTTTATTTATCTCATCATAGAAATATTGCAAGAGAGTCGCATCTTTTGGTTCTATTTGTAAACACTGCAATAAGAATTTATAATGAAAGTAAAGATTTGAGAAATTATCAGCAATAAAAGTCTTATTCTACGAATTTTTATTAATAATAATAATTTATTTTATTACAATATATTCATAATTACATTATTTAACTAGGAAGACATATTTTCAGCTCCATTTTGAAAAACAGGGGAAAAGGGGAAAACTTTTTCATTAATTTTAATAAAGATTTGAAATGATTTTATTTATAAGTATACATTAATAAAAGTCTTACTTTTATTGTATATTAAAAAGATTTTGTTGACTGTTCCCTATTCTTAAAAACATTCAACTCAAAAATAAAACATTATGACTTAATAAAAAACATAAAAAATTATTAATTAAAGCATTTTAAATTTATAAAAAAGTAAGGAGAGATATCCCCAACAAAGTGTGAAATGCAAATGCTTTGAAAAACATGTCTGCATCCAGACGTTCAAAAATATCAATGATTTCTAAATACTTAAAAGTTTCTATTTCCCAGAATCGTGCTAAGCACCACTTATATTTACTATCTCTAGATTTCTAAGAGATGCGTCAATTTCATTGTAAGAAAAACTGATATTATGAAGCCAGGAAAACTTATCCTCAATTTTATCCGTTTATAAGAATGGTAAAAGCTTATATTTGAATTAATATTTGGAGAAGTGTCTTATTGAAATGTAACACTAGCAAAGAACCAAGAAACCAATAGCCATATATATAGCATACCTGCCAACTTTTAATCCTTTCCATTATAATTTTTCCCAGTGGTATTAAAATGGAATTAAAACTTCAATTTTAAGCAAACAAATACGTTGTATTTGAGAAAACTTAAGTTGACAACCATGATAGTAACGCATATTGATATATGTGCTTAATTTTTGTGAGAATATTGGTGATCAAAATCATTTAAAAGTTAAATTTATAAAAGAAAAAATAGTATATATTTACTACTACTTTATATATGAAAATAAAATCTTCCGGAAAATCCGGAAGAGTTGGCAGGTATGATATAGCCGATAAGCGGCTATATAAACGAAAAGCCAATAGTTTAGAAACCAATTGTTGATTATGAATTCAGGAAGAGTAATGAAAAATTTCTATCATGCAACACTTTATTACAAATTAAAAAATTTGATTTTGGAAGCCACCAATCTATTGTACTTTAATTTACTAAAAAAGAAAAGGATAATCATTTTGTGTCAGAAATCATCAGTACTGGCAAAAATTGGAGGTATTAAAGCAAATATTTGATGCAAATAAATAAAAACAAATTCTTTAATATACAGGGTATCTGCTACATTTTAGATTTTCAAATTCATGACTTTCCATGACTAATTCCAACAACTTTTCATGACTTAACGAAGTTACTATTTTCTCCGACAAAGACAGAATACTAAATTTAAAAAGCATTATAATAACATTCATTGAAATGATAGGTATAATCAATACTGTAATACTCTGCATCTTCATATTTATTGATTTTAATTTTAAAAAACAGAGAAAAGAAAGAGTTGACTTTCCATGACTAATTCCAACAACTTTTCATGACTTAACGAAGTTACTATTTTCTCCGACAAAAACATAATAATAAATTTAAAAAGCATTATAATAACATTCATTGAAATGATAGGTATAACCAATACTGTAATACTCTGCATCTTCATATTTATTGATTTTAAATTTAAAAAACAGAGTAAAGAAAGAGTTGAAGCAATAAAATAGCTGAGCAAATAATTTTTTCTTCTTTTTTTGTGCAGAATTATATTCTAAAGATACTTTTCTTGTTCATCAGAAAGGAAAAAAAATACTCCTGATTTTTCTGTTCTCATTTCGGAATTAAAAAATTTTGCCAATGACTGGCTTGCTTCAGCTAGAATTTTAAATTTATAAAATAAAAAAATTAATAACAATAATAATTCTTTCCATGATTTTTTTTTAAAAAAAATAGTTAAAATCACGACATTTCATGACAAATTTTGTTCAATACCAAAAGTCATGACTTTCCAGGCGCGCAGATACCCTGAATATAATAATATGCCATGTCTTTTATTTATAGATTTTAGTTCAAAATGGCTCTTAACGAAGTCCATAACTAAAATGTTATCTAGACAATCAAGTTATTGTTTATAATGTATTTTAAAAGCTGAATTAAAAAAATTTTTCACATTAATAGTACTAATATTTCAGGAGTTACGAATGTTTTATGAATAAAAGGTGCAGTTTTATGCTGGTTTATACTAGTTTAGACTAATACTGATTTATATGACTGTAATTGCCATCTATACAACTGATGCATAGAGTCTCATGTATTTTGTTTTTATGCTGAATCTAATAAAATTCAAGTTAAGTCAATAGGAATAATTGTTTACAAAAATTTTATGGTTAAAGATATTGATCTAACTTTTATGTTTAGAGATTAAAATATTGATTTATATTAATCCAAGAATAAAAACTACTAGAGCTTTAAATTTTTTTTGAGGGGGAAAACAAAAAATACACAAGAAAAAATGCCTTACATGTCAATGAATCAATTGTCAGGTGTGTAAATAGGTATAAAACTGTATTTAAAAACATAAAATCTTCTTCGATAACTTTTAAGTTGTCAGCTTCAGTGTCTCTGTTTTTTGTCTTATCCGATTTTAAGCACAAAAATACATAGGGAATACTACCTTCACATGCCTGGATAACAATGTCAGACATGCAAATGGGTATAAATAGAAAACTCTTAATTTTTATATACAACAAATGGTTCCCAAAAGATGTTCCATGAAAGCCTAGAGTACTGTGAAAGAGTTACAGAGGTAAACCAGGAATTTTCATATTTATATACATCAATAATCTATAATTTATGAACTTATCTATGTAAAATGCCAATAAAGAAAAGGTAGCAAAATATAAAGAATTTTTTTTTTCAATAACGATCTATTGAATAAATTATAAAAAAGATAAGCATTTATAAAAAATTCCATAAATATTTTTGATTGAGATGGAAATCAAAGTATTATCAGTGAAAGGATATTAAGATAAAATTAATTGCAAATAACTTACTTTTAAGGAATAGTCTTCATCCTCTTTTGAATTCTGGAAAATATCACAGTCCATGCCCTTATGGGAGAATGTTTGACAACTGTAAATAGACATGCATATAAATGTATTGAATTGTTATATTAGTAAAATAATCATAACAGAAATCACTAATGTTTAAAAATCGCAAATATATACAGTGAGTTCATGATCATGCTTATAAAAAATTCATTAGTTCATATACAATAGAAGCACATTTTTTATTTTGACCAAAATAATTTTGAAATGTTTTTTCTGAAACCTGAAAAAAAATATTGAAAATTATTTTTTATTAATACAGTAAAACCGGGATTTAATGACACTCGTGCTTTTGAAGTTTCTTCAGCTAGGTTAACTTGTGTCATGCTTTTCTTTCCAGATAGGAAAAGAAGAATGTAGTGTATGAATAATAGTAAGTATTATACTTTTACACCTACAGCAGAGATGCCAACTGCTCCAAACACGCCAAAATAATTTTAAAAAACGGCAAATAACTACAAAGTAAATTTTGCAAATATTTTACTATTTTTGCTTGCTTTTTAAAAGGTATAGCATGGCTTAAGTACTATAAAGTGGCGAATTATATAAGCCTATGAATTATTTAGAAATAGTGGTGAATAAACGTCTACAAAATTGAATTTATTAAACCAAGAATCACAATTTATAAACTACCACTTTAAAATATATATTTGCTGTCCGGAGCAAGTTGGCATTTCTGCTACAGTAAATGATCGGTGATGCAGGGTTGCCAGAGAAAAAAATGAACAAAATAATAGCTTTTAATAGCCTAAAGCATGAAAATAGTTGCCGAAAACTATGAATATAGTTGCATACTGTAAAAAAGTTCTGGTACTTAGTGCATCCTCTAACACTATTTGCCTAAATACTGATGTAACAAATTTTAGTGCAGGAATAATAGTAAGTAATACCCTTTTATGCAGACCGATGGCGGTCGGTGATGCGTAATTACGTTGATAAGAAATGGCTTCCAGAGGTTGTGTAAGTTCTGATTGATAGCAGTCAATCATTCGGTCACATTCCTAATTTGCTTGATGCATTATTTGTAATAAAAGTGTTGTTATAAAATATGTTGAATGGATTACACAAATAACTAACACAAACCTGCACTCCCCATAAAATAAGCAAAACATACACAAGTCTTTTCTCACATTTTGTCACACGTGTACAAAAAAAGAATTGCATTAGAAAAAATGTTCAAACAAATTTAAAGAACATGGATTAAAATTAAATTTATCTAACCGCAAATTTTTCTGAAATGAAATGATTTCTTAGAGCACAAAATTGACGCGAATGGATTGCACAAAATCAATAAGAAAATTTCACCTACGTTCAAGGCAATCTTACCAATTTGATATTGCACATCGGAACACTCAGCATATCGGAACACTCAGCATCATGGAAATACAACAGGGTTCCTACACTATTTTGAGAAAACAATATCCTGACTTCTGCAGGTTTTTCCTGACCTTTTACTACTTAGTCATAAGTATCATAGATTGAATAGGATAAATACTTATATTTTAAAGGGGAATTGCGTAATAGCACTTTATATCCCAAATTATATTCTCAGAAAACTTGTGAAACATATTTTTAATTATCATGATTAGATTAAACTTTTAGTGTGTTTTTGTAGTTAGATACGAAAACTATTTAAATAAAAAGATCAAGAAAATCTGTTGGATTATGGAAATATTATTTTATTTAATGTTAAGTGGAACCAAATGCATGAGTGTCGTCAGGATATAAAGGATTAATCAAATCTGCGAGACATGTATCAGTATCCTCAAATAATATTTACTCTTAAAACATACTAGAATAGGGGTGCACAACCTGCGGCCCGCGGGCCAAATGCGGCCCGCGAAAGCTTCTAAACACATTTAAAAAAATTTAAAAAATGGCAATTTTTAATCGCACTTTTAAGTCATCACGTTTTGACACAATCAATTTTAACAGATTCTTTAGTAAATGTACGTTTAACGCTGTTTCTTTAAGCCGATTTTATAGTAAATATAAATGATTTTTTTTAAACAGTCATTTCCGCTTTTCTACGTGATTTNTGTCTCCATCTTGTTCTAGATCCTTTTACAGCATCTAGCATTTTTTCATTAATGTCTATGTTTTTTATTCTATTTATAAATGAAACATAATCATACACACGCCTTTGTAAAATAATAGTCTTTTTTTAGGTTTTCAACCAATAAGCTTTTATTGATTGAAAACCCCCCTTCGACTGTTGCTTTATCATGAGAGAGGATAAGAACAATTTTTATTACCTCCCACAAATTTTCACATTTTTTTTCTCCGTGCAAATATTTCGACATTCTTTTGCTGTGGATTAAAATCTAAGAAACTCTTTTGCTCTTCTTTTTTTTCTGGCAGCATCACAAAACAGTAAAAATTCCTTTTTTGATTTTTCAGCTGTTGTTTCAGCTACTATTGTTTGTAAACCAGCTATTCACACAAAGAGCAATAATAAACCTAGCAACCCTATCAAAAATTCCCTATCATTGGATACACAGGAGGAAAATTACTAACAGGATAGGTTCTACCAGGGAAAGAGGAATGTTATTATGAAGAAATTACATATTTTGAATTGCAGAATTTTTCCTTGAAACTTTATTTTTGCCTGTCAGTCTTTGAATGAACTATAGTTTTTTTTATTTTCCTAACTTTATGAATACGTAAGAAAAAATCCTGACTTCTCAGCTTAATTTTAGAATAGCCTGACTTTTGCAGGTTTTCCTGACCGTGTAGGAACCCTGCTTTAGTCAATGCTTTGTATGCTATTTTATTTTTTTAAAAAAAAAAAATAATAATTTTAAAAATGGCAAAATATGAAAAATAAAATTAGAAACTTAGGCCTTCTATCATAGTTTTCAAAAGATTTCGCCTAATTCCTCAGAGAAAACTAAAATTCACATTAATTTTGAATGCTAAATTTTCATATTGGTATAAAGATAATTAACTTAAAACACATGAATGAATTGGTCCTTAAATATAATAAAAAACTTACTATGCACAGATGTCATTTAAACAAGCAGGGCAATGGTAAATAATATCACTTTTCTTGGAAACTCGATAGACAGCACGGCAGCCTGGGGTGTGACAATAGCTGATCTGACCAGCATGAGTACTGACATGATGTTGAAGAGCTGCATTTTGAAATTCTCGTCTAAGCTTTTCATTCTCAAGAGACAAAATTTTATTGATGTCAATAAGGAAAAATGGTTGTCCACAATTCTGTAAAGAAAAATATACAATTAATATGAAATTTTAATTAGTAGCAGCTATAAATCCTTCAAAAAGTATAAAAAAAATTCTTTATTAATATAATTAGAATAAAAAAATTTCCTTATAAAACATCTTCAAAGAAAATAGATTTTAACATTTAGTTTACAGGAAGAAAAATTAAAACATCTAACTAAGTATCTATTTATAAAGTGAGGGATGACATATATTCCATTCGGTCTTCGTGCTGACATTTTTAAGCCTTATTTTTAACCTATGCAATGTCACAGTTATATTTAAAAATTCATGCAATTTAATCATGTAGAGATCGACATTGTTTGCAAATTGATGATTCATTTGAGAAATTCTCATACAAATATGATTGATTTGTTATCCAAATATGATTGCAGTATAATTTGTCGTTTTGCATATTATAGTAGCACATTTTATTAAAATAATAATCCTTTTTTAGCAAGCATCAAGTTAAACATCAATTAGAGTGATTCTTAGTAAAAATAAAATTTTTAGGACTCCATATCTAACTTTCAGTAACATTTTCACAACCAAATATACCAATTTTTTTTATACATACAATACTAATTACAATTTACTGAGTAAAATGTATACTAGTTTTTTTTTTAAAAAAAGGATATGTTTCTCATTATTTTTTAATTAATTTATTCATTCAATCATTTTCGTTTTATTTTCTGAATTATTCACATTCTTTTATAGGCTGGCTTTCAGGAATTTTATAAGACTTTATATTTATCACAGGGTTGGGTTTTTGACGTCAAAAAGTGGTTTTTGACATGACAAGGGTATNAACAAATGAGCAATTTAAAATGCACCCTACATGATGGGCATCAAATCCTAATTAAAAACAAAATTTTTCTAAATTTTTTCGTAAAATCAACAAAAACAAATGAGCAATTTAAAATGCACCCTACATGATAGGCATCAAATCCTATTTAAAAACATAATTTTTCTAAATTTTTTCGTAAAATCAACAAAAACAAATGAGCAATTAAAAATGCACCCTACATGATGGGCATCAAATCCTATTTAAAAACATAATTTTTCTAAATGCGCCCATTTTTAACACAGTTGCATTCTAAGATAATTAGAAAAAGTTGCATGTCTCCTGTATGTTTAAGTTACGCTATCTTTTAAATATCAATTACTGATGAACTCAAAAGTTTTTGATACTTCAAATGGGACTTAAATATATGCAAATCCATTATCGGACAAAGTTATTTTAGGTTCTAAAAGCAATTTTTTTTTTAACTCTAATGTGGAAGGAAAAAAAAAACTTGATCAATATGTACGTGTTAGGTATGACTATGCTTGAAGAGATTTTATCAAAGGTTTTAAAAGACAACAGTGGTCATCCATGTCCTGTAGCACTGAAAGCCTGGACTGGATATCAATACATGAATATCTTGGCATAAGATTGCCTGAAATAGAAAAAAATAAAGTATTAAAAGCGTAATATTATCAAGTTTTTGACCTTTTTGTATGAATATTCAATTAACACTTCAAAAATACTTAAGAGTTTCTTTATACAACTCAGCAGCAATGACATCTTAGATGTGATATTTTAAATTTTACAAAAATCAAAGATTTTTAGATGTCCTGCTTGAATAATAAATTGCCAGGCACTTGTTAAATAATGGACAAAATTCATTACTTAAAATTAATATCAATAGATGGTGCTGTGCTAATGACTTTTTTCCTCATATTTTGTTACATTTATATTCCTTATTGTGCTGTTTTTATTTAATAAATATGTTTGTTTCTCCATAGTCATATTTATTTTTGGCATCCAAATATCTTACTAGTACAATTTAATAGTAATAAAACTTACTGGAAATTTACCTTTTCTTTTATTAGATTAATTATAAGAGTAAATGCCAGGAACAGTTTCATAGTTTTTTTGTTTGGCTTACTTGGAAAGAGATTACGTATCCAAATGATATGAATGAGTACTTTGAATTAATTGATCAGCATCAATTACAAAATAATTTACTAAAAACTGACAGAATTTCAACTTATAACAGTCTCAACTTGTTAAATGTAATTTGTTTAAAAATATATAAGCATACACCCAATCTTTTGATGTTCAAATATCCATCTTAAGACAAAATCCACCAACGATCACAATGGTTTGTCTCACTCTGTTATAGGTATCATACTATCTCTTTTTCCTTGGCTAGTGTAAAATTATTGTCGAAAAAGAATAAAAACTGATAATTCTGAGTTTTTTCTCCACTACACAAATTACCCTTGAATAATGCATTTCTACTCAACTCTTTACAAATCCAAATGAATTTTTTTTTTATTCTTGAAGATGCTCTTTTCCCTTATGATGAAACTCAACCATCAAAAATGTGTGGATAAAGAAAGGAAAGTTTAATGTACCTTTTGTAATTTTGATTTTATTTTCACAAATAATCTAAATACAGATTTTTATTTACTATAGTTGGTAAAATCCTTCCAAAGTACAGTCAAATACAAAATCATCTCCCAGAAAGGTGATATTTTATAATCATAACATGACCTATTATAAATTCAATACAATCATTCATTTAAAAAAAAATAATAATAATTACTAGTAATTAAAAAATTGTAATAGCTTTTTTTTTTTTAAAAAATTTGTTAAATAAAATTTGGAAGAAAGAAAACATACTGAATTTAGTTGTTTATAAATTGCATAATTACATAATTTAAAATATTTCAGGAAATTCCTATAAGTTATTGTGTATCTAATAAAACAAGACCGTAGGATTAATGGTTAAAACACATTTTCAGAAAGATAACTGTCAAATTATAAAAACTGTTTAAAACTGTCCAAACTCATACTAGTCTAAGAAAAACAATTTGTCTGAATTTTGAAATTACATGAATCTTACAAATTTGTGAAAAATCAGAAACAGAATATACCTCTTGAGCACAAGTAACAGGAATAATCTTGCTTTTTAGTTGTAAAATTAGACAGGATTTGCAGAAGGAATGACCACAGTTTTCAAGTCTATAATAATCAATGTTTACAGGATCTAGACATATAGCACACATACCACATCCAACATCATCATCTGCTTTCTTTGGATTCCTTGTATAAAGCTTGGCACAAATATCTTCTAAATGCTCTTCAACCTTAAAATTTGATATTAAAAAATTAAGATAGATAATTATATAAGAGATAGCTGTTTATGTTTATCGAAGTTGCATTTTAAAATTCTAGTTCAAATATTTTTTAAATAAAATATACAAGATTTTTAATACAAATATGTGATCAATGATTTCTTAAAACTTCTGAACCTTGGATTTCCAGAAACTTCTGGATCGTGGTTAGCGGATTTTTTCCGCAGCACAATCATCTCTATATTATTTACCAAATAGAATTAAAATGGTAATTTTTGGTAAGCTTTTGCAATTAAATAACTGAGTTTGATTGAAAAGAGAGGCATAACAAACTTTAATACTGTACTGACTGACTACAAATTTCAAAGAACAAGGTTGGAGTAAGAAGAACGGCGAGTATGAAATCAAAAGTTTGAAAAACCACTGAAAGAGGGAGAAAGACTAAATTGATTCAAAATGGTGTTTTTTCTTTCTTTGAGATTTTATTTCTTTTCAAGTTTTATTTTGTACATTTAAAATAATTTAAAGACAAAATTTACATATTAATTTTGGGTGTATTACGTTTTCTTTCCCCCTCATTGTGCAAATGTTTTTTGATTGAATATTAAATATGCTTGTAGTATATATTATATAAGACAAATCAAAATTAAATTTTTATGACTGTATGGAGTGACTTTAGTCACCTCATGTTATGGAGAGCAAAATACTCTCGTAAGTTTAGTTATATAAATTTTCTTCTTTAATAAAAATTCTTGTAAGTTCAAAGATGACTTTTTTATTATGCATGCTTAGCATTTTCCACTATGCACTCAACTATTCCAGCAAATACTTTTAAAAAAGTTCATTTGGGTTTTATTCAAAAAAAGGAAGTGATTGCAAGAAAACATAATTTTTTTCTATGTTATATATAAAGCACAAAAAAATTAAATCAACAAAAATTTAATAATTAAAAAACTAACTCAAAATTTAAAATAACTAAACCTTGTAAAAATTGCCTATTTTTACATTAAATTCTTTTTTTGTGTGTGTGTTTGGAACCACTAGTAACAAAATTTTTCTAAAACAATGTAAAATATATATGTAACATCTAAAATAATACCATACAGATACGTGAGAAACAAGTGAGGATAAAAAAAATAACTTACTTTATTAATGTTGCGAAATTCACCTTCAACTGTAAGATTACCAAATTTCATATCAATGTTCGCTGTTTTTAAATCAAATTTCGTGATTAGGCCATACAAATCAAATCCATATCTAGAATAAAGTTTTTTCAAAAAGCCTGGCGGTATCTGCGAGCTTTTCAGATCAAAGATCTTTGTCTTGAGTAACTTTGCTGTTTCAATGAACGAATGAATTTCTGCTTCAGCCTTATAACGCATTTCACTTTGACCATATATAAAAACAATTTTGCTATCAGAATCACATTCGATGAGAGTTTTTGTCCGAGCTTGGATTTCATCTAATTTTTTCTTACCACTATCAGTGAAGAGATAAAAATATTTTTTGTTACGGCTGCATTCTACTTTACGGGCACACACCAGACTTAAAATCTTGTTATTTATGGTTTTAAGTTTTTCAATACTTCCGCAAGAAAATTCAATAGCAACTTTATCTTCAAGAGAGTCAGACAACTTTGTTACATTAACCTTTCCTTCCTGTTTTGTGATAACACTTTGTATATCCCTCCGCAGAAAATTATATACATGCTCCTTGCATTCAACCTGTGACTGCAATATCTCCAAAATATCAACTTGAATGTTGTTAAGCTTGAGCCTACCTTTCAATTGCTGAAATGCAGTTCTTCCATCCTCATAGCACTCAAAATAAGCAAATGCTTCATAATTTTTGGAAGTAGATGTTGGGTACACAACGTTAACAGCAACTTTGTTCGGAGGAGTGAACCTACTCAGGCTCTGATGCAGCTGCTCTTTAATTTTAACAATATCATTTTCTGAAACAGCTAAAGAGTCCCGTCGATATATTTCAACACCTTTTACAAGTTCCCTTAAGAAATCGGGAAGTGCTTCAGATATTTTTTCTTGAAGCAATCTTTCGTTTGCTGATTGAGGTATATTTTTCAAGTTAAGACAGAGATCATTTTGAGAGGGTGTCACATTGATATGATTGCTATCAACATACAAAGATTTGGTAGATAATTTTCCAGAAACCAACACACGATCCTCAGCAGAGGAGAAAAATATGGAACCAGTACCTTTCGCAAGCAAACGAGGCCATTTAAACTTGAGTTTATATAAAGGCTTAGAAGATTTATTGACTTTTGGAACAATATTTTGAACCCTAACACCTTTGACATTTTTTTTATTTAAACATTTGAGAGCATTTTGGGCATCAGAAACAGTTAAATAAGTCACATTAATACTATGTTTATATTTTAAGTTTTTTTTCTCAAGAGTCTGTATTGGACCAAATTGCCTCAAAATAGATTCTAACTCACTTATCGATCTTTGGTCGATGGGCTCAATCGTGATCTCACGAAATTCTCCAGGCATTACTATATCATGAATCAATCCACCTGTCGATAAACAATAGTAATAAAATCCTTCATCCATCTTGATGACATCAGTCTCTTGTACCATTTTCTCCCTTTCCTCATTCACTATATCTTGAATAAAATTAGACACTATTTGATGAAATTTTTCCACAACGTGAACAATAATCAATCCTTTGTCTCTACAAATGTCAATTCTAAGATTTCTAATTTCAGTTAATTTTTTTAACAGATACTCAATATTATTAATTACAGAGCCTCCTTCACCTAAAATGCAATGAGACAGAATTTTTTCTCCAAAAGGTCCCAAAGTTATGGGTGGAATTTGTAGCTGTTTTAGATTTTCAACAGTATAATTACCTTTCAAAAATGCCTCGTTAACTGTTTCTTCTTTTAAGGGTGTTACATCAAGGATATAATTCTTTGAAGTTTCCATAAAAACTGTATATACAAGGAATTTAGGAGGTACTGTTCTGAGGTATTTCAATGACGAGGATGGATGAATAAATAACGATTCATTGATGTTGGGAGACCGATACCCAAAGGAAGCATGCCCTGAATATATACATAAATTTTCAATAAAACTGCTAAAAAGAATTGTTTCAAAATTATTTTTAAAAGATAAGTTATTATATTGACTGGATACTTTAATACCGAGGTCTTGTCGCAGAGTGAATAAAATTTCTTTGACCGTCTTGCGAGCAGAGCTTAATGCTTTGAAGCTTACACAGTTTGAAACACACCAGTTAAATCGATCTGTTTGGGACACTTCCAGCCATGTTTTATAAATTTCTAAAAAAGTACATAGATCACCACTTTCTTGGCAAAAGTTTCTTTTCTTTCGATCAGATGTTTCTTTGTTGTCATTAAATCTCAAAAATATCCTTCCTGCTTCAGAAACTAGAGCCGCAATTATAGCAGCCTCATGACCCATGCCAAATTTTACACCTAATAGAATAAATTTAGCAAGTCTAGGTTCTATAGAAAGCTGAACAACTTGTTTTCCTAATTCTGTTAATTCATTCTTTTCAATCAATTCCAAAACCTCTAATGAATTGATTGATCTTGTTATGGCTTCTTTTGATGGAGATTCCACAAAATCGAAACTACTGGGTTTAATACCAAATTCATAAACTTTCAATAATGCATTAAGTAAATCTGTTTTCAGCAACTCTGGGAGAGCTCGTTCAGGCATATTTTCAAAATCTTTTTTAGAGTATAAACGATAACAGACTCCGGGTTGAGTGCGTCCAGCTCTACCTTTTCGCTGTTCAGCAGAGCTTTTATTAATTAAAGTTGGCATCAAGCAACTTTTATTTTTTTCTGGGTAAAAGATCATCTCTTTAGCCATTCCACTATCAATTACGTATTTAATTCCAGGAATAGTTAATGAAGTCTCAGCAGCGTTAGTAGCAAAAATTATTCTACGTCTATCATTAGTACTAGTTTCAAAAACAAGCATTTGATCTTTTATATCAGACTTGCCATGTAAACTCATTAGCTCTAGCATATTTTTATCAGGACACATTTCTTCAAACAATAAAATAGCTTCATCAGTTTCTGCTGGTGATGACAAAAATACAAGAATATCCCCTTTCGATTCTCTTTGGTGCACCCTAACAGCTGTTTTGACACATTCCTTTATATACATATTTTCTTTATTTACATTATGTTCTGACCAAATTATTTCAACAGGGTAAGCACGTCCAGGCACATTTATAACTGCACCATCTGGAAGATTTAAATACTTAACAAATACGGATGGATTTATAGTCGCTGATGTTATAATGATTCTCAAATCTTGCCTATACCCTAAACACTGCTTCAACAAACCAAGCAATAAATCCGTATAAAGAGTTCGCTCATGGGCTTCATCGATAATGACACACGATACTCTTTTCAGATTTCTATTTCGCAAACACTTTCTCAATAAAGCGTAATCAGTCATATAAATAATCTTAGTTGATTCGTCAAACTTCTTTTCAATTCCAACATCATATCCCACTTCTTTTCCTACTGAAGATCCTACCTGAGTACATACAAATTTAGCAATGCTGACTGCAGCTATTTTTCGTGGTTGAGTGCAAATAATAGAACCATTATCGGCAAATGAAGTTTGCAGGAGGTATTGAGTCAACTGAGTGCTTTTTCCTGACCCAGTTTCGGCAACAATAACAGATACAGGATAGTTTTTAATGGCATTGAGAATGATGTCTTTTTGAGAATATATTGGTAAGCCTCTTTCAAAAGAATTACACTCTCTACTAAAATTTAACTTAAGTTTTTTCAATTCAGTAGATCCTGACTCTGACACAGAACACTGACTTGCCAAGTCTTTAGCTTTTCTAACATAATTTTTAAAAACTGTCTCCATAGCTCTGAGAGTATCAAAAGCATCTTTTAAACTTAAATATGCCTCGTTGGGGGTGTTACCAGACTTCTGAAATTTTAACGAATTTAATTCATCTATAATTGTATCCATTTTAGCTTTATGAGTAGAAATATATTTACAGGCGAATTCATCAAAATACTTATCACATTGCTCAATTAAGACATTCTCACACAAACAAGGTCTCATCAGATGTTTCTTCACTGAACTCAGTGAGTTAATATGAAGTTTAGAAATATCCTTGTTCCTATGTTTTAATTTATAGAGTTGCCAATGAGCTTTTGAAGCATCTTCATTAGTATCAAACTGAAGAATAAAAGATTCAGCAAAATCACAACACCTAAAGACATCAAAGTTTATGGACCTTAAATGATTACTGAAAAATAACTTCCACATATCTAATTTTTTAGAATTCTCAGATACTGTGATATGTAAGAAAAATCCTATATCTTTAACTTGTGGCATTTTTGAGGCATCAATTCTTTTTTCTTCTCTAGAATTAATTCTATCAATTTCCCTGCCATATTGAGAACAGTTAGCAAGTTGCGAGCGGATATATCTCTTCTTTTGTGGAGTATGGCTCATTGAAAATTGCTCTTTTTTGCCATACATACTATTAAAATTTTTGTTGCTTAATGTAGATACAGAAGTATTTGATGAATTGCTTGAAAATTCTTTATTCATAACATTATTTGAGTCTAAGTTCACTAGGGTTTCATTTAAGCTTTCTTGAATGTAAGATTTATTGCCTTTATCATATTGTCTTAGTTTATTTTGGGGTTTACCTGGAGGAGCATTACAATCAAACACTAAATCAGACTCAGTATTTAAATTTTCTGTTGATTTAGTTAGTAAACAAACATTATCATGATCAGTCTCATGACTAAATAAATCTGGGGGAGGTAGTATATTAGGATCATTAGCCTTAGACTTCTTTAGTAAATATAATTCATATGTTCTTAATTTCTCATAAGCAGAAGCAACCTTCTTTTTGTGTCTTGGTGGCAAATCTTCAATTTCATCGGTATTAAAAAGACCAACACCTATTTTGTGGTCTCTTTGTGACACATAGCTTTCCATATCATGATATTTAAGACCTTGGCGAAATTTCTCAGTATCAGTGTCTTTTTCACAGGCTGCATAGGTTTTATTTGGTTCTGGCAAGAATGATGATGCTGCAAGATGGATATGATCACTACTGGCTTCATCCTCTGTTTTAATAGCATCACTTAATGAAACAGGAAAATTTAACTCATCTCTATCCGGTAGAGCTTCCATTTCTTTAAGATTCTGCTTTGTCTAACGAAAAAAACATAGTCATGGTTAATATCCAGAAATTAGAATCCTTAAACTAATTGTAACAAACAAGAGAATCAAGACTAAAATCTTCCTAGGATAGTAAAGAAACTAGAAGTAATACAAGTGGTCTAACAATCAAGTAACTAATCTAAATACTTTTGTAAAGAAAAAATTTATATTATAAATTTCGAACAGGGGTCAATCTAAGAGTTATTGCCAAGGTCTTGTTTTCATTACCCTAGGTAAATTATTTTTGTCAAAAAGTTCAATTTGAAACAGAAGATTGTGAATTTTTCTAATATTTCCATAAAATATTAGATACGTCATAAAAAAAACTACACTAAAAATTAATTGTCATATTAAAACAAACACTTTTAAAATAATCATAAAACAAAGTAAAACCTTTTTTTCTTAATTAAAAATTATATGTATACCTATACAGAATGCTTCCAGGAGATCTAGCCAAAATCACATAGAAGTTCATGAGATCACAAACAGAGAGGGTGTGCTAATCCATGTAGCAAGCATCGATGCAATCGAGACAAAAGCTCTTACAGGGTATGCCAGATTTGAACAAAATATAAGCACTATTTAAGTACTTTTTAAGCACTCAAAAAATATTTTTAATCTTTTTCCAAAAACAAAATCATAATAAGGATGTGTGCAGTAATAAAAAAAAATTTCTATCGCATAAAGTTCCTAATTTATGAACACAAAATCAATAAAATTCTAAAATATTTTCACAAACTTTACATAATCATGATAAAATATCTAGTTTCTGATAAATATTGCAGAGAGAATTTGGAAAATCATGCATTTTTTGTAATTTAAAACGACAATAAACACAGCAGATAAAAAAAATCCCTTTTTAAAAGATGGAAAATAAAGCACTTTTTACAAACCCTGAATAAAAAAAGCGTCTTTAAGAACTTTAAAACCTGCAAATCAAAAATAAGTATCTTTAAGCGCTTTTTAAAAACGCTATGCACCTTATTTTAGCACCATCTATAGTATTACTGATATATATGCAACTAACGCCGAAATCTCTGCTTCGACCTTTCACTTTGGTGAAATTGTTTGAAACACCCAGAATATAGTAAAATAATGATGCACTATAATAATTAGTCAAATAATGAAGATAGCAGATTCAAAAAAGTGAGACTGCTTGCTTTATGAAATTAATTTCATAAATCTAATTTTTAGCAAAATGTATGAAGCAATAATGGGTCATAGTGAATTCTTTTAACAGTTTATTATTATTATTTTATTTACGTAAAAGTTGTCAAAATAATCATTAAATTCTTGGGTAATTTAAAGTTCAATTTTGATGTGTTATAAATTTGTCGTTTTAGCAAGCTTCTCTACCAACTTTTTATTTTATTTAATAATGACCAAACTTACAGCGATTTCACAAAGATACATAAAACTCGACTTGAACTTTGTTTCAGACTCTATCCAGAATTTATTATGGGGGCTGCAACAAAAAGAGCAAATAATGACTCATTGCTATCTAGAAAAGCAACATTATGATTCTAGTGCAAAAGTGATGATGCAACAAAAAGGGCAAATATTTATTCTTTGCTATCTAGAAAAGTAACATAATGTTCCTAGTGCAAAAGTGATGATTCAAAAAGTGATTAAAAATTCACATTCTGTTCAGAAGCACCCGCAGGCTGCACTACACCAGTCGGCGGGCTGCAGGTTGTGCACCAATACGTTTATTATAAATATTGGAATATTAAAAAATTATTAAAAATCAGTAGCAATAACTGCCAAAAAAAATAGTTGATATTTGAGCACATGAATTTAATTCTAAAATGCACAGTTCGAAATTTTCATGCTTAAAGACTGACAGCCTTTAAACATGAAAATTTCGAACTGTGCAACTCTGCAAATTTAGAACTGTGTGTTCGAAATTTCGAACTATTTTTTACAGCCTTAGGCTGTAAAAAATAGTAGGATAAAAACCCACATGGAACTATTTGTAGTAACAATTCCTGAAAGTGAGATTGACAAGACTTAAATGATTATAAATAATAAACATAGGCGGAATATGAGAATACTTCATATGGACCATATATAAATAAAAGTCAAGTGTATTGTAAATCCTGATGATATTTTGATTTTTTTTTTGGCAATTATTCTATAGATTTCCTCATGAGTTTTAAAATGTCATGATTTAAATGTCTAAAATGTTATTATTATCCATAAATTCTGAATTAAACCTTAGAATTATTACATATCAAGTACATAAAATGATGCTACTTATACATGAAATTTGCAAGATTCAATAACTTTGAAGAAAAAAGCGAATGATAAGAATATGTAGATTACTTTTTTGTGAGGATACGAAGCAACCTGACCTTTTTTTTTTCCTAGGGACTCAGAACTCTGTTATTTATAGTATTAAAATAAATTTCACTTGAATAACCAATTTCTTCAAGTGTAAAGTAAAACAAATATTTCCCTAATTTAAATTTATTAACACAGCACAACATTTCAAAGAATTTCTATTTTTCAAATTCTGTTAGAAATTTGTTTTTTCTTTTCTGTATTGTGATTAGTAGCAGAATCTATTCAACTTGTAGGCATCAACCCGCAGAAAAACAAGAAAAAAAAATTTCAGATGGGGACCAACTCAAAAGGTTTAACTCATAGCAATTCCCTAGAAGAGGATATTTCTGTATCATGATCTGTGGCAGAATGTCACCAAGTCATGGCAAATTCCGAGCAGTGGCCTAGGAGAAACTAAAAAAAAAAAACATCACAGAAAGGGACCAAGTCAAAGGGTATAACCCCTAGCCCACGAACGGAAAGACATCGACATGCTTTTTTTTCGTCAAATTTTACCACTTCAAAATCAATTTGGCGCAATAATTCAAGCCACAGAATTATCTCCATCTGTTGATTTAAAAGAACATCATAAATGTTTAGTTTAAACTGATTTTCAATTGATTTAAATCAACAGATTTCACAAAACAAATTCCAGTTAATTTAAGTTTGTATATAAAAGTGATTAGAGACTCTCTACTGGTGTAGATCACTGCTTGTTTCAACTATTATTAATTACTTCAAAAAATTCCACATCTGATTCTCGAAACTCAAAGTTCTTAAATTATGACAAATTGTTTTATCCTGTCCTTCATTTTTAATTCTCATAAACAAAAATATGTTTATCAATAAACAAAACATAACTTTGGTAGTACAAATTAATTAGTCAATGAAATTAGCATTATCAAATTTGAGAAGCATACAATAAACAGGGTTTGTGATTTTTTTTATTATTTTTTAAAAAAGTAAAAAAAAAATCAGATTTTTTTTTATTGAGCTACACTGTAAGAACTTTGATTTATAATTAAAAAAACTTTATAAATGTTGAATTAAAATTAAATTAATATTAAAACTATATTATAACAATATTTCAGAAGATCTAACTACTTAAAACAATTTTTCATTATAGTACATAGCTTTAAATGCATAGCAACTATTTTGAAACAAATGCATTATTGAAATTTAAAGACTAGATGAAATAGAGAATTCGAAGAATACTTTAACTATTAAAACAAAGTTTCAATTAGCAAACCATAATTTTAATTTAAAATTGTGATTTCCTTTTTTTTCTTCTCTTGATTTTTAAAATGACAAAATAAATGCAACAGGTTGCGATTGCGTTTATAAATGTAGTCAATCATCAAAAAATAAATATTTAATCTATTTATTTTTATAGTAAAATATTCATTTTTTAATCCTATATCAAAACAGGTAAGTTAAGCGGAAATTTTTTTTTAAGAATCTATGTACTCATTGGAATTTTTTTCACAAAATTTCTTTATAGAAAATCTGATCATGTCAAAGATAATGTAAACATGCACCCTGTAACCAGTTAACAACCCTACTGCTTTAAATGGACTTTGAAGGGGGGAAATGACGCTATATCATGACAAAAATATCTGAATTCGTCAGCATTTTTTTTTTTTTAATTTTTGGCATGGTTTTTTTCCTTGCATTTTTTTTTTTTTAATTTTGGGTTATTTCTTTTTAATATAAACTCAGCTTTAGAAATATAAATTTTCAACCAACAAAATATTATGTAGATTTTAATTCCATGCTTTTTCAATCAAAAGATAAAATTTCAATTATTTTCTTTTTTTTTTGGTGAAAAAAATTCATGTTTATTAATTATTTTCTACAGATATGCAAGTTCATATTAAAACAACATTGAATGTTTACTTTAATCTGTACTTTCAATTTCAATAACCAAAAGATTTTTGTAAATGTAATTTCAAAAGAGCTGGAATTCATCACACCAAGAAAGAAAGTAATTTCATTAGCTAAAATAAATTAATGCAGCATTTCATTTAAAATAAAATTTTAAAACTAAGAAAAAAAATAACAAAAGTATCAATAATTTAAAACACTTTTTTTCAACTTATCAAATCAATATATATATAAAAATCAGTTGATTTTAATGATTTTTTTAAAAAGATCATTTGATTTAAATCAACAAGCCCTGACAATAAATAGGGAGAAAATTTAAAATTGATAAAATGGTTTTCTAGAAAGAAAAAAAAACACCTTGAATTACCATAAAATGATAATTCATGTTTTTTTTTTCTAGAAGAATAGACAACATTGAACCAAAATAGGCAGGTTGTAACATAAACAGACCTCTAATAAAAACAAATCTCAAGTAACATTGATTTTATAGTAATAATAGGACAAAGCAAAGCTTTAAAATTTAACTTAAAAGAAGCACTTAAACTTAAAAACTTAACTTAAAAGAAGAGAAGCACTTGAAATACATAAAACAGTAAAACAAAATGATAAGGAAAAGTAATAGCACGTTTTGATTTTCATTGGTGTAATATCAGAAGTCAAAAATCAAACAAATTATAACTTACCAGACAAAATATATATATCAGAAGGTTTCACGTTTATGAGAAAAGTTTTTAAACTGGTACTTCAAATTAATCATAAATAAAAATGTTTCGATATCGTAAAAAGTTTTCGTAAAATTAACAATGTTTTGATTTCCATAATTCACAGAAGGAGGCCCAGCTTAAATTTCCCTCGCAATGTGATTGTAGGCTTATAAGCCTTCAAAATAGGCTTATAAGCCTTCGTCAAGTAGAAGAGGACAGATAGGAGAAACAGCACCAAGTAGTACCGCTCTCTCGCAATGTGATTCGTCAGAATTTAATGGATAATGTTTGTATAACTACTGCTAGATGGCAACCTAAACAGCTTTTTGATGCTTAAGTTCTCACAGTCTCCTATTTCACCTCTCTGAATCCATGAAAGCTACAAGCACAGTAAAAGAGCTAAAGCTCCGAAACGGACTGACAACATGGTCAACAGTCTACTCAAAATTTTGATAGACCAAAATAATTTATATATATATACAAAGAGCTCGCCGCACTTAACTATGCTCAATAATTTATATATTTATGCTGTTTACTAAAACATCGTCATTTCCAACTGAGTTAAATGAAGGCTTTTCTGATTATACTTGGAATGAACTTCACATTTCAAAAAGTCTTGCAATAAGTGAAAAACATATCCGTTGAAAAGCTTTGAAAAAGTACATTCTTTTTCAACTGCAGTCTTATTTATGTAGTGCGTGTAGCAAAACATTCTGATGGGAAGGTAGTTTAAATAAACATTCTCTTGTTCATATTGGTAATAAGCATAATTCAAGCATTATGTGTGAAAAGCTTCCTCCAAGTAATAATTTAAAGAAATACTATGTTTTTCGTAGTGGAAAAAAACTTTATTCATGCAGTTTGTGTGATAAAACATTCTTATTAGAACGTCATTTAAATGCACATTATACTGTTCATACTGGAAAGAAGCCATATTCATGCAATAAGTGTGACAGAACATTCTCTTTGGAACATGATTTAAATGCTCATTCTATCATACATACTGGAGCAAAGCCATATTCATGCAATGTGTGCAATAAAAATTTCTCTCTGAAACGTAGTTTAACTGCACACAGTGTAGTTCATAGGGATGTAAAACTTCATTCATGCAGTGAATGTAATAAAACCTTTAAAAAGAAAAAAGATTTAAATGAACACTTCCTTTTTCATAGTGGTAAAAAACAGCTTTCATGCAGTGTATGTGATAAAACATTCGCACGGAAATCATATCTAAATATACACACTCTTTCCCACAGTAAAGGTAAACCATATGCGTGCAGTGTATGTGATAAAACATTCTTTTCAAAACACTACTTAAAGCAACATTATATTGTTCACACTGGAGTTAAGCCGCACTCATGTTGTATATGTGGTAAAGCATTCACATGGAAATCTGATTTAAATAGGCATTATCTTGTTCATACTGGAGAAAAACCTTATTCATGCAGTGTGTGTAATAAAACTTATTCACTGAAATCTAGTTTAAATGTACACTCTCGTATTCATGGTGAAGAGAAACTTTATTCATGCAGTGTGTGTAATAAAACTTTTTCACTGAAATCTAGTTTAAATATACACTCTCGTATTCACAGTGAAGAGAAACCTTATTCATGCAGCGTCTGTAATAAAACATTTTCATTTAAATCTAATTTATGTAAACAATCTCTTGTTCACAGTGAGAAAAAAACCTCATTCATGCAGTGTGTGTAGTGAAACATTTTTACGGAAATCTCATTTAAATAAACACTCTTGTTCACAGTTAAGAAAAAACTTATTCGTGCAATGTGAAGATACTTTATCTGTTAAAGATAATTTATAATCTCTTTACTGGAAAGAAACCTCATTCATAAAGTGTGATGAAGCATTCTCACAGATAACTGTAATGAAAAGAATATCATTGTTCATATTTAAAAGATATCATTGATATTTATATTTGAAAATTTGTGCAATGTAATAAATCTTTTGCAAATGGCTCTACAAATTAATATAAACACTATATTTAAACTTCAACGAGACATTATTTATGCACTGAGTTATAAAAATTCACAGGTAAAACCATCTTGATGAAATATTTTCGTTCTAGCGAGCACCCATATTCATATGATCTATGAAACAAAACAATCACTTGAAAAAGAAGTTTTAAATATGTAAATATTTTCTTCTTCATTCTTAATGCAGGATTTTAATGCATTATGTGTGAAAAATCTTTACAGTTATTTTACATAGCACTGTATTTTAATTAAAACTTTCTCATAGAAATCTGGTTTTCCTAAACAATATCTTGGTTATGTGGATAAAAACAATATCTTCCTAGAAAGCTCATCCATGCTTCTGAATGGCTTTGTTATTTACGGGCTGTTTTTTAACATTTTTGAAGCAGCTTGGTTTTTGAGATTTACCTATTTTTAGTTTTTTTCTTTTTTCTGAGCCATATATGTTTGCAGCACACAACTGTTATTCTCACTCTTAATCGCTTCAAACATCTGATTAGGAAAGGATATTCTATCTTCACAGGGTTCCCACTCTTTTAACAAAGCAAAAATTAATGCTTTTAAGGACTTTTTTTTTTAAATTAAGTACTTTTTTTTTAAATTAAGAAATTTTTTTTTTTGTTGAAAAATTAAGGACTTGATTGTTTATAATCGAATATACTTATGCCACCAGGGACAGTGCTAATTATTTACCTTTCTAAAAATATCAATAAATAAGAGGAATAATAAAAAGCAGTTTAATTATAATGTAAGCACTGATATTATTGTATTAATTAACAGGGTAACAAAGATAATTTTTACTTTACCATTATTTAAAAAAATTTATAATAGAATTTTTGTATAACTTGGTAGGGTATATCTTGATTAAGAGTTTGCTATGAAGACATCTGGAAATAATGGAAATTATAATTTAATTGTTCTTTTATTTTAAAAGAAATCAAGGTAAATTTTTCAATAAAATTAACTTATATTTTCATCATTTAGACATATAAATTGGTGAAAAATTGCTATGCTGTTGCTCAACCGCCTTATGTTGCAACTGGTAAATTAAATGTTACCTTGAACATAATATTCGAATTAAAATTAAATAATGATTGAAAATTTTAATTATTTTTATGATTCATAATCTAAAATCATTTAAAAAATAAAAAAACTTTTTTTTCTCCTTTAAACCTCATTTTGCATATTTATTTCAGTTGTTGATTGCATTAAAATAGTTTTGATTATGTANGGTTCACGGCGTGAACCACATAGGATTGCGTAGCAATTCTCGGGGGTTGGCGAGCGTTAGCGAGCAGGGGGCAGAGCCTCCTAGTGAATTAATATTCATATTATTAACCATCATATAATTTACATAAAACATGTCATGGATTCTGTAAATACTTATAATATTTTATTTGCTTTATCTTTCTAAATTAGTTGCTCATCATTTTTGCAATTAAACCGAAATTTTACCATAGTGAAAAGCACAAAGCGAATTTTTTTCTGCCAGGTTACATTACAGAATTATATATGTATAGATCTACATTTTTATATCCTCAAAATTGTTTGAGTTTTAATTCTTCAATTAAGTATGCCTTTCTGCTATGTGGCAATATATGAGAAAATAACTGTTTGAAATGCTTTAATTTTTATTACAAAATGATGCATACAACAATCACAATGCAAATTGTGATAAATTCTTTTAAAAAACACCTTCATATGTTACAGACATGTAAGGGACAATTCCTAATAAACATGTACAGAAAAAAAAATAACGAATATCCCTAAATAACTTTTAATCTAAAGATCGGACTTTCAGTTATTGGGACTGAAACTCAATGGTTTACAGGTTGACCTTAAACTGCTTATTAAATTGTGCAGGCGATGTTTTAAATTTCAAAATCAGACACGAAAGTGTACTTTTTTTTTCTCAATGGATTTTCATTAATAACCTCAAAATAAAGGGGATAGCCACCATATGGGGGGAATATGGCCCCAATAGTTTGTACACAAATTTACCCAAAACTTATTGTTAATTTTGTATGTTAATAATACTTTTTTGCATATTTTGCCATATCCCATGAACTTTTTAAGCAAAGTGAAACACTTGCACAAAATTATAAAATGTGTTTAATCAAAGATAATTTCATGCAAAAAATTATTTTCAAGTATTTTTTCCACATATTTTTATATAATAATAGTCTATAAGAGTTTGAATCTAAGGCATGAATTTTTTTACATTTTAAAGAACATAAGTTTAAATGGCATAATATAAAATTATTTTTTGCAATGAATTATTTTTGAATTAACAAACTTTAGAATTGTGTGCAAAAATGTTACAATTTACTTAAAGCAATTTCACAATATGCCTAACTTCGCAAAAAGTATAATCAACATTAAGGTGTACAAACTTTGGACTGCTCATCAAGCCATACTATTGGGAGTACATTTCACAGATTGTGATTATTCCCCATGCATTATTACACTTTTCTGTTTGATTTAGTTACTTAAATTATTGTCAGCAAAAATTGACTAGCATATTTGAAGTCACCCTGTTAGCCATTAATTTTGAGTTTCAGTACATGAAAATCCAACTATTACATCCAAAATTATTCAGAGTAATTTGTTTATTTATCATAATTTTTTTTTTTTGCAAACTGTACAAGGCACAATTTAGATCACAACAAAGCAATTATCACATGATCATGTGAATAAATTAATAATTTTTTCTTTTTTTTCTGCTATGAAATTTGTACAGCATGACATATGAACTCATATATACACGCGATAAATATTTTTTGATTATGCTGGGCCTTGCTCTCTGGACGTTGCATCACTATATTGTAAAATCCAATCCTCAGGTTGCACGTCACCAATAATCTAAAAATAAAAATGTATAACTATTATTTTGTGTTTTAAAAAAATGATAACATTTGAATAGACATACATAGCTATTGAATCAGAGGAGAATTATGTTTGAAATTCTTTGGAATACACTTAATTCTTGTAACAATTTTGTACAAAAAAAATAAATCATTAAAACAACAGTTCCCAATTTTTTTTCCAGCCACCCTAAATGACTGAATATTTTTTGGCCGGAACCCGACTTTTAAAAAAATTAGACTTGCAAGTGTGTAAATATGCTAACCAGAAAAAAATACAAATTTATTTAATAACATCTAATACGAAGAATAAAATTTTTCGTTGCTTAATCAAGTTAAGCAGTTGAATTCTCAAGCGTGCAGCCGCTTTCAGTTTAGTAGTTTTTGGCGTTTACATAAAACAAATTGAAACTTTATTAGAACTATTTATAAAAAACAATTATATTTTTTTTTCACTTTATAAATTATTTTTTTTGAAGACAAAAATATTTTGAAGAAATGTAATGGAATTTACAGACCAAATAATGCATTCAGCAAAAATTCAAAATTTTGTGCGGAAACACTACTCAATGCAAAGAATCTGGCAATCCTGAAGATATGTGTGTTTTCATTGTTTTTCTGTATTAGAAAAAAATTAATAATATAATTTGGGACATAAAAAATTTCATACCCAAACAGAGTTTTGGCTACAGAGTAAAACAAAAATAGGCAATTTGCAAAAATTTAAAACATTTAGAAATATAAGAAAAAATTAATAGAAAATTCAAGCAAATATAATAAAATATATTTAACTTTTCACATAAATATCAGGGTGCATAGCTAAATCTTTCAACAAAAAATAAGCATACTTTTTAAGTACTCTATACATTAATAAAATGCAAAATAATTTTCAGACTTTACGATCATGATAAAATAATTAGTTTCTAACAAAGATCTCTTTTCTTGATTATATTAGCCATTATAAAATGATCCAGAGATTTTTTGGTTCAATATCAGAGGGTGGAAAATGAAATTCAGAATATATTGCAAAATGCAGCAGAGATGCACATGCAAGTGCATTAATCTCACCGAACCCAACTTAGTATATGCACATGTAGACACGTAAGTATGTGATCCAACATGTAAAATGATTGGTGCTTTCATACGCTATGGACATGGATCGACGGTACACCGAAATAGTTTGTAGCTTAATGAATTGTGAAAATGCTGAATAGAACAATGTGAAAAGCATGCTTTTACATAATACAAGGAAGAAATCAACATTCCCTTTTCGAAAAGGGAAAATTAAGCACTTTTTAAAAACACCCACGTAAAAAGCACTTTTAAGGGCATTTAAAAACGAAAATCTAAAATAAGCACCTTTAAACACTTTTTAAAAACGCTACCCATCATGTATATTTATAAAATGATCAAAGTGAATACTCTAATGTAAAAATAAAAAATTTTAGGAAGATTAAAGAGAATCTTTTTACCAGGCAAGCGAATTTAAGCAAATCTTTTTTATCCACTTCCTGATATGCTCTTTCTCCCCAACAGAATTCATATTGAGGTGGATCTTTGTTAATACATTTATGTTCCAAATAATTTTGTTTCACAAGCTCTTTCGTCAAATAACCACGCACATCACCAAACACAGGATGTAGTAATCTAGCACTGCTCAGAGATAAAAATAAAAAAAATTAGGTACAATTTAAAAAATAAATACAATTATAATCAAAATGATATAAAGTATACAGAAACACATATCTGCATTTATACAGGTTTTAGAAATTAATTAAAAAACTATACAAAAAAAATTTAATCTAAGAATTAATATGCTTTAGTGTTCTTAACATTTGCGTGATATTTCGTTCCTTATGCACCTGCATGGAATAATATAGGGAGGGGGGGGAAACAGTTTCTTTAGCAGAAAAGAATCAAGTTAAAATTCAGGTAAACTGCAACTAATGCTCAAAAATCTAGAAACATATGATTTTTGAAAATATAAAAGACCTAATACAGTGTGATATAAAAAAATTCAGCCATATATTGATGAAGCAGGAGTACATTTAAAAAAAAATAACTTTACAATTCAAAATTCAACAGAGATTTTCTTTGATTGTAAGTACAGACCAGTCTCATTTAAGTGAGTTCATGTCAACAGCTGAAAATTAAAATTCAGCTATGTGCTGTTTTTATTATAACAGGGTTGCCACAGAAAAAAATTAACAATATAATTGCTTTTTAGCAGCCTAAAACATGAAAATAGTTGCCGAAAACTATGAAAATAGTTGCCTATTTTCAAATACAGACAACAAAATATGAGTAAAATTTCAAAAATGGTGTAATGTGTGGCACAAATAATTAGTCCAGGTTGGAAACTATTATTTATTCAAACTCTTCGTTTCCACAACACAAACAAATACACACACACACATATTCAACACATGAAATAATATATAAAAATCTCGAGCGAGAGAACGTTCAAAAGTCCGTGTTCTCATTTCAACTTCTTCGAACCAACTCCACATCTCCTCTCCCAAAAATGGCCCCCACTCGCCAAGATAGGCGCGCTTAATTCCATAAGTGTTATAATTTATTTCTGTCTCTGTTTATTAAAATGAAGAGTTAATAATCTTACGGAATTGAAATCTTACTTCATTTTTATTATACCATCAAAAATTTTTGGTGGCAAATTTTTATATAAACATTAGTGTTCTAGCACTATATTCAAAAAAATTTGTATTTTTGCAGAAAATTAAATACTTTTTAATTATTAGAAATCATTGAAAAAAATATTTGTTCATTAAAACAAAGACAAATTTTTCTAAAATATTTTCAGTTTAAACAATTCAAATTTTTTTTTATTTTTTAAGAAAAAAAAATTCTTTGTGTTCAGAAGCTATCACAGTCCGCTGGTTGTCAACCCAATTTATGCTAAAAAAACATAACTAGGAGCACAGAAAAGTCTCCCAATAGTCTCCATTTCCTGAAAATAGTAGCTTTTTTAACATTTTCAGGCAAAAAAAGTTGTTATAGTCATCTCAGGTCGAAAATAGTTGCATTTTAGTTGTCTGTGGCAACCCTGCTATAAGTACTAACGAAGAGAAGATTTAATGGCAGTGTTTTGCAAAGTTTAAAAAACAAAATAAAGCATTTAAAGGCAGCTAAGAATTCAGGTAAGGCAACAATAATAAAAATTAATAAGTTTTCAAAGCATAAGCAGTCAAAAATAAAGAATTCATACTTGAGATCAATATGAAGTGGTTTTAAGGCATTAGTCAGTTCATCTAGAAAGGAGAGAAAAACAAAATCATTTTTTTTAATAAAACATATTCACACAACATAACTAATACTAATTTTCTGAACAATGCAAAATATACAATAAAAATTGCAGCTGATAACATAAGAATTAATACAACAATATTTTAAGAGCATTAAGCATATTCTGTTTTATGAACTTACATATATTATTCATTTCCATAAAGATAGAAAAATGACAGAATATTACAGGTCACAAAAGTTACAAATTTGAAAAAGGATTACAAAAGTCACAGATCGTGTTAAAAACATCCACATTTGAAAAGCAATGTGAATATGGCCAAAGCAATGATAACTGCAGAGAAACCATCAGAAATCGCCTTGAATACATGATGGAAATTCACATTTATAAAAAAATATTTTTAAAAAATAAAGAAAAAGAAACAACATGTGAAAATAGCTATAAAAGAAATACCGACACTTAACCAGCAAAAAAACCATTAGTAAATTACATATATTTGCGATATAGTCATCGCGAATTAATCGTGTCTAAAAGAGATAACTCAAATGCAAAATTTTTGTGTCATAATAACGTCCAAAATTAAAAACCATACAGAAATGGCCAAAGAAAGATTGAAAAATTATGTGCATTTGAGACAGAATTACATGTCAAAAAGTAATAAGTTTCTTCATTTAATTAAAATTGATAGAAAATAAGGAAAATAGGTAGTGCTTGTCTGTAATGCATTAGAGGTTAAAATTAGCAAAAAAAAAAACTCTAGCAAAGTACACTTAAAACAAGGTTTATCTCAATTAATATTTTTGTTGTGAACAGACAAAAAGACAAAATAAAATTTCATTCTATTAAATGCAAAATAACTGGAAAGCATCACTTTAAAACAAGCATTTAATCAAAAAAATTATTTATTCAAGTTACCATCTGTAATCGATCCTTCATTCATAAAAATGACGGTCAGAAGATAGAAGAGCAAACCACGTTTTTGAAGTTCTGAAGAAGAACTGAAACAAAAGATAAATGTAATAAATATATATTTGAAAATAGTATAATAATTCATTTTTAATACAACTTTTTGTAGTAAATGTTATCGAAAGTATTGAAAAATTCTATTTTTAAAAGTTAACAATAGACTCTTCAAAATTTAGCTTCAATCCAATAATGATAAATAAATAATTTTACACAAATAAATATATTTTCTTATTTTATTACAAAATAATTGTATTAATGATTATACTTACAGGTCAATAAATTTTTGGATACCAAGGTCGGGCTTTAGAACATTTATCAACATGAATTCACCTTTTCGTTTTTCACATTTAACTAATTCCATTCCATAAGTCTGAAAGAAAAAAATGGTAATTACACTACTGTTTAAATTTCAGAGAATTTTCGTAGTTTGTAGATTATTTCTAGAATCATTGGAATAAATTTAATTAAATTTGGTATGATAGATTGATAAAATATAAACAAGATAATAGTCAGCGTTCTCCCCGCGTTTTTAGAAGGCCGGCTGGCTACTTACCCTTTGATCCCAATAAATGAGCCCTCTTTGCCAATATAAACTGCCTATTTATTTATATTCCATTTTAATAAAAATTAATTCGCTGTTTAAATAATAACTACACACTGGTAAAATTACCTGTGTTAATAGATTTAATTCAGATTACTATTACAAATATTTACTTTGTTATGATTATTCTCAACTAGTTGAATTTTATAAGCTTCTTTTTTTGGGGGAGAGGATACTAATAAATTTTCAAAGTGATTTTTAAATTTTAATATTTTTTTAAATAAATATCTTTTTTAAAGAAAAATGAAACTTTAAATTTTCATTTTCTCATAATTTTCAGTTAAAATTAGAGAAAAAAGTTTTCAAGTTGTTTATCAATTAATAATTTTTTTTATTTTTAGTTTACTTTTTTGAGAAAAAAATTTTTTGCTGTCATTGTTTTTTAAAATGTTTTTAATTATTTGCCTGAAAACTGCAAATTCTTCTCTTATATTGACAATGAGAGAGAATTACTTTTGAAATATGCATATAAAATAGTATAAGAGAGTAATTTAAAAATTATTCATGATAAAGCTTAGATATTACATAATATTAGATATTACATTTTGATAAATTCTTACAGTGTTAAATGAGTGTGCCTTCAAAACTCAAAGTGCCCTTTTTTGAGAGCAAGAGCCTTGCCCCTTTTTTATACCTAGAGTGAACTTTGTAATGGTTATAATAGACATGCATAATCATGCATCACGAGTTAAAAGGCATGAAATAGTTTTTAGAGAAGCAAGTAAAAAAAAGGGTTGATAAAGGATATCACCCCTTCCATTTCATTTTTAAAGATACAGGATTGCCAACCCTTAAACAACAGCAAGAGGAGTATTTACAAAAATTAAGAGGAACACTTTGGGGAGCACACTTAAGCTTAAGCAAAATATTTAAACAGCAAAATAAAACAAAATTTAAGAATAAAAGTTAAATATTTTCAATACATTTATTTGATAAAAACCTTTACATCAGAAGCCTATTTGAACTGAACAGAAAATATTAAAAACTATGCCCTGAGGCAGAATCGTAGCGACACAGAGACATTGTTGCAGAACATTAAAGAGTTCTTGCAGAAACATTTTTTATTTGGGAAGTGAAAAATTTTGGTTTTTTTTTTATCTGCAGAATTTTATGAAATATATTTTTCTGCACAAATTTTTCCCCGTTTCTGTAGAATTATTTTCAAAAAATGCCTTTCTTGCATATGAGGTGGAAAAAATGCTTGTGATTTTTTCTCTACTTTCTTTTGAGAATAAAAGAAAAAAATCCGCAATGACTGGCTTTAGTTAGAATTTCAGTTTGATATTATAAAAAGTATCTCTTAATAGCAAAAATTTAAATAGAACCAGAGAATATTGCCAATAATATTAGAATATGTATTCATTCATATGTAGATTAAAAAAATTCTTACATTTATAATTAAAAAAAAAATATATATACTGTTCTATTCTCTACATGAAGGGTTTTTTTGTAAACAGAAAACACTTTTTTATTTTAAATTACTAACATAGATATTTGCTACTATTGAAAATGTCTACTATTGAGAATTATCGTAGAAAGCTCGAAAAAATTCTGCCACAGAGCAACTATGATAGATAAAATGAAAAACTATCATAAGAAAACTAGGGTTATTATATTTAAAATATTAAATAAAAATCAAGTTACAAACAGTAGATAAAATTTTTATAACAACCTTTTTATATTCACATATTGTATTCAAAACTAAACCATTAGTATTTTAAGGATTATTTAGCACCATTTTATTAAATACCGTGGACACTCGATTTTACATTGCCCTTTCGTACGTTATCATGTTCCCTGCATCATTTTCTGTTGATCCATGGAAATGGCCAGTAGCATTAACGTCAAATTTTCTTGGATTTTACGTACTCCTTTTTAGAAAATTCCTGCTTTGTATGCTTAAAAAAATTACTGAACAATTCTATTGAAAGATTTTTATTTATTTATTGCAAATTTTTATGCATTTTGAATAGGTTATGATAGAAAGTTCATGACAATGTGGTTAGATTTCATCATCCTAGGAAAAATAAAAACAAATATAAATGACAATGAAAGTTGGAAAATTGCTGATTTGCAAAAAAAAAAGTTTAGGCTTGGTGCACGAAAGAGAGAGAGAACTTGAAAAGAATTTACAATGTGGAAAAGGTGGCTGAGTTTGAAAACACCATTTGGCCTTGTAATAAGCTGTAAAGCTCAGGCAGAGAAACCTGTCTTTGAAGATTATAACATGGATATGTATAACAACTTGTTATTCTAGGTATATTTATTAAAAAATAACAGCTTTCTGCTAAAATAAAAGGGTCAGCACAACACAATTGTTGAGCTTAAAATTATATTTAATACCTTTTTGAGAACAACACTAGCTTCATGGATTACCTCTTTATAAGAGTTACGTCCAGATCCTGCAAATACATGCTTTTGTAAATCTAGAAAGGAAAAAAAAAATTTATAAAAAATATTTCTTTTTACAAAACATGCTTTTAATTGCTAGTTGAAAGAATAATTATTTCAAGACTGAGAGAACTAAGTTTCCACTCAATTTCAAGAAAAAAATTCCTTGTCTTTTCCAGGTATATCAGGAAAATTTGAAAATCCAGACCATATTTTATCGATACACTGCAATTTTCACCAGAAAACTTCTTTTTTATTTTTTTATTAGTAATGTTAATATTAGATTTTGTGAGGAGAAAAAAACATCATTCAGTAAGGTTAGAAGGTTCACTAAAATGTGAAATTTTTACAATAAATAATTTTAATAGATTTTAGAATTATTTAACTCTAATCTCAATAACTGATAACAGTTACTGACAATTATGAGAATGGTTATTTTCCAGGTATGATATAAGATTTTTTTAGGTTTTTTTTTTTAATAAAAAAAATGCAATTTTCCCCAACTATTCACTGCTTTTTAGAATCAAAATAAAATTCCTTGACAATTCCAGGTTTTCCCAGGCCCATGGCCTAAACTATATTGCTCAAAGTCATTATTTTTTTAAATCAGAATTTAAAAGTGCTGTCCTTGATTTCATGTTTACTTTTTTACACTCTACTTTCTTTTACCTGAATGTTGATGGGTATGATGAGGCTGCATTCATATGACTTTTATTGAGGTACTTTTTAATGAGATATAATGTGGTTCCAGAATTTGAATGAACATATTACTAATTTTCATTTTGATCTTAAAAAATTTTTTTTATTAAAAAAATTTAGTATAATCTACTCATATACCAACAAATTGAGGGATAACTTTACAAACATTTCAAGTAAGGGAGTAACTGTGTCAGAAATAACAATGATTTTATTTACTCAATGATTAGTTTATAATAATTTCATGATAATTTTAGGCATTTAGGTTAGAAATATTAACTATTTTTGACATATTACTGATTATAATTAATAATTACTAATTCATTTCATCAAATATTTGGCTGGTAAATGTCAAAAAAAAAAAGAAAAAAGATATTTATAAAAAAAATCAGATAAAAATTAAATCTACATTTTCTTTATTTTCCAAGTTTGGACTGATGTGCAGGCATTGTTAAAGAAAATTATAGGATAATTTTTATTATTTTTTTTCTGTTCTCTAAACTGCAAGAAATTTAACCATCCTCTTTCCTTAAAAAAAATAATAATACAGTTAAAATTACTAAGCATAGAGTAAGTTTAAGTAAGAATAATTAACATGGAATAAAAAGTAACTTTGTTCGGACTGGACAAAAAATTTGACTGTAACATTAAAGAAACAATAAAATTAATAATAGAGAGGTAACTACTGACCAGTTTGCTTTATCGCATATTTCTTTTGATCAGCAACCAAGAGGTAATAAACACATTTATTTACCTAAAAATAAATAAATGAAATATAATCATTTTCCTCCCTTTTTAATTAATGAATCAACTGTTTAAACAAAATTTAAATTAAGAAAAGATTGAAACGATAAAATCTATAAAATGCGTACAAACTTATACACATCAGAAAAGTAAGTAGTTTAATTTCTAACAGAAAACAAATTGGTAACTAATCTAATTAACTAAGGCTAATTCAGGCTAAGGTAACTACATATAATTTTCCGAAGTTCAAATTCACAATACATAAGATGCATCTAAAATAATTAATGATAACATAGTTTATATTCATCTGACTTAACTTTTTTAAAAGTATGAAAAACTAAAACAATTTTATAATTTATGAAAGGAATTTGCAAAAGTCAGACCATGACATGTTTATAATAAATCCATATGCCAATATATGGTATAAAAATAATTGTAAAATGTATGGTTAAAACAAAACCTTGTGAACTACTGAAAGTGTAACATACCAACAAATTTATAAAAATGCTCACATAATTACATTTTCATAATTATTTAGCCGAGTTAGTCGTAGATCTCATCTGATTGTGTATAGTTAAGGAACTGCTTTTTAAAACACAAATTTATTTCAAAATTTCATGAAAATACACAAAACAAATTTTTTCGAAAAGTACTTAATATGTGTTAAACTCTCTCTCTCAGTGGCGCGACAGCCCTAAGAGGGCCAAGGCCTACTGTGCCCATCTCAGTTTAATATGTGTTAAATCTAAGAATTAATTAAAAAGTCAAAGAAATTCTAAATGTTATCACTTCTGAAAAAAAAAATACTTAATAGGCAAAATACATAAATATATTATATTTAATGTTGTATTTAAATGAAAAAAGATGTTTGAAAGAAAATGAAGCATCAGAAATATAATAGGGTTAATAGTTAAATAATTCAGTGGTATATAGGAATATAAGATGTGCATATGTAACCGATAAACAAATTCAACTGAGAACATTTAAAATAAATGTAAAGTTGTGCTGTGCTTAGATAGATGCAGGCAAAACAGAAGAATGCAATATAATTTCTAATGGTGGAAAGTGATTGTATCATTCCATTACATTCACTTCGAAACATCTGGGTACACAAACTGCTACAATGTTACAAGTATTTGGATTAAATCTAATCACTTCACCAATCAGCAGAGATCACAATGCTTGCTTACCCCAATTCACAGTAGATCTGATGTATCAGGGGTCTGTCCAGATATTTTGTGAAGGGTCCGTTTTTGTAAAATTGTGAAAAAAATTACTCGTAACTTGTGAATATAAAATAAACGTTAAGTCACATTATTTCAACCAGGGTCTGCTTTTGTAAATTTGTGCAAATAGGGTCCGTTATTGCAAAAAAAAAATCAAGGAGTTTTTAAATTGTAAAGACATACAATTATGCTCAACACTGTAAAATTATAATTAAAAAAATTAAATTTTAAAAAGTAGCTACTAAATAAGCAATGCAACATATAAATATTTGGTATTTAGCCTATACTGCTGAACACAGAATATTAATTTCGAATGAATAAAGGAAGAAGCGTCTGCCGAAGACAAAATTTAGTTAATTTACATCTGTCTTTCTCCCCCCGCCCCCATTCCAGGGAAGGGTTTATTCGATTAACAAAACAATAATGAAGATAAACAAATTTGTGAAGGGTCTGATTAAAAGAAAAATCATTTTGTGAAGGGTCCGTTTTTAAGTTGAAATATTTTGTGAAGGATCTGTTTTTATGAAAAGATATTTTGTGAAGGGTCCGTTAACGGACCCAAATTTCTTCTAAACAAACCCCTGTGCATGCTCTTCATAAAAACTTTCATACTGTTTGTTCACAATTGATTGTCCTAAACAGTGTTAATCATATCTCCACATTATGCTCACTTTTTGCCACTAAAAATTTTATGACTGAGTGTTGCTCTGTTCTGGGTGCATCCATTTTAGCTATACTTTACATTCACTTTAAATGCTCTAAACTCGTTATTCAGTTATATCGAATCTACACTGCACTCTTCCTCCCTTGAATGTGTCCAACTGTTGCTAAATATTTCTGATGTTCTTGCAACCCTTTTAATCACAAGAAAAGCTTCATATTTTACTATAAATATGAATAAAAATCATGTTAAAATTAGATAATAAAAAAAAATCCAAATACTCACCAAACTACACATATCTCTAGACTGCAATGATTTGTTAGAAGAAACTGATTTATTAAGCTGAAAGAAGAAACAAATAAAAGCATTGAATATAAATGTATTAAAAAAAGGTAAAAACAGAAATGTGCATTTTTGAAAAATAATAAAGCTAAAAAAATATGCAAAATAATATATTTGTAAATATTTATATTGAATACTTAACGTGTATATAATCGCAGCTTAAAAATTTTAGAATTAATAAGTGGGTTAACATAATAAAACCCTTCAATAAATTCAGTCTCATTTTGATAATGTTGTATATCAAATAGGTTCCTTGTAAAAATGCAACTTTTTTTAAAAGCAGAGCATGATACTTAGATAAAATCTGTTTGTAAAGCAGTTATTTTTTTGACAATTGAAATGTTTAATCACTCAAAAAATAACTTAACATTAACACACAAAAATGATTTATATTTAAAAGGCTTATTTCTTCTCAATTGTGCCAGAAGAAGGATTAACAGGGCAAAAGTTTGCATCAATACAATTTAACACAACAATATGAAATGAATTATTCATGGAGTTTTTCAACAACTTTATTAATTTTTTTAATTGTTATAAATTAGAAGAATTGGCAATAATTTCTGGTCGAAGGTATTGACATTATTATTTTACAGTATGACATAAAAACTGTTAATAATCCCTATGTGCGATTAATTTATCAAATGCAGTCTCATGATAAGAAATGAAATAAGAAAATATTACAGACTAAGTTTAAAATAATGGGTTGTTGTTCAGTCTGACTCTATTAAAACATAATTCTGAACACACACACAAAAAAAAACTCTTGAAAGTATGAGACTGGCGTCATATAGCGTCGATTTTTGCATAATTAGGTCTAAAATAAATAAACTGTTAAATAACAAACTGTTTTACCAAATGAAACAGTAATGTGTAAGAAGTAAATTAAAATATCAGCTGAATTGGCATTTTACAAGAAATTTTTAAGCTTTTTTTTTTTCAGATTTAAAATTTGTGATAATTATTTATTATTATAATAATGCAAAATATCTGTAAAATATCTTGATTTAACAAATTTAAATAAATTATTTGATCATTATTTTGCATTAGATATTACGCGAGGCTTAATATTGCTTTAAATTAATCAACTTTATTGTCAAAAATTATCAATATAACAGGACTTTTATGTATGACAATCTAAATTTAATTCCCAACAATTCAATGGCTGAATACTGAATAACAAATATTCAGTCCACAGCTTTCATTAATTCATAGTTAGATACAAGTCCATTCACAATGTATAACTTTAATGTTTTGTTTTAAAATTATAACAATAATAATAAACAAAGAAGTAACAAAAAGAACAATAAACAAAGAAAGTTTTGAGACTTCAACTTACTGAACTAGACACATTTCTAGACTTTAAAGTTGTTCTGCTAGAAGGACTTGGTGAAAAATCCTGCAATAAATGTATTAAAAGTTACAATTTATATATTCTTACACACAATCAGGGTATAGATTTTGCGTGGAAGAAATTAGATAAAATGGAAGAAACTAAAAATGACCAATACATTTGCATAGCAACAATTGTTATAAGAATCGCTTAAATTTAAACAAATTTAACCAGCTAATACAGTAACAAAAGGTTAGGTATTTCAAATTAATTATTATAATTTTAAAAAAAAAATACTTTCATATTATTTATTTCAGTTTAATACAAAATTTCAAAATCTTTATTTCATTATTTAAGACACAGTTAATATACTCATGCTTAACGGTATTTAATTTTAAGATTAGTATACTATTTTTAACAGTAAATTGAATAGTTTTTCGTTAGATTTAAAAAATTACGTTTTTTTTTTAATACTTTTTTCCATTAAATATAAAAAGACACTAAATTGATGTGATTTTTAAAAAAATTTAATAAAATTTTTTTTGAACTGTTGCTTTTAGTTTCCACATATTTAGATTGTTGTTACTTTACGTCGCACTAGAGCTGCACAATGGGCTATTGGCGACGGTCTGGGAAACATCCCGGAGGATGATCCGAAGACATGCCATCACAATTTTGATCCTCTGCGGAAGGGATGGCACCCCCGCTTCGGTAGCCCGACGACCTGCGCGCGAAGTCGAGCACTTTACGGTAGCACAGTTTAACGAGGACCAATACCGCACACCCTCGGTCCCTACGCAGACTGATCCAAGTGGTCACCCACCCGCACACTGACCGTAGCCAGTGATGCTTGACTTCGGTGATCTGCTGGGAACCGTGTCTTAACGATCAGTCCACTGCGGGACCCACATATTTAGAATTGATATATTAAAGAATTTGGAAATTAGTACTCTTACATAAACCAGACTGCAATTTTAATATGTTTAAAATTCCAGTATATTGTTAAACAAATTTTGTGATTTGAAAGAAAGACGCTTTAAAATTCTGTGTTGTGAAATGTGTTCAAAATATATATATTGTTATCATCAAGTTCAAGGTGTCAGAAATGGAACTGTCACATGACCAGATTAGAACCATCATTTACTTCCAGTTATGTTGCATAAAGTCAGCTATACAGCCAGAGCTATACAGCAGTACAGCCAGAGCCGTTCTTAAGGGTCCGTTCACTGGGAGAGGTTTTGTTGGTCTCTCCTAAACATTTTCTTATGTTTTTTTTTTTGTTTCTGTTTGCAAATAATTCAATAATATTAAAATTAGTTTTCTTAAAAATAAAGAGAGAGAGGTTTTTTTGTTTTTGATTCTTAGTTTTTTTAAAAATAAAGTTGTTGTTTTTTTTAAAATTTAACTAAGTCATAACTAAGTCATAACTGAGAACATTTAACTAAGAAAGCATAGTCTTTAATGCACTTTAACTGCAACATGAGGTTATACATCTTTTTCAGAGATCGTCAATAAGAGCTCTCTAAATACACACAAATGTCTTGAACATATTTTAATCTATAGTTCGTCTACATTAAGAACCCCTCCCACACACATACACAAAGTCTGAGGCGGTCTGTTGTTATGGAAATAAGAATAGTGCATTTCAGGCAGGGTAGCTTCTCTTCCCTCTAGGGGTATCATAATAGACCAAAGAAAAAGACTTTCTCTTGCGGACCCGAGCCAAACCTTGTCCTAACCAGTGACGCCACACCACTACTTGAAATAGTTATACCTCATTACCATGTTTCCCGGCTCGTACCCCCCAAAAACATCACTGGTACCAGAGCACCCGTCTAGGAGGTGCACTCAACATTCGGTGCAACCGCAAGGACCAGATGGCACTTACCAGGCTTATCAACGGCCACCTTGAGTCCCTTTCTTTCGAGGGTAGTATTAAAATCTACCCAAACTGCCACAGGTGCCACAACATGCAGGCTTCTCCCCAACATATCCTGGACTGTCTTGGTCTGGACAAAAGGAACATTCCTAATAACCCACTTTTGGGGGCCGACTTTCTCCGGGTCATGAATTTCATGGACATTGTTTAGCCGTGCTAATTTTGGGGATAAGGAAGAAGAGGAAGATACCTCATTACCATCACTCCAGGTAAATGGCTAGGGGCTACTTCAGACATAGTATGTTTTTTTTTGTTTTTGGTATTTCCTTATTTGACCTTTTCCACATTTGGTGCAGAGGTTTTGACGGTCGTTGGGAGAGGTTTTAGTGGTCTTTCCTAAAGGTTTTCCTCAACACTAAGTCCATGACAAAAATTATGTGCCACTTAAAAGTGATCGTAAATAGAGGAAGTGGCTACATAGAGGTGGTCTTTACTGGAGGTTTCACTATAATTAAATTATTGATGAATTTAGAAACATTTCATCAAATTTCGTGCATGAAAAAAAATTGAAATTATATAAAAAAGGAAAACATGCAGTTTAATGAAAGCATCTTTAAAATAAATACGAAATTAGTATATCCTTTTATTTTGATAATTTTTTTTTAATATTTATATAATGGCGAACCTCCTCAGAATCTGAATGATTTTTTTTTCTTGTTATTTTCCTCCTTTTTGAAGGGTTATTCTTTTCTTGAGTTGCTTTGATTCGACCAGGTGCCTTTAACAAAAAAGATTTATTTTTATATAAAGAAAAAATAATATTTTAAAAATACACAATATTTACACACACATTTCATTATCAAATATATATATATATATATATATATATTTNTTCCAGGTTTATATATATATATATATCACGCTACAGATAAATCTAAGGACACTAATACTGAGCAATATATTTTTTACAAAACATTCACGATAGTTTTTCAAAAGAAAATGTTAATCAATACTTGGAAAACTCAAGGTTATTTTATACAATCAAAGAAAATTAAATACAAAAACCAAATAGCACAACAAACTACAAATTTATCTGAACTGCAATAATTTTCATTTGTGATTAAAATTAAATGAACTTGACTGTAAAAAAAAAAAAATTTTATTTTTGAGTAAGATATGTAGTTGAGTACACATTCTTAAAATCTAAATTCTTACAGGGTGGCTACTCAAACCAGATTTCAAATTTCCCTGATTCTTCCAGGTTTTCCAGATAAAAATCTTAAAATGTCCAGGTTTTTGCTTCTTTTTTCTTATAAAGTATAGGATGTGTACAAGAAAAGTGTCTATATTATAAAATATTTTATTCAAAATAGTATTTTTTTAACATATCATCTTGAAAAAAAAAGATTATTTATTTATTTTTTAATGTTTTGGCAGAAAATTTTGAATCAAAAATCATATATTGGCCAACAAAAGAGTAAAATTAAATATTAATATATAGTTGGTTCTTAAAAAAAAAATTTTTCAAAAATGTGTTATATAAAAATTAGCATTAATGCAACAATNAAAAGCAAGATTTTTTATTTATTTTTTAATGTTTTGGAAGAAAATTTTGAATCAAAAATCATATATTGGCCAACAAAGGAGTAAAATTAAATATTAATATATAGTTGGTTCTTAAAAAAAACCCTTTTTTAAAAATTAAAATATGTTATAAGAGGTTAAAATGAAATAGAAAGAATTAGCATTAATGCAACAATTGTAACGATTTGTCGACAAACATTGCTGCTAGCGATTGTAAAAAAATGTGTGATTGGTTGGTTTGCTCAGAAAAAATAATTCACAGATTTCTTTGAAAGGGAGTAGAAAAGCTTTCAGAAAAAGAGTGCGATATAAAATCTATTATCATAAAATTATAACCAACAAATTTTTGGAGAATTTTATAAAGTTAAGAAATACAAAAACATTTTGTCAAAATAGAGAAAAACAATTACCACCAAAGCATCGGAACAAACTTAAGCCATAAATGGATTCAGCCCAAGGACAGAATTTAAAAACAGAAGCTAATATCCTAATCCCTTTCTCCACCTCCACCAGAATCTTTCCTAAATTCCCATAGCAGTCAAAAGTTAATTAGTAAAGTTAATTTAAATTAGTGAAATTAAAAAAAATCAAAGAAAAATTGCCAGCTTTCTTTAAAATTCCCTGATTTTTCCAGGTTTTTATCCACATTTCCCTGATATTTCCAGGTTTTTTCTAGTATAAAAAAATTCCCTGATAATTCCAGGTTTTCAAGGTGGGTGGCCACCCTGTTTTTAATAGTAGAAAATACCAATTCCATACAAGATGTATTTTAAATAACATACAATAAAATTTACAACAAAAAAATGATAAGAAATTTAAAAATTAGGTAGGTAGATACTTTATTTATGTCACACTAGAGCTGCACAATGCGCTACTGGTGACAGTCTGCAAAACATCCCTGAGGATGTTCTGAAGACATGCCATTGCAATTTTGATCCTCTGTAGCAGGGATGCTTTTAAAATTAGAAATTTTTAAATTATTAAAAAAAAAATGTTATCACTACAATTTCAACGGAAATTCTGTTTTTTTTTTGTATTTTAACTGATTATAATAAATAAAATATTTTTATCAGCTTTATATTTGAGGTTTGTTTATATGTAATACTTAGTTTTAGTTACATTCAAGAATAAGTAATAAGACTAGTAAAAAATCTATATTTAGATTAGAAGTGCACAATCTGCAGCTCGCCGAGTGTTGATGTGCAGCCAGCGAAAGCTTCTGAAACCAACAGTCAAAAGTATAGACCAGGATTATTGCATAAAACAGGTAGGATGGATGTTAGTTTCTAGGAATTTACAAGTGGTTATGCTGTGACCTTAGACCATCTAGCCCTCTCATTGTGGTCAGAAAGAATTTTAAAAAAAACTTTTCCTGAGGGAACAGTAACAAACTATGCAGAAAAAGATATAATAAATTTTCTTACTAACTATTCATTTATATATTTTTTTCTTAAAACCGAATATTCATATTAATAAATTAATATCAATTGTTATTTTTTCAACCAAAAGAGAAGCTAGTTGAGAAGGTGCACAGGGATGCATCTCTGACAATCCATCTCAATCAATATTTCCTAAGTTAATACAGTAGAGCGCTGATTATCCGAACGTCCAATTATCCGAACTATGTCCGAATTCGTTATTTTTCCCCTTCAAGCTTAGAATACTTTTTAACTTATCAACAATTTTTCTAAATTTGGAAGAATAAATAATATCCACTACATTTGATGACCATATTAAATTTGCATCCTTTTTTAGCAGTTTTCTTACAGTAGCCATACATACATTATTGTTATACAGTTAAACCTACGTACCTCTTTAGTCCTCTTCAACAGAAAATTATCTTCCAAGAATGCGAAAAGTGAGATGGGTAGTTAGCGCATAAATAATAATCATTTAAACTAGATTTTTAACAACTTTCCAATTATCCGAACCACGTTCGGTCCCGAGCAGTTTGGATAATCGGTGCTCTACTGTATTCATATCAATAAATTATATCAATTGCTTTTTCTTTCAACCAAAAGAGGGCGCCAGTTGAGAAGGTGCACAGGGATGCATCTCTGTGAGCCAATCCATCCCAGTTAATATTTCTTAAATTAATGAGACGTAATTGACTATGCAGTGCTATATCTTAAGAACTCTATGCTATAACTCTGGGAAGACTGATTATACAGCGTGATGAATAAATATATCATGAATGTAAAATTTGGGAAAGAAAAAACTGAGAAAGTTCGTTGTGAAAGATCATGGTAATGAAACCTACATTTAATAAAAGAAAGCAACAAAACTAAAACAAAGGAGGATGTTTAATTCTGCAAAATCCGTTGTGGTTTAGTTTCTGAATACAGAATTAAATGAAAAAAGAATCATAAATTAACAAATTACTCAGTTGAAAATTTTTGTAGCTTCTATCTGACAGAATAAGTAAAAAAACCTTACTTCATCAGAATCTGAAGTAGTATCTGATTCAGAAGTTGAGTTTCGATGCCTTCCATTAGACAATCTTAATGTTGACTGATCATTAATCTATATTTAAAGAATAAATATATAATTAAAATAAAGATTTAACATTAATTAACAATAAAAACAAAGAGAAAATATTCTTTACATTTATTATAGCAAAAATTTACAATTACTTGGCAAACAGAAACTTACATATCAACATTATAAATACTAAGAGTTCTCACTTTTCATGTTGAACTTAAAAATAAGCACTTTGTAACATTTTATAATAAGAACTTAAACACAAATTTTTGTTAACACATGTGCGTTATATTTTGTTTTAAAACATATGTTTTAAAAATAATTTAATACATAATCTTTAACTAAGTACCTTACTTTGTTGACACTAAATAATTACTATTTTGAATTTAAAACAATATTTCAATTCAAAAAGAAAACATTATTCAAGTAGATTTTTATAATTTATACAAAAAAATTTCACATAAAAATGTTTAATTAAATTGATGACTTGTAATCAACGATATAGTTTTTGGTTAAAATAGAACTAGCTTTTATAGCCTTTTTATCTTCCGGCATTTGAACCTTGTTCTCAGATTTGAGTTGACGTTCGTTAGCTTTTCTGAGAGAAGATTAAGTTTTAGAATAACTTGTTGGAGATAATTGATTATCATGAAAATTCAAACAAATCGTCATTTTCATTGCCCAACCATAAGACCGTATTTTTTACTATGAAAACATAATAATTACGGATAAATTGTAATAGTTGGCAGCTTTGAATAAGATTGCTTAATTATTAAATGCAATGCATTAAACATTTTCATAACAAATTGTAAAATATCTTTTTCATTAACATCTTCAAAAATAATAATTATTAAAATGGATATCTTATTCAACTATTACATTTGAGTCTGCAGCAGCTCTTGAAGTGCTTGGCCGTGAGGATAACCCAGACGGACCTGGGGTGCTCTGGATTGTAGAATTCTGAGTCTTACTTCTAAGTCGTTGAGTGGGCTCCTAAAATAAATAAAAATTTATAATTAAGCATCTCTAAACAAAATACAGTCGAACCTGTTTATCTCGAATCTCATAGGAAAAGCGAAAAATTCGAGATAAAGAGGTTTCGAGTTATACAGGTACTATAAAAAAATTAAATTTAATTTAACAATTCTATTAAAAGTGCTTTGTTTTTAGTAGAAAAATATAGATATTTCTTTAAATTAATTATACCACATAACAGTTTTTTAACATACATTTAACACTGAAAATAATTTTACAAGATTTTTGACTCATAATCTTATTTCTTACTATTATTCTTTTGAGGTTAGAAAGATTGCAAATTCCTCATAGATCGTTTTCTATAGTTCACTTTAAAACACTTAATTATCCTTTGATCCATTGGTTGCAATTTTGAGGTCAAAATGAATTTCTATTTTTAGCTTTCGTATATATGTTGAAAAGCTAACCCCTGGTGGTCACTACTCATTAACCCCTCACTTATTACCAGAATCATTGAATTCCTTTCTAGTTAAGGAAGTGCAGGGATAGTGATTGAAATTCAAAGAAACACCCCCAACCTGTTCATCCCTAATTCCTGAGGATTTACGAAATTCATCTCTGTCTACGAGTTCTACTGATAAGGAAAGTTTTGACATTTGTGCTTTATTATTAAAAATTCGTGAAACGGAGGTTTTGAAAAAAAAAATTCGACATAAACATAGAAAATACATTGATGTTAGACAGTAAATGTAAGGAATTTTAAAAATTTCGAGATATAGAGGTTTTCGAGATAAAGAGGTTCGAGATAAACAGGTTCAACTGTATTTAAATAAACAAAGCAATTTGAATATTAAAAATTAAATAAGTCAGTGTTAATAACCTGCCCTGGGAGTAAAACTTTAAATTAACTTGAACCAAATGAGATTTACACAGCAGGTTTCACTTAGATTTTAGGAAATAAATTCCATCTCTCAAATGCAACATTTTCAATATAAACAATAACACAACACATCAGTTAAAAACACACAATAATAACATTGTGGAGAAAATTAATGAATAAAACCTTAAAGAATGAAAAAATTAAAGTTACAAAATCATTATTATCCCTTTAAGAATTTCTACAACCATACAAACAAATATAGTATCTGTTTTTTTCCCCCTAAAATTTCAGAAGATTTTTTATGTTTTTAATATTTCATAGAAAAAGAAAAACAAAAAAAAAAAAGCTTGAAAATATTATATTCAGTTTTTTTCTTCCTTCCAGTTTTAGGCAACTTTCAATTTTCCTCGAGATTTCCTTGATTTTTTTTTTTTAAGTGAATTTCAAATTTTTTTAGATTTTCAGATTTTTCCTGTAGTATATAAATCCTGCTTATTATTTAAATCAAGTGATCAAGATGAACAAAAAGCATATACAGGGGTCTGTCTAGGTTTTCCTGACAGGTACCTATTTTGTGAAAATTTAGACGTAATTTGTAAAAAATTAAAAATTATATTAAGAAATCTACACAAAAATATGGATTTATCGTTTCTTAAGGGATACAAAAATGAAATTTTAAGAAAAAGTATTTTGTGAAACTACCGTTTTTCCTAAAATTGAATTTGTGAAACTACCGTTTTTCCTTAAGTTGAACTTGTGAAGGTACCGCTAAACGGTAGTAAATTCGGCCTGGACAGATCCCTGATATAAGTCAGTTAAAAACTATGAGCAGTCTAATAATTTTCAAATTAGTCATTAAATTGAGAAAAATTCAAAACATCAAGCAGTTTTAATAATTTTTGGGAAAATAAATCTTGGTGTTATTCACATTTACTCCAATTCTTAAAAATTTTTGAAATTGTGAATTTTAAAAATTCAAAACTAACTATTATGGTTGTAACATATTGTGCTACATTCACAACACATAGTTTTTTCTTTTTTTTTTCTTTAATTATGACAGTTGCTACAAATTGGAGTAAGTAAATAATATCTAAGACTTCTTTTCACAAAAATTATTAGATTTGCTTAAATTTTTTCTTTAAGTGATTACATATGACATTCCTTAATGGTGTAAAGAAAGTTACAAAATGGATTGGCCAATTAATATTCAAATTGTAAAATAAATTTTAAAAAAACTTAATACATAAGCAATGAAGGGATTTTATACTTTTCTCGAAATATAATTTCAATGAATAGGAGCTAATTACCGCAAAGGTTTTAGTTTAAATATAGTATGAGCTGGATTTCGGCATGCCATTAGAAAATGGGTTCTTTTCTAGGAAATGAAAGAAATATTGGCCAGATGCTTGATTATTTGGGTAGGCTTAATGAAACAATAAAAAAAGCCTAAATTTTCAAAAGCGTTTACATAAATAGTAAATATGCTTAAGAAGGAAACCTTTTTACAGTGACCAAGAATCAATTTATATGAGGGGGGAAAAATTAGTAAATGTATCTAAGTAAATATAAACTAAGTAAATGTAAAACTTAGTAAATGTAAAATAAACTTAGTATGATAGTTATGTAGAATCCTGCGATCCCTTTCAGGCAATACTATAAAATGGCACTAAACATGATTTTTCGCCAACAATGTAAAACTTAAACTATTTATCAAATATGTCGCGATTTTATTGAGGTTCTTAATTGAAATAACCTCCTTTTGATATTGTTTAAATATCATGAGACACTTAAGAACAAATTATACCAAACTGACAACAAATCATTACATATTGTAACGAATGCACATTTAATGTGAATTAAAACAAATAAAACGTAATTTTACAAAAAAGTTTAAACTAATTTTCTAAGCATATGTAATTTAAAAAAATTGTGTCACAGTTTATTATCACAACATTTTTATTTACAAGGAGGTTTCCATTTTTTGGTTTTGAAGAAAATGACTGAAATGATTTTACACAGGTATTATTTATACAATCTTGTACTCTTTATAAATTAGTACATTCAATGAAATCAAATAACTATTAAATTTAAAGTAAAAGTATCATACAATAACAATGTCAATGAAATACTTTACACTACAATAACTTTAAACAATTTAAAGTTAAAACTCACATCAGAATCAGAGGATTCTCCTTGTGTAGGGGAGCTGTTGGTTACTTGAGTAGATGCTCTTTGCCTCAAAGTCTAAAATTAAATGAAAAGGCAATTTAATATATGCAGCCCACACTATCTCAATTTCATATTAAACATTAATACAGTCGAACCCCGCTATAGTGAACCTGGGATATAGTGAACACTCGGATGTAGTGAACTTTTTTAGAGGTCCCGTCCGTATTCCTATTTAAAGATTGTTATTTTTAACGCTTATAGTGAACAGCTTAGAACTTGGAAACTCGGTTATAGTGGACTCAAATTTCATTTCTTTAAATATCTTTTTTAGTTTTCCATCTTTAAACTTGCAGGTGTTGGGACTGAAAATGAATGCATTCCTATAAAATGTGTCATATTACTCTCCTTTATGCTTATCACTTTTAACTATACTGTAATAAATGTCAAACAGATCATTTATCTTATACTCCCCTCTCCCTGACAAGCCTCGCTTTGTCTCTTTTCCCCAAACTTGCTCTACAACTAGTTAACTTGGCCACCTGCTGAATTTTTGGAATTTTCTTATCTGTTCAAACCATATTCTTTACAAATCACCCCTTGACAATCAAGAAGGGGAACAATTTAGCTCATTCTACAGCTGCTCTCTTCATATTCTTACATTATCTATGTGAGACAAGATTTTTATTTCAAAAGCAGTGAAAATGGCAAATTTTCTAAAGAGAAAAGCGTTTTCGATAGAGGACAAAGTTAAAATTGTAAAGCGTATTGAAGATGGAACCAATCAATTGACACAGAGTAAGGAATTTTCCTTGTCAAAATCTACAGTTTCAAACATTTGGAAAAATCGAAGTGCAATTCTTGCGGCATACGACAAAAACATGGCTTCGTTGAAAAAACTGCGTGGAGCTGAAAGAGAAAACGTAGAAGATGCTTTGTTAAGATGGTTCGAAATCTTGTTCAAAATGTAAAAATCTTGCATTCTTTGCACATTGTAGATAAGAAAATTGATGAACTCTATTTAAAATCAAATTGTGTTCAATCAAAAATCACAATTTTTTTTCATAAAAAGTGAAAATAAAACTAATATTTAGCGACGTAATTACTTTTTCCATCAATTTTTGCTTTATTATCTGTTAATTAGTTAATAATTTTTTAAATAACTTATGTATAATTGCAAAGCCAATTTTCAATCATTCAACTGCTTTATGCAAAAAATATTCCTCAAAAAATTTGGATATAGTGAACCATCGGTTATAGTGGACACATTTCTGAGTCTGCAGACGGTTCACTATAGCGGGGTTCGACTGTAAATGTTTTGCAAAATAACTCTTCTAAAAAGTAATGAATATAAATAAAACAACATAAATGGGATAAATGGAAATTAAATTTTAAAAAAAAAAATATCCGTAAAAATATGCATTTTGTGAAAGGAAAAAAAAAATATTATACTTTTCTAAGGAGCGGTAGTTTTTTAATAGTAAATTAATGAAATCATTGGTACGTGCTTACAGAGGTAAAATTTAAATCATAAAACATGTTGCAAAGGGTTTGTTTTTACAATAAAATAGGAGGGAAGCAGGGGCGGATCCAGAAATATTTCCTGGGGGGGTCATAGACTCAGATTCCCCCTTATGCCCTCTTAAATAATTTTTTAAATATTTTATTTCTTTTGTAAACTGTTAAAAAAATTATCACTTTTAATTTTTTCTCAATTTTGGGGAGAGTCATGACACCTATGACTCCCCCCCACTGGAGGGAAGGGAAGTTAACACAAATTTTTCCTTTACAGGCATTTCATTTATATTTTTATTTACTTTATTACAAGACTTTATCCAATTGATTTAACTAATGAAATAATTTTATTTAAAACTCATTGGTGACAATCTGCTGCTTGTTTACATTTTCATTTTAAAACAAGAAATTGATTTTGCATTCTTTTCTTGTTTAAGTAACTGCAGGGATGGGTAGCAAATTGATTTGCTTCATGCAAATAAAAAAAAAGTTTTTTTTGTTGCAAATTTTAGTCTATCTATTTTTACATTTTGATTTAAATTGTCAATCCCAATCTAAATCCCAATTTTACTTAATCAGAACTCCCTAAGATTTCTTTATGTTTAGAATCCTGTGACGATAGAAATTGATACGTAACAGCAAAGGCATCAACTGAATGCAGAAAACAGTGCTTTCCTTTAAGACAGAAAATTAATTGTTGTCCGTTCAATTCTTGATGACTGAAAGTCAAGTACAATGGACATAATCATGGTGAAAGTACAGCTGTGAGAAGCAGAGAACTCTTCACATTACCCCTTGCCTTAATGATAAAGGGATATAAATGGCGAATTTCAACATATTTTTTTTAAAAATTAAGTAATGAATAATAAAGAAACTTTTTGATGATGTTAAAAATTGCTGACAGTGAGGTAAAATAAGGATGTTTTGATAGTAGTACTAAAAAGTTTTCTGTGACAAATTTGAAACAAACAGCAATTACACTTTTGTTAATGCATACCTGACCATTACAAATAATATTTTCCTCGTGACAAATAATCCTTTTTTATCATGACATGTAGCAAAAAGTTATTTGCCTTAAACCTTATTTTTTTAAATCAATGCTCATGATTTTTTAAAAATTATTTGATCATCCTTACAGAAATTTTGCACACTTCCTCAATCTAGAATTGACTAGCAACTGAATGAAGAATTTCCTCTACTTTGGTCTAAACTTATTTTACAAAACAATATATTTCGTACTGAAGTTCAATTTTAAAGGGTAACTTGAGGCTGACACAGATTCAAATGCACAAGTACCAGCTTGTCTGGGAAGTAAAGGCACCCAGTGCATAATCATGACCATAATGCTATTGTCATACAATTAATCGCAAAATTCTGGAGCCTCCACCATCTTGACTTGGTCAACAATAATCTATTCTAAAATGATTTACTTAGCACATAGTGTAGATACTAACAATCTAAATTCAGAGAGTTTTAGACAAAAAAGTATATTAAGAATTCATTTAATCATACAAATTATTTGAAACATTTCATACTTAAAACATGCAGGAAACTAAAATGAAATATAACTACAGTCGAACTCGTTTATAACGAGCACAAAGGGACGGTAACATGTACTCGTTAAATCCGGGTGCTCGTAATAAACAGGTCCTTAAGGCAGGCGTGCAACCAGAAGAGGGTGGGGGGGGGCTTAGGAGGTCAAATTATTGAGTTTACTTAAAATTTAATTAATGATTACTTACTTTAATTACATTAATTAATTTAATTAAATACTTTTCTTAATTTAATGACAACTAACTCCCCGCGCATTTCTTATCTTTTTGAAAAAAAGATAAGACAGAAAGACTAGAAAGATGAGAAAAAAGATCGCAAGACAGAAAAATATTGCTCGCTAAAACCGGGTCTTGCTCGTTAAAAGCGACTTCTGTTCCATAGACTTAACATTGATCCAACCGAATATTCTCGTTTCCCTTGGTAAATCAAAGTTCTCGTTATAAACGAGTTCGACTGTATATAATATTAATATAAAAATTATTATATGTAGGAGTATTTTTAAATGCAAAAAGTCTCAGAGAATAAATATTTAAGAATATAAATTTTAAAAACAGAAAAAAATGTTGATTACGTGTAAACATATTTTGTAAAAGCTGAAAGCGAAAATTCATTTAAACTAAAATTAAACTTTTAATTCAGTAATACCTAAATATATTTTACTTACTCTATTAGTGGAATTCAGTTGAGGTGTTGATGTAGCTCTAGGGCCAGTGGATTTACGAGCTTTATTTCTCGAAGACATTTATTTCTGTAAGAAATTAGAAGTAAAAAAAAAAAAACATACAACATTTTGATATGAAATAACTTATATAATAAAAAAAATTATAAAAATGCAATTTTTAACTAAAAATTAAAAAATATATTGAAAACTTATTTATATTATGAAAAAAATTTTTAATTTTTAACTAAGATTAACTTTTACTACCATTATTAATTAAAATAAAAAAAAAATGCTGGGACGAAAATCTAAATCCTTTGATTCTTCAAGACGTTTCTTTTAAGATCTCTTATTAAGAAAATCAGGTCAACTACCAAGGCTCAATTTATTTATTTTTCTAAAAATCAGTTGATTTTAAGGGTTATTTGAAGGTGCCCCTTGATTCTCGCCAAGTTGTGATCGTGGTTGATCACCAAGATGGGCGATGTTGAAACCCTATCGTGATTTTGATTGGTTCAGATTTTAGCGTTATTTTTAAATGTTCAATGGTATACGTAATTTCAGAGGTACGGTAGTTCCACATTGGGTACCGACTGGTAAGGTTACTTTTGCTACTGGTCCTAAAAATGACTTCAGTAAATAAGATAAATCTTAAGTTTATGTACGATTTGAATAACGATGGAAAAAAAGCAGTGATTGACTTGCTTACTCCATTAATTTTTGCTTCGATTCAAAATGCATTTTAATGGGTTAATTAATTTTGCTTACGTTGAGTTCATTGCAATTTTATAAAGTTTTGGCCAATGTTTTGTTGAAATTTTCCGATGTTTTATTGAAATATGATTATTTTCTGGCTGCCATTCCTGTTACCACTGTGTTCCGAGCAAGCAGAAATGGCGCCAAACATAAGTCGCCAATTTCAGTATATTTTTACCGATTTTAATTATAATCATGATTAATCACATAAAAAACTCCCAAAAATATTTTATTACAGAAAACTGATATACAAAATTCTTTGCAATTTGTTGCTTATTATACAAAAATCTCGAATTTTAATTTTTTAAAGTTGATTTTAGTCCTGTTGGTCAGGGCACGGAGAGAATATTGCATGGAGATTCACGAATTAATAAAACTGCCTTTAATCAAAATACATGCAACATAGATTGACAACATGACAAACTCATCTCGATCGAAGAAATAACAGTAATAATAAAAACATACTATCTTAGAAAAGGTAACCAACAAGCACATTAAAAATCTCATACCAAAAAGATAAAACTAATCATACAGATACACCATCAATAAGATAAATCAGAAAAAATTATTATCAATTCTATTCGTTCTTATTCTTAGTGTAAAACATTGTTCAGATATTTCAATATTATCTCTCTATCACAGTTCGCGCTTATTATTTCCTTCAGTTTCACTTCTAAAAAAAATTTTTACCTTGAACTTTACAAGCTGCTTATTTCTGTTACATCAAGGTTTGCTGTATTATTTTTAAAAAAAAAAAAACTAAATGGCCAACCATAGATGGCGTTAGAAGTTGGAATTCACCGAGATACTTCCGGGCTACTACTTCGGCGTTCTTTCCTTTCGTTTGTCGACTAAACGATTACAAACGAATTCGGAACAAACATGCTATGTTGTTACTCAATTAATAACAGACAGTGATGTTTTACACAAATATAACCAAATTAGAGATAACACTCAAATCATGAAAATCCTCATGCTTTATTTTTGTTCTGATATTAATTTTCGTAAATTGGTTTAAGGCTCGCGACCTTTTAGAATTTACATTTAGAAAAATTTTAAGAATGGTGAAATTAAGCGTAAATTCAAACTCAAATCTCAATAATAAAACCACTTAGAATATCAATACTGTTTAAGCGACACTTTATAGAAAAGCCATAAGAGGAGGGATGTACCGGAAAATTTAAAAGTTTCGTCCGGGTCTTAGAATCTTGTTACTGTTTGCATTCAGTTCTCCGTCGACTTCTTCCGCGCAACTCAAACGTTCGATTAAGACATCTAGCTCTAAGTACAAGAACTATTCTTGAGATAAATATTAATTTTAAAATAATAAAAAGTTCTTGTAATAAAATTCTGTAAGGTACGAAGTTTTAATTTTTAAATTAATTTAATCTAAATCAATAATACACTCAGTTATAAGATCAGCGGGGTCTGCATGTTAAAAATACATAAGAATGTACAAAAAATATCAAACGAAATGGAATGAAAAGTTGATCTGACTGCGCCAGATGGTAATTATTCAAATTATGTGTGATGATAATTTTTTTTGAGTCAATCAAGACACTGTATGTTTACTGCAGAGTTCATGTTCATGTTCAAAATATGTTCACTGTAAGTTCAAATCAAAATGTTCTGATTATAAAACATCGCATTTTATAAGAACTATGTAGTCAAGAAATGTTTTTGAATAATTAAATTAGTAATTTTCAATGTTTAAATCTTTTTTCTGCTTTTTTTCTTTCTTTCATTCTCATGATAAGTTTTTTTCCCCCAAACCCTTAAAGTAGAGGACATATGGATTTAGATTTGCATAGCAACCTATGGTCAAAAGTGCTATATTATGGCATGTACGCAATATGGATTGAGCGTATTTAACCAATTTTCCGACCACCGCGTTCTCCTGATTTAATCTGCATGAATTTCTTTCCGTAGGGTGCACTGAAAAGTGCCATGGATACAACACCTGTGGATTTCGAAATGAAAATTCAGGAATCGTGTGTACTTCTGAAGATATTCAATAAAATCCTGACGTATGTGAGCGAGTCGCCTATCCACTGCCTGATGTCGTAACGCAGGCATCCCGAGCAATAGTGGAAACATTGAATAGCTTTTGTGACATTTTCTCATATCTACTATAGCACATGTTATTATGAAGAACCAATAAATATTTCAGATGATTCGTCTTGAGTCTCTTTGCTTCTCGCACCTAACACTTTCACGTGACATTTCCGACTATAGTCGGAAATGTCACGTGATGCCATGTAGTTCTGAATCCTTGTGATGGCCTTACCTCCTCTTGAAGTTTGCTCCAATAATATTGAGATATTCTGTATATTCCCCCGAAAAACATTTTTCTCTGTAATGCAATATTGTAATCACTCTTGTATAGTATATACAAAAGTGACTTGTTTAGTTCTACTATATGCAGATGATACGAATCGAGCGAATGATGATACGAATGGAGAACGTTGATTAGCTTCCCCCACCCTCAAGTGATTATTTTTAGATCTATAAATAAGTAAGGTAGCAAAATGTATGCCTAGTGAAATTCTTAATTTTGTATATTTGATTTCAAAGTACCACTAAACCACTTACTACTAAACATAACAGTTCGAACTTTAAAAACTCATTAAAAAAAATTCTCAATTTTGTCCTAATTAACCAAAATCCTACAAGAATTCGTTTATAATTCTTTTCCTGTTCATAAAATATTTTGCAGAAAACGGAGTAGTTGGCACATCTGCTAGCTATGACTTCAGTTTTTCTTTCGTTGAGTCATACATATGATGAGTTTAGTGAATGAAGCGAGTAAATGATAATTTCGGGGATGTTTGTTGATCAGGGAAAATAGTGATCAAAGTTAGAATTGTGAATAAAGTGTGATCGCATCAATATGAGTATGCAGGGTTCGTACACTCCTGGAAAAAAATACTACATTTATACTACTACCGTTTTTTAAATTTTTTCAGGCTCGTAAGAACCCTGGTCAACATGACTATTTCCATTCCAACATAACTCAACATATATGCTTACATAAATTTTATTTAAAATTAGGTAGTATTTAATAAAGTGAGGCAACGAATTGTTATCCCCGCCTTCTAATAAATGTATTTTTCTCCTTACATTGATTACAGCACAGACTCCAATATCTGCGCATTCCTCGTAGTTTCAAAAAATAAATTTCCTATGGGAAATTTCCTATAGTTGTAGCAAGGGTAAAGTATTAAAATTTTAATAAATTCGAATTAAAATAACCAGTATTAAACACAAATACTTTATACAGATATATCTATGGTCACATGGACTAATATTTAAGTTATGCATTTTTGCTTTATAGAAATCATCTTAGTTCTCAACAGCCACAAAGAGTTATAATCTCTTTTATGGTCACATTGATATAGTTGAGAAACTGGATTGGAGCCTGAGCTTCACCACTTCAGATTTAAGAAATTATTTATTTTAATAATAGTAGTAATAATTAATGCACTATTTCTGTTAAGGAAAACTAAATAGTTTGGTACCACATTAAAAAATTTTCTACGATTGCAGAAACCTTACACCCACCTTGATTTAAAATTGTAAATAAAAATGATTGATGATCATACTGTTTGCAGGATTTCTTAAAAGTAAAATTGAGAATTTTTGAAAAAATAGGGCGTTTTTAATGTAATATTTATAATTTTTACATTGATAAATGTATGTGAATGTAAACATATGGAAAAGTATTTGCATATGAATGTCATTAAAAAAGCATGCGAATGGCATATATATAAACATTTGAACTTGACCTTCATCAGTGCTACACCACAAAACACCCCATCTACCCCATTAATGAACTTTTTTACTTTTCAGGGGTCCCAGTCGTTCGCCGAAAAAATTGGCGCACAACAGTTAGATTAGTTATTGTTTGTACTAATCACCAAAGCAAATGGAATTTTACCTGACTTAGCATTCGCTTAAATGCAAATTAAAGTTGTAAGAATTGTCATTTGAAAAAATTAATCGTTATAAAACACTTCTTACCTTGTAAAAAATACCAATTTTGCACTAACTTCGAAATTTTGACTAAATGATAGTTTGTAAAATGAACTCTAAACGTGATCCCTGTGTTTTGATATTATATTGATATTGAATAGTATTTCTTGTATAAGTGTATTAGTTACTTGTATTATTATTTTTAAAAAAGAAAAAAATCGTCATTTGAGTGTCTACTATAATTTTAAAACATAAATCATCATTTGAAAAAAAAAAAAAGAAAAAAAAGAATCGTCATTTGAAAAGAAAAAAATCGTCATTTGAAGGTCTACTATAATTTCAAAACATAAATCGTCGGGGAAAAAAAAGAATCGTTATAACGCACTTCTTTCTTTGTCAACACTATTCCAACTTCGAAATTTAAACCTAAATGATAATTTGTAAAATGAAATTAATCTCGCTGCTCGAACAATATGCTAACACTAACGTATGATGATGCACAGCTTGTAACAAGAACAGAGAGTAATAAGCAAATAAAAAGAGGCCAAATCAGGACTGTCGAAAAAGCGAGTTCTTTCTGAATCTGGCTACCATGTTACTTATCTTAACAATACATGTATGGATGGTGCTTTCAATATAAATGTAAACAATAACAATCTCGAGCTCTATACCTGCTCTGGTTCCGGTAAGAAAGTTTGCAACTGCTTACTACAGCTTATTCTGCGAGGCGATATTTGCAAACGGATAATTTTAATTTCCATAAAAGAAGTAAATTAGATAATTTCTGAGCTCAAATCTGCCGTATTTCATAAGATATTAATGTTATTAAGTAATTCTGGTGAGTTTGAAGTGAAAATTTGCTTTAGTTATTTATTGATATATTGTTAAAAAATGCGACATGGTTGCTAGATTTTGAATAACTCGCTTTTTTGGCAGTCCTGTTTTGGCCTCTTTCCATTTGTTTATTACTGTTTGTTCTCGTTGCAAGCTGTGCACCATCTTACATTAGTGCTAGCACCTTTAGCGTTGTAAACACACCTTTGTTAGCATTGTAAACACAAGTAATAAGTAATCAAATACCACGTTTGCAAGAATCTCAAAACACAATAATCACGTTATTGTGAGCCAAATGGCTTTAAAATACAAGGGAAACAGTAACCTGGAAGTATAGGCGGTATGGAGCTTGCAGCGTTCCCTAGTGTAGAAAACACCATACATAAAAAACGAAAACGAATTTTCACTTCATACTCACCAGAATTACTTAATATCATACGAAATATAGTAGATTTGAGCTCAGAAATTAGATAATTTATTTCTTTCATTAAAAACAAAATTATCTGTTTGAAAATATCGCATAACAGAATAAGCTGAAGTAAGCAGCTCTATACTTTGCAACCGAAAGCAGAGTAGGTCAAGAGCTCTAGATTGTTGTTAACATTTATATTGAGAACACCATGCGTATACAGGTAAGTGCCCATATGAAAAATTTTAATGGATTGGTAGCGATTTAAATAGTAATATGAGAATAATTGCGCTCACTCTTTCAAAGTGCCACCACGGGATAACTACAAAATGTATTTCATATGATACTTTGAATTTTCAATATGTAGTGTCAGAAAAACTACTTAAAATGAAAAATATTAAATTAAAAATAACTTAAGTTTCGTTACCACTAGAAAGTATTTTTTATATTAAATGCAGCAAGTTGGCATCCTTAAAATATAGAAACTCAGATGAATTAGTTAGAGCCCCTGGCGGGGCTGATGCTAAGATAACCACATGTGAGTATGAGTGAGAAAATATAGAAATAAAATGAGGAGTAATTGTAAAAAGCTAAACTTTTCCACTATTTCATTTCAATTAGGCTTTTACTACTACTTGGGAAATACCTCCTCTGGATCTGCCAACTGTTATTCGAATAACAGTTGGCAGATCTGACCTTTATAAATAATTCGAGATAGCCTTGCTAACATAGCACACTTACTTAAGCAACCAGTAGAAAGCGTTTAAAAGGAAGGCAAGGACTTATTTGGCAAAGATTCGCTCATCAAGATAACAAGTGGGATGCAAAACTTCTGGGTCGTCCAAAGAAGTTCACACCGATCTTCGATAGACGGAACTTCTAAAAGTCCACAGAATGTTCAAATGGTAACAATCTACTCATGAAAGGACTTTGAAGTTTTCCTAATTTCGCAACCACTACAATTTAGAAAATATTCATCAATGCATATATGCAATAAGTTTTCAAATCTTTGGGGTGATCAAGAAAATTTAATGATTAATTTTTAAAAACAATGAATATATTTAATAAAATAAATTTTTACTTGAATATTTTCGGTGGACATTTGTGAGCTCCGCCTAACAAAAATCGGCACGAACTTTCCAGACGAATAAATTGAAGGGAGGAGGCAAAGGCCAGGCTCAGCACCGGGTTATCTGAAAAAATGGCGTAACCTTATGTGCCAGCTAGTAGCACGAAAAGGACAAGTAGGTAATATAACTAATTGGGGAACAAAGAAAGTCCTGTTATAAATGAAATATGCTTCTTTTAAATGAATAATGAAGTGACAAAACGCATTCAGGTTTTAGGTATTTAATTTTTAGTCATAGTCATCACCTCTTGGGCAATCTTCTTTGGAACATGCTTGTCCAAAGAAAGATGGTTTATCACAAGGAATTAATGCATTACCCATGCCATAATCATTGTATTTAAAGTTGATCTGAAAGGGTGAGGGATCGTGAGTTCCCATATACTCAAGCCACCTGAAAGGAGAACAGTCTTTTCCATGAGCTCCACATGCAATCTCGATAACTCTTTGCGGACCTACCGCAATTTGAACATTCTTGCAAGAATTAAAAAGTCCATTGGCATAACATTCTGTGATAGAGTAATCGATGGAATTCACTGTTGTATTTAATCCTGAGCCTGCGGAATCCGTTACCTGAAAATTAAAAAAAAAAAAAAACATGTTTCAACAATTTAAGACATTCGAAAAATGTATTTTTGTACATATACATGTACATAGACATTTTGATTCTATTTTGATTTTTGTGTGAACAAATTTTATAATTTAAAACATTAACATTTCCTAATTTGGATAATTATCCATTCTTCTGATTAAAGTATTCAGACCGTACTTTCATTATTGAGGCTTTTTTTCCCATTTCAAAGGGACAAAAATTATTATCTTGAAGAAAAAAAAGATATGTATAAAACAGGAAGAAATTATTTTATCTCATTCGAGAAAGTGCATTTGTATCTATTTTTTAAACTTTTTTACCTTTTGCAATAATCATCCGCAATTTTTTTTTAATTTTAAGTTAAGAAGAAGGAATTTTAGCTTCTGGAAATTCGATTATTGGGTCAAAAATTATTCACAGTGTTCTTTTTTTTGGCAGCATTGTAAAAAAAAAAAAAACTTTCATCCAAATTAAATAAATAAGCTAAAGACATATTCCTTCATACCATAGGGAGATTTTTTCTTTTTTGAAAAAAAATTTCATTTATTAATTTAATTTTAAGAAAGTATACTTAATCAATATCTTTTTGTTTTAAATCCTAATGGAATTTAAATAAATTAATAAATTTTCAAAATGAAATTCTTATTTTTTTAATCCAAACAACGGGGTTTGAAAATTTTCAGAAGGAGCATTTCAATTAAGGAGTATTTCATTTCTTCCTTATGTATGTTCACAAATAACGGAGTTTTGAAGTTTAAACACTTTTTATCATATTTTTAAAATGTAAATGCTTGATACACAAGCTAAAGATCGGTCGAAATATAATACATGAAATTTTTCGATCAAAGCAAAAATATTGTTGAGATAGATAAGCGGTTGCAGTCAATTAAAATAAATAACGTTCAGTTATATCAAAATAATAATCATTGAATTCCAACGTTCCCGTGAAGTATTTTTGAAAACATTAAAGCTGGTGGCTCAATTATTTCATTATAGAAATATAACTCGGTGAAATAAGACAGACGTATTCGCCACAATTTATTAATAATATAAATATATATTATAACATTGATACGTGTTTTAACACTGCACCAGTTCACTGAGATGCCAACTGATCCGGACATGACAAAATATTTTAATAAATGGTAGAGAAATACAAATTAAAATTTGCAGATTTTGAGTTAATTCTCCCAACTTTTTAACGGCAACAAAGTGTCGTGTCACATAATTCTTTTAATTATTTAGAAGCAGTGGTGAGTAAACTACTTCTACCGACGCTACTTCGATTCGTTATCCGATATCTTTATCTCAAATAAAACAAACGATAAGCAACTGTTGCCGATAAGCAATAATAGAAAGAACAAACGCAGAATGTCAATTGATGTCAGAGTGTCAGATTTTGAAGGTTTCAGTTGCTTAGTTCGAGTATTGAAACATAAAATACTAGAATATTTCATAAATATATATAGATATAGGACAAAATAATAGGAACACGTGTGAAAAAAATTAAAATATTGTATTAATAAGGAGTTGGGCCACCTTTGGCCTGAATGACAGCTTGCATTCGACGTGAGATTGACAAATAAAGGTCTTGAACAAAGTTCATTGGAACTTGCAGCCATTCCTCTTGCAGGGCTGTCTCGATTTCGGAGAGTGCTTGGAGGAGGAAACCGAGCACGGACTTTTTTCTCCAAAAAAACCCCACAGAGGCTCAACAATATTTAGATCAGGAACTGAGGACACCACGTTAGATGGTCCACTTCATCATTATGATCCTTTAGCCATGCTTGAACACAGTGAGACGTGTGAACAGGAGCGTTGTCATCTTGGAACACAGGACGTTCTCCCGGAAAGAGAGTATGAAGCATAGGGTGAAGATGATCAGCAAGAATGCTTCGGTAATGGTCCCCTTTGACCACCCCCCTCAAGACAACGAGAGGCCCCTATCCACGGGCAGATATAGCGCCCCACAACATCACAGAACCACCACCATGTTTCACGGTTAGAACCAGGCAGTAAACATGAAATGCTTCTGCAGGCGTTCGCCACACGAACACACGTCTGGTGGTCTGGAATAGTGTAAAAGAGGATTCATCAGACAAGATAGCTTGTTCCCATTGCAGTTGTGTCCATTTTAGGTGGTCTTAGTACCACTGTAGTCTCTTCAAAGCATTCCGCGCTGAAACTAACGGTTTTGGAATAGCTACTCTGCCATGAATGTTAACAGCATGCAACTCCCGTTGAATAGTTTTCATGGATACAGGGTTCTGAAGGTGAGTATTCATCTCGGATGTTATCACCGGCAGTGTAGTCTTGCGTTTTCGAGCGACTACCCTCTTCAACACCCGTCTATCACGGTCTGACAACTTCGACTTCCTGCCGCTGTTGTACTTCGCCGAAGACACCTTACCCAACTTTGTGTATGCCAACAGAGTCCTTGATACAGTGGTCCTTGAAACACCTGCAAGGTTCGCTGAAATTGGCGTGCGTTCGTAGAGATAGGTATTTAAGAAACGTCCGTAAATCTAGTGTTAAACAGCGTTCATAGCGTTTCCTCACGTTGATACATTCCCCTCATCTACACCCTCATCTACAATCAACAGTTGACAGTCTTCAGCAAGCTGCTTCTTTCTATTTCAACTTACATTATTTCTTCGAGCAAGGAGCTTGAAATGTTAAATTAGCAACCAAATGATCAAATGAGCACAATGTGTCGTTTGATATTTAAATAGGTACATGATAGATAGGATGAGGGCATCTTCGCGGTCCAAGTACTCAATAGTCAATACATACTAGAAGGCTATTAGCAATAAAGAATCGGCATAATTATCCTTCTTCTACGAGTTTTACTTTTTAATTCATTTGCATTACTAATTTTTTTAAACTTTGGCACAAGGCGGAACTGTTGGCATTTCCGTGATTACCGCCACTATGCACGTGTTCCTTGGACTATCCATTTGGCATTTCATAATTTCTGAATTATTTGTATTAGTTGTAATAACAAACGCGCTGCTTATTTCAAAAACAAATGGAAAGAGAAATAATATTAATACCACTTTTAAAATTTATTCTGTACATCACAGAGAGCTATTATAAATTTAGAATAATTTTCTTACCGTCAAGAATCGACTCTGAGTCGGAGAACAAATCATTTGACAAAAAACATTAGCTAAGTTGTGAATGCAAGCAGGACACCTCCTGAATAATGCCGAAAGAGAACTGAACTGTGCTTCAAAACTTGCAACTTGTGAATCATCGCAACATACGGAATCTGCAAAATAAAAAGCTTAGTTTCTTTAAAAAATGATATCCACTTAAAATGTCACTGAGCAAAAAATCACACAAGCAAAGAAAATATTTGGCAATCATTATCTCACGAACAAAATCTTACGGATATGAATCTGGCGCGGACAAAATATACTAAAAAGATTGAGTCTGTGGAAGAATATAATGAACTTTTGAAATTTATAAATTTAAAAAATGCAATACTAATGTATGAGCCGTGATGACTCAGGGGATAGAGAACTCGCCTCCCAATGAGGTGAACTGGGTTCGAATCCCAGCGATGGCTGGTTGATACAAATTTTGCACCCTGCTCGCACAGACCTCGGTGCTGACGTAAAACTATCCTCAGTGGTAGACGGATAATGGGTTAGAGCAACGCCTCCTATAACTGAAATCCTCCACACGGTTAATGTAGTTAGTTCGATCAGAACACTATGAAGGAAAACCAATTGGTGAAAAAACCATTTAATATATCTATTAAAAATTAGAAAATGGTGGCAAATATATGTCTAAAAATTTGTTTAATTTATGAATATAATTGGTTTGCTTTATTTACTTGTCAACCACTACAGATTCAATTTTCAAGTGTATAAGATAAATTTCTCTCAAGTACTTTTAAAATAGAATTTAGGTTCATGCGCACAAGTGGTTCGCTTTTTAAATAATCTGCGCAGACTACTTATAAGAAACCGTGTGATGGCTTTCTGATGTAGGAGGTGATGGTTAGAGTGTCTTTATCGTCAGGTTAACCGTGGGAGGTTTTCATAGTGTTCCTCTCCATGTAACGCAAATGCGGGTTAGTTCCATTAAAACGGCCTCCACTGAGACAAATTTCTCTCACCTATTGATCCAAGAGTACCTTTGTCTTCTGCAAATATCATCTCGTAGAATAAGCTGTTGTAAGCAGCTGTATACTTTCTAACCGGAAGTAAAGTTGGTTAAGAGCTCGAGATTGTTGTTGTTTACATTTATTTTGAAAACACCATCCATTTATTGAGTTCATTGTTAACAAGTCCACACCAAAACACAGTGAAACACTGTTAACGCAGTCCAAATGCCCTCAAATCACACCAGATACAGTAACCCGGAAATATGGACGGCAAACAGCCTGCAGCACTCCTTATTGTGGAAAACACCATCGATAAATTATGACCGGAACACGTTTATTCATTACGATTTTAGACCAATTAAACGATTAGGAAATGTTCGGTTGAAGCCCTTTTGCGTTAGTTAAAGTTCATTCCTTATGCTGAATAGGTTAAACGTCAAAGTTGTATTTTACAAAAGGAAATTTCTGCTAGTTTTAATGTAAATTTACTAAGATGAATTTTTAAGGGCTTTGGAACTCTTCTTATTAGCTTACGAAAACGAACCTGGATTAATGCCTGGGCAAACTTCTTTTAAGAATTTTGTTGATTCTTCTGTTTTTATAGCAGTTGGAGAACCATTGTAGACGCAAGGCTTTGGAAGAAAGGTTAAATCATCTATTCCACATTCCCCTCTCATAACGCAGCGACCATCTTCACTCTAAAATTAGTTTGAAGATCAGTATCAATGAGATTAAACGTAGATAAAATTCAATTCTATATTTCATACTAAAACTGTACTTACGGCATGTAATAAATGGACTGATATAAACAGGATAGCAAGAATTGAATACATGTTGTTTCACTCTGGAATTATTTCAATTCATATAAATGAAAACACAGAGAAAAATTATAAACACAATTGAAAATTTCAAAACGTAACGAGATTTAGAAAGAAATTGATTTTAAAAACAACGAATTAAAAGCATACTTGGAATTTCCTTTTTTTCCCCTTCACTTTTTGATAGTTTAACCTAGTTTGGGCAGAGAGAGGTTTGGGATTTTTATTCTCTTAAAATGATGCATAAACCTTTCGCCGATCACAGAATACCCATTGGCAAAATGATTGTTGTCTAGTTTTTTTCGTTACGTTATTTCGTAATTAACGTTGGCTTGTGAAGAACGGGCTTTACGCTTGCGTTTATGAACAGAATCCTTTCGTTTTTCCGTTCGTGTGAAGGGATTCCCGTTTACGTTCTCGTTTATGTTCTTCTTACTGCCTCGGTAAGTTTAGGCCTTGGCATCGTTTTTTTTATGTCTTGCTTCAATTTTAACCTTTGGGACCGTGTCAATCAGCTTGGGAGCCTCTTTATTTGTGATATTCTCCTGAATTAATATTGAAAACGATCCAGTTTGAACTGTAGGTTAGAATTTCTGATTCTTAAATAAAACAAGAAAAACAAAAATATCGCTCAAATGATGACATTCTCTTTTATTCACAACTCAAGAAGTATTTATGGGATCTCTATGGTCCCATATCTCAAAAATAAACTCACCAACTTATTGCATAACAAAATTAAAAGTGAAAAAAAGAATTCTAAAAAAATTATCAAACAGCAGCGGACGCCGGACGTCATAGCAACGCATGCAATGACGACGTATGCGCACTGTTTACTATTACTCTTGAACACAGTTGAAAAGTGTGATGACGTCCAAATAAGGTGAGCGCCATCAGACCTAAAACAACACCTATATTGTCAATAGGTAATAACTTTACTTTAGTACCATACCCTCCGATAACTAAATTTTCCAAGAGGGGGAAAAGATAATGTATTAATCTATACATAATAATAAAATGAAGAGTTTGTTCTGGGTGTATTGAAATCTGAAAAGCGGCTTCAAGGGGCAAATTTAGCAACTGATCCTAAAATTCGTTCAAAATTTCCAATTAGTTCGTTTGGTTACAGCCATTTGAAAAATTTAATTTTTTCGTAGACGTATAACTCGCCATAAATAAAAAACGGGACTGCTTCAGACGATAGCTCACATAAAAAAAAGATTATTTTTACATTCTTTAATTTTTAATGTTTTTTTTTTTATTCGTTATGTTAGATAAGCCCAATGATCGGCATGAACATGGTAGCATATGCGGATAACGTCCTCAAATTAGAGTTTTTTAAAGTTATTTGAAACCACGTATTTATTTTGCTCATAGTTATGCTTTTTCAATAGTGAATTTACAAAATAAAATAATTTAAAACACAACAGTAATTGAAATTAAAAATAAGTTATGATATGAAAAACATAATATAAAAATAGGAGAAAGGTAAAAAATCACCATATCATTATTGCATACCTGCCAACTCTTCCGGATTTCCCGAAGATTTTATTTTCATATTTAAAGTGGTAGCAATACTCATGTTTTTCCAATTAACTTTTTGAATTATAATGATAATTATAAATGAGTTTGACCACCACTACATATAAATAATTACAATAAATATATAAAAGCGTAATGATCCTTGCGCAGGCGAGTTTCAACGGGAATTCTTTAATTGTTTTACAACCACTCTGAATATCCATTCTCGGAAAGAGTGAAAGTTGGCAGATACGTTAGTGACACCAATTTTGATTTTAAGCTATACTGGTATTATGGTAATTTGTTCAGTTAAAATAAGTACCAAAAGTACAAATATAGGTACAATGTATTATATTAGTATATTTGATACCTATAACTGGATAAATACTGTGAAGCGTTAGTATAGATACTGCGAAAAAAAGTTAAGTTATCAGTACCGGAGAAAATCACGTGATTGTCACAAACTTTAGATATCATAAGATGGCCTCGAGCAACAGTATCATGCCAAATGATTCTAAATACAGTTAATCTTTATTTTGATGGGATGAACTACTAGAAACGTGTTTTGCTTAATCTAATAACGTTAAGCTCTCTTAGAAAGAAAATTATGAGAATAAACTTACAAAAATGGAATTACTTTAGCTTAATTAATTATGTTGGCATATACCTTTAGGTTTTGTGTAGGATTCTGTAGTGTTGTTCTGTACCAATATATTGATTGTTTACTTTTTTCCACCGCCGTACGAAAAACGGGCATTCAGCTAGTATTTAAGTAAATTAAAAGAGAAAGAATTTTGCCCGCAGCTGTAAATAAAAACCGTAAATTCAGATTCGCAAACGATTATAGGTTCTAAAAAAAGTATTACGGAAGTTCTATTTGAATTAAAATTTTCTGCTTTAGTTCAATACATTCTTTTGCTACTTCCATTTATTCTGAAGAATATATGGAAAATATATTTGTTAGAGTTCTCTAGATCGAAGGTATGTTTAATAATCTTATTAACTTGAATAGTAATAATAATTGTGGGATAATTTTTTGGATTCTTTTATGAATCTCCAATGCTCTTATTTCTCTTACATAGTTTTTATTTTAGTTCACTACCATTATAAATTACACCGGGAAAATTTCTTTTGCCGCTTTTATACAAACACTTTGATATTACCTTATTCGTGTGTCGGGTTTTCAAATCTGATATCAGTTTTGAACAAAAGCTACAGAGTTTCGCATAAAATACTACTTGTAGTTTATTTAAGTTTTCTGTTTGAAAGTACAAGTTTATAAATAACATGTAGGTTTATATACGTGAATTTATACACTTGTATGCTCCATTTAAAGTAACAAGACAAAAAAAAAGAAGGAAAAAAAGTATTACCTTGATCTGAAAGTAGTATATTTTATAGTATTATAAGTAGCGCAAAGTTAACTTAAAAGCACTATCTCGCTCTTCCTACTACTACTACTTACGCAACAGATAAGTGGGAGCACTAAATATCCACTTGAGTGATTTTTAAAAAACCCTGGTGCAGAATATATAATTGAATTATATAAAAATTTCAGGTTGTAGAAAGAAATCGATTGTAGTTTTGAAATAAGTGATGCGAAAATATGTAAGATCCGTTCAAAATTTTTATGAAACATAAAATAAACAAACAAAAAAAACTTTTCCGGTGATATCAATATCACGAAATTAATGTACAAGTACAATAAAGTTACCTTTCTCCCTTTTGTATTTCTTTCAGAGAATTTATTCACAGTCTTTGAAGCGTTTGAAAAGAATTAAGAGAGAATCCTTTTTAACTTAAATCAATTTGTTACATGCAATATATTTTGAAGTTTCTTCCGTCAGCTGTTTATCTAGCAAGATAACCATCTGTTCTTTCAAATCAATATTTCATTAGTACTTGAAAGTTTTACTGATTATATTATTTTTTTAAATACTATCTATTAATATAATAAACTGAGTAGACACAACTTGAAAAAATTTTTAAAGTGATTTTAACAAGTGGTTCGAAAACGTTAAGTGTACAAGTGTTTCGCGATACAGGGTTCCCTGGAAATATTAGTCGAAAGTTAGAATCTTTTTAACCAGTAATAATTGTATTTACATCCAATCGATTATCCATAATTTTTTTTTAAGTTTGGTTGTTTATAGAAACTTTATTGATGTAAAAAGTCTGACGAAAACAAACAATATTTAAAAAAAAAAAATTTCTTAATATGTTAAATAAATTATGAGAAGGATACAAAAGAAGTATTTTTTATCGAGCTTTTTCATTCAAAATACAATAACTAATTTCGAATATAAAGAAATACGTTTCTCTGATAACTATTTTCAACGTTTATAACAGTTCTTGGCTCTATAGAATCAGGGGCGGCTTGATTTGGCGGTAATTTTGTACAGTTTTGCAGAAATCCCATTTCCGGCCACCATGATAAACTTTCATATATGGCAGTACTTTTACTTTCGTTACTTGTACCGCCGGTACAAGTAAAAAGTNAAAAAAAGTTTCTTAATATGTTAAATAAATTATGAGAAGGATACAAAAGAAGTATTTTTTATCGAGTTTTTCCATCAAAGTACAATAATTAATTTCGAAAATAAAGAAATGCGTTTCTCTGATAACTATTTTCAACGTTTATAACAGTTCTTGGCTCTATAGAATCAGGGGGGCCGCTTGATTTGGCGGTAATTTTCGTTCAGTTTTGCAGAAATCTCATTTCCGGCCACCATGATAGATTTTATGGTTTTTGCTTTCAATGACGTCACCTTCGGGTTACCGTAAATTTTGTTTACTTGTATATGATAGGTTCTTAGTTTATTTACATATATATTCGTTTCTTTGCCAATCGCCAAAAATGATACGGGCCCCAGATAGTAAACTATCACCTAGTTCTTCATTGAAAATTATCATTCAGTTTATTTCATTCATATTTAGCATATGTGTCAGGAAATCAGTACGAGCGATCTGTGTCTAGAGAAGCAGAATCACCAATTGGCAATCGAAATGGGCTACAGATGGCGCAGAGCAGAACTCTTTACCCATGGCAACACTTTGCATGCTTTCACCATTAGTGTGTGGAGAGTCATGGAAGAAGGAAGTATGTTAGTTTCTGTCTTGATTTTATATATAGATTAAAATCTTTTAAGTTGGGAAACTGTATGGAATTGAAAACTACATTAAAGGTAGTTCTAAAAGAAAGCATCATGGGAATTTCAAGAAATATTTTTATTCATTAAAAACGAAAAACATTAGGAAAAGGAAAAATATCGTAGTAGATTCCTATAAAACTGGAAGGAGGAAGAGAGGGAAGAGAGAAGAACGAAAGACATGGAACCGGTCTTCTCCCCAGATGGCGCATTCGATCGTTTCGATTGTCTATAGCTTAATTAAAAACTTGCTTTGGTGCAATTGGAAATAGAGAGGCAATTAAAAAACATATTTATTTATTAAACCACATTAAGTACACCAAAAAACAATTTACAATCTCTTCAGAACAAACACCAGTCACGTTCCGTTCTGAAATAAATTAAAAAATGAAAGTGAAATTCACGCGTGACATTTTTTGATATTGTCATTGCTTGCTTTCCTCATTATATTATTTTCCATGCCTCGTTTGTTTTCATTCTTATAAGTCCTGACAATATGCATACACCATGAACAAATTCAAAATTTTAAATATTTTATTATTTGCTGTAAATATTTTTGCAATAACTGATTTTTTTTTTTTTTTGCTAGTATGTTCACAGCTGTTACTAGACTTTTTTTAATGCAGGTGGTTCCGCCAAAAGAAGCTCGATTATTTAGAGTTCTATAGCCGATAAAAAATTGGGGACCACTTGCTTAGAGTACTCGAAGTAGCAAACTAATTTCACTAATTTCCTATCTTTCAAAATATACTTATTAATTAAAGAAATAGTTCGTATAAAATACCACTCTAATTACTTGACGAGCCTTACAAAGTCTTGATAAAATTAATCAAAAGTTAAAGTATTCAAGTTTCTATTTTTCATTCCCTATCGTTTAATAAAAATCTTTTGATTAAAGCAGAGCATCATGCTGTCCAAGCGCTCTTGCCAAGCTGCCATGCGCTCAGAGCTGTGGTGGCTTAGGGAATAGATTTGCGGTCTTCCAATGAGGTAACCCAGGTTCGAATCTTAGCAAAGGGCTTGTCGATACGTATTCTGCACCCGGCTCGCACCGACCACAGTGTTGACGTAAAATATCTTTAGTGGTAAACGGATCATCGGTTTGAGTCGCCTTGCCTTCGGGCTAACCGTAGCGGATCGTGGTTTTTCTCTCCATGTAATGCAAATACTGGTTAGCTCCATCAAAAAGTCCTCCAAGGCAAATTTCACCCGATACTTGAACCTGGAGTACTCTTGTCTTCTAGATTAGGTACAAAATTATAAGACTACGGTGTTGAACATCGGTAGTAGTAAACTCAAAATTGGGTCGGCTGTTATATGACGCGGTAATAAAATAAAATAAAATCCGCCAAAACGCTCCGTAGTGTGGAGGTAGCGAGTTTCATTCTTACCCTAACCTTTGATATATTTTTCTGATATCCCACTCTAATTTATACTACCTGTTCTTCATTTTAACAAGGGCTTATAAGTTGTACTTTGTTAAGAGACTCAAGCAAATCAGTGGCTTTTCTCCATATTGGCGTTTTGCACCATTTTCAAAATAAGTGTAGACACCGCTTGCTTGAGATAGGCTGAACTTGACCTTAACTGTCATGAGTAACAGCTACAAACCTGCAGATGTTATAAGAATCGCATATTATTCACGCAAAAAATTATCATTTTTATTACGATGGAGCTTTCAAAAAACAGCCTTACAGAAAATTTCCCCAAAAAACGGAAAAATTGGCAGCGCTGTATACATGTTTTTCCAGAAAAATAAATCTACAATATAATGTGAGTGATAAAACAAAATGCAATTCTTGTAATCTGACAACTACTATAAATTTAAGTGGTTGCTAAATCAGGGAAATCCAATAATTACCGTAGTTCAGAAACAAAATTAGCAATCAAAACATAATTAATTACTCATTTAATCTTTACAAAGCAATTCAAGTTTTACACAAAATCAATTGATTTTCAGGAAAAAAATTGTTTCAAATATTTTATTATTTTATAACAATGGTTAAAAGTAAAATAAAATGCACAGTATTCAATCCATTTAGACAAGTCAGTTTAATTATTTATAAGTAAGGACACTTTCCTACGTTAAAAGAAATTTTATCAATTGCCACAGTGCTTTTTCCAAATGAAGGGTTAACTTGAGCTTCAAACAGGAACTAAAAAGGAATTAAAAAAATAGTATGCAATAACAATTAAAATACAAAAACTAACATAATCTACAGACTAATTGCACACAAGCTTTCCACACCCTATATGGAAAAAATTACACGACCCGGTATTATTTTTTGCACCAAAAATTATTTGTAACTTATATGTATTTAATTTTCATAATTCCTGTGATTTTTTTTATCTATAAACTTTAAGGTAAACATTTAACCCTTTGAATTCCGATATTACCTTTAAAGCACCATCAACACTCTAAAATTAAAATTTTCTTATATCTTAGTAATTAGTAAGCACATTATTTTTAAGAATTATATAAAAACTAGGAGGCTCCGCCCCCTGCTCGCTAACGCTCGCCAACCCCCGAGAATTGCTACGCAATCCTATGTGGTTCACGCCGTGAACCATGGCTCGCTGCGCTCGCTCGCCAATGAACACAATGTTCTAGCACAAAGACATAATATATTATCATCAAAGACATAGTATTTTATCATCAAAGACATAGTATTGTACTTATGTAGAAGAATTCTACCAATGTTCTTATTGGCTTTTAAAAAAGTATATTAGCTATTTAGATTGTACATGGTGAAAAAATCAAAACATTAGCTAAATAAGAAACATAT